GAAAATCGAAAAAAATCATGTTTTTTCAGTGTAGATTTTTCTGTGAGATTTAGCAAGAAGAAATTTCTCGGGCGCTGGATTCTACACTCAAAAAGCCATCTCCTAGACCTAGTGGAGTTGAGTCAGTTTTTGGTTTTAGTAATGAAAATCGAAAAAAATCATGTTTTTTCAGTGTAGATTTTTCTGTGAGATTTAGCAAGTAAATATTCCTTGGGCGCTGGATTCTACACTCGAAAAGCCATCTCCTAGACCTAGTGGAGTTGAGTCAGTTTTTGGTTTTAGTAATGAAAATCGAAAAAAATCATGTTTTTTCAGTGTAGATTTTTCTGTGAGATTTAGCAAGAAAATATTTCTTGGGCGCTGGATTCTACACTCAAAGAGCCATCTCCTAGACCTAGTGGAGTTGAGTCAGTTTTTGGTTTTAGTAATGAAAATCGAAAAAAATCATGTTTTTTCAGTGTAGATTTTTCTGTGAGATTTAGCAAGAAAATATTTCTTGGGCGCTGGATTCTACACTCGAAAAGCCATCTCCTAGACCTAGTGGAGTTGAGTCAGTTTTTGGTTTTAGTAATGAAAATCGAAAAAAATCATGTTTTTTCAGTGTAGATTTTTCTGTGAGATTTAGCAAGAAAATATTTCTTGGGCGCTGGATTCTACACTCAAAGAGCCATCTCCTAGACCTAGTGGAGTTGAGTCAGTTTTTGGTTTTAGTAATGAAAATCGAAAAAAATCATGTTTTTTATGTGTAGATTTTTCTGTGAGATTTAGCAAGAAAATATTTCTTGGGCGCTGGATTCTACACTCGAAAAGCCATCTCCTAGACCTAGTGGAGTTGAGTCAGTTTTTGGTTTTAGTAATGAAAATCGAAAAAAATCATGTTTTTTATGTGTAGATTTTTCTGTGAGATTTAGCAAGAAAATATTTCTTGGGCGCTGGATTCTACACTCGAAAAGCCATCTCCTAGACCTAGTGGAGTTGAGTCAGTTTTTGATTTTAGTAATGAAAATCGAAAAAAATCATGTTTTTTCAGTGTAGATTTTTCTGTGAGATTTAGCAAGTAAATATTCCTTGGGCGCTGGATTCTACACTCGAAAAGCCATCTCCTAGACCTAGTGGAGTTGAGTCAGTTTTTGGTTTTAGTAATGAAAATCGAAAAAAATCATGTTTTTTCAGTGTAGATTTTTCTGTGAGATTTAGCAAGAAAATATTTCTTGGGCGCTGGATTCTACACTCAAAGAGCCATCTCCTAGACCTAGTGGAGTTGAGTCAGTTTTTGGTTTTAGTAATGAAAATCGAAAAAAATCATGTTTTTTATGTGTAGATTTTTCTGTGAGATTTAGCAAGAAAATATTTCTTGGGCGCTGGATTCTACACTCGAAAAGCCATCTCCTAGACCTAGTGGAGTTGAGTCAGTTTTTGGTTTTAGTAATGAAAATCGAAAAAAATCATGTTTTTTATGTGTAGATTTTTCTGTGAGATTTAGCAAGAAAATATTTCTTGGGCGCTGGATTCTACACTCGAAAAGCCATCTCCTAGACCTAGTGGAGTTGAGTCAGTTTTTGATTTTAGTAATGAAAATCGAAAAAAATCATGTTTTTTATGTGTAGATTTTTCTGTGAGATTTAGCAAGAAAATATTTCTTGGGCGCTGGATTCTACACTCGAAAAGCCATCTCCTAGACCTAGTGGAGTTGAGTCAGTTTTTGATTTTAGTAATGAAAATCGAAAAAAATCATGTTTTTTATGTGTAGATTTTTCTGTGAGATTTAGCAAGAAAATATTTCTTGGGCGCTGGATTCTACACTCAAAGAGCCATCTCCTAGACCTAGTGGAGTTGAGTCAGTTTTTGGTTTTAGTAATGAAAATCGAAAAAAATCATGTTTTTTCAGTGTAGATTTTTCTGTGAGATTTAGCAAGAAAATATTTCTTGGGCGCTGGATTCTACACTCGAAAAGCCATCTCCTAGACCTAGTGGAGTTGAGTCAGTTTTTGATTTTAGTAATGAAAATCGAAAAAAATCATGTTTTTTATGTGTAGATTTTTCTGTGAGATTTAGCAAGAAAATATTTCTTGGGCGCTGGATTCTACACTCAAAGAGCCATCTCCTAGACCTAGTGGAGTTGAGTCAGTTTTTGGTTTTAGTAATGAAAATCGAAAAAAATCATGTTTTTTCAGTGTAGATTTTTCTGTGAGATTTAGCAAGAAAATATTTCTTGGGCGCTGGATTCTACACTCGAAAAGCCATCTCCTAGACCTAGTGGAGTTGAGTCAGTTTTTGGTTTTAGTAATGAAAATCGAAAAAAATCATGTTTTTTCAGTGTAGATTTTTCTGTGAGATTTAGCAAGTAAATATTCCTTGGGCGCTGGATTCTACACTCGAAAAGCCATCTCCTAGACCTAGTGGAGTTGAGTCAGTTTTTGGTTTTAGTAATGAAAATCGAAAAAAATCATGTTTTTTCAGTGTAGATTTTTCTGTGAGATTTAGCAAGAAAATATTTCTTGGGCGCTGGATTCTACACTCGAAAAGCCATCTCCTAGACCTAGTGGAGTTGAGTCAGTTTTTGGTTTTAGTAATGAAAATCGAAAAAAATCATGTTTTTTATGTGTAGATTTTTCTGTGAGATTTAGCAGGAAAATATTTCTTGGGCGCTGGATTCTACACTCGAAAAGCCATCTCCTAGACCTAGTGGAGTTGAGTCAGTTTTTGATTTTAGTAATGAAAATCGAAAAAAATCATGTTTTTTATGTGTAGATTTTTCTGTGAGATTTAGCAAGAAAATATTTCTTGGGCGCTGGATTCTACACTCAAAGAGCCATCTCCTAGACCTAGTGGAGTTGAGTCAGTTTTTGGTTTTAGTAATGAAAATCGAAAAAAATCATGTTTTTTCAGTGTAGATTTTTCTGTGAGATTTAGCAAGAAGAAATTTCTCGGGCGCTGGATTCTACACTCAAAAAGCCATCTCCTAGACCTAGTGGAGTTGAGTCAGTTTTTGGTTTTAGTAATGAAAATCGAAAAAAATCATGTTTTTTCAGTGTAGATTTTTCTGTGAGATTTAGCAAGTAAATATTCCTTGGGCGCTGGATTCTACACTCGAAAAGCCATCTCCTAGACCTAGTGGAGTTGAGTCAGTTTTTGGTTTTAGTAATGAAAATCGAAAAAAATCATGTTTTTTCAGTGTAGATTTTTCTGTGAGATTTAGCAAGAAAATATTTCTTGGGCGCTGGATTCTACACTCAAAGAGCCATCTCCTAGACCTAGTGGAGTTGAGTCAGTTTTTGGTTTTAGTAATGAAAATCGAAAAAAATCATGTTTTTTCAGTGTAGATTTTTCTGTGAGATTTAGCAAGAAGAAATTTCTCGGGCGCTGGATTCTACACTCAAAAAGCCATCTCCTAGACCTAGTGGAGTTGAGTCAGTTTTTGGTTTTAGTAATGAAAATCGAAAAAAATCATGTTTTTTCAGTGTAGATTTTTCTGTGAGATTTAGCAAGTAAATATTCCTTGGGCGCTGGATTCTACACTCGAAAAGCCATCTCCTAGACCTAGTGGAGTTGAGTCAGTTTTTGGTTTTAGTAATGAAAATCGAAAAAAATCATGTTTTTTCAGTGTAGATTTTTCTGTGAGATTTAGCAAGAAAATATTTCTTGGGCGCTGGATTCTACACTCAAAGAGCCATCTCCTAGACCTAGTGGAGTTGAGTCAGTTTTTGGTTTTAGTAATGAAAATCGAAAAAAATCATGTTTTTTCAGTGTAGATTTTTCTGTGAGATTTAGCAAGAAAATATTACTTGGGCGCTGGATTCTACACTCGAAAAGCCATCTCCTAGACCTTGTGGAGTTGAGTCAGTTTTTGGTTTTAGTAATGAAAATCGAAAAAAATCATTTTAAAATCATGTTTTTTCAGTGTAGCTTTTTCTGTGAGATTTAGCAAGAAGAAATTTCTCGGGCGCTGGATTCTACACTCAAAAAGCCATCTCCTAGACCTAGTGGAGTTGAGTCAGTTTTTGGTTTTAGTAATGAAAATCGAAAAAAATCATGTTTTTTCAGTGTAGATTTTTCTGTGAGATTTAGCAAGAAAATATTTCTTGGGCGCTGGATTCTACACTCAAAGAGCCATCTCCTAGACCTAGTGGAGTTGAGTCAGTTTTTGGTTTTAGTAATGAAAATCGAAAAAAATCATGTTTTTTCAGTGTAGATTTTTCTGTGAGATTTAGCAAGAAAATATTTCTTGGGCGCTGGATTCTACACTCGAAAAGCCATCTCCTAGACCTAGTGGAGTTGAGTCAGTTTTTGGTTTTAGTAATGAAAATCGAAAAAAATCATGTTTTTTATGTGTAGATTTTTCTGTGAGATTTAGCAAGACAAAATTTCTTGGGCGCTGGATTCTACACTCGAAAAGCCATCTTCCTGACCTAGTGGAGTTAGGTCAGTTTCTTGTTATACTGAAAATTTAAAAAAACATCATGTTTTTTCTCGTGTATAATTTCTTATGAGATTCAGAATTTAGCAGTGATATATATAATTCTTTGACTGCTGGAATCTAGACACGACTCTCAGTACTAGTGGTGATAGATTAGTTCATGATTGAAGTATTGAAAATTCAAAGAAAGTACCTTTCTATATGCCTGTAGAATCTTGTTAAACTATTTGAATTCTTTTTCTGATCGTTTACTTCATTTCATCACTTATTTTTATCTATCTCGAAAGAATTCAAACATCTCTCTTAATTGACAATATTTAATGTGTGTAAAATAAGAGTATACAATCATAATTGATGTTTCATCCCCCGACGACTGTAAACAGCATCCTCGATTACTCATTCGGAGTCTCGAAATGAATCCGCATTCGACCCGTTCGGCAAATATGTAACAGCTGATACAAATATAAAGCACCGCGTTACCCTAAAAGGGGGGAAAATAGCGCGCGCCACTGGCTAGCGCAATCGGAAGTGTTCGGAAATTTGGCCGCTCACTCTGGCTGCCAGCTTCACACAGGTCTATACTCTTGTCCTCCAAATATATACAGTTGGTAAGATATTGCCGAATATCTTCAGTATTCACAGCTTCAGCTATATTATCTTTGGTATTCCCATAATTTGGCACCTCATCTTCATTATGATCTGGTCTTGATTCAATTTTTTTCTTGAACATGTTGATAAATCTGTTGTCAAAGCTGAGTTCATGATTCCCAGCAATTACAATCTTATGTTTATGTGGTAAAGTTCCTACAGAAGGATTAATTGAAGATAATATTATATGGATGATATTCATAAGTACCCAGCCAATCATTGAACTCTATAACCTCTTGTTTCTGTCCACATTTTGTGAAATCACCAGCATGTATAAAAATATCACCATCAGGGATATCAAAACTGATATTTCGAATGAGAGAATGAGTGTCACTCATACAAACGAATCTAATTTTATTTGGTTCCACTGCTTTTGATGGTATCTTGACATTCAATTTCAATTTTGCTTGTTTTTTAGCTATTTCTTGCCAGGCTTCTGTTGGTTTGTCAGTTAAGGGGTGAGTATGAACTTCAGGAAAACTCATTTTATCAATGAAATCGATACCATCATTAGTTCCAAAGATCAAGTGCCGGAATTTTTAGGAAGAATTTGATTATTTTGATTCCTCTTTCACAGATTTATCTTCTGAGTCTTTATCCCACTTGCTCACTTCTTTTTTTCTGGCCCTACAACCACAATCACTACCACAATCACAACCAGGAAAACAGATCCTGAGGGCCGAGATTGCCGAGACCCATGCTTTAGATATTAAATAAAAGAAGATGAACATAGCCTTTTTCTTGACGTCAACCGTCAACGAGTGACCATCGACCTCATTTGTTTATTTATTTTGCCTTCATAAAAAGGATGAAAAATTAGGAAAATCTGTGGAAAATCTAAAAAGTAGTGAAAGCATCTTGAACTGGAGATGTATCATGCATAATATTGATACTATTATCGGAACACTGAAAATTCACAATTCATAATAATATCACTTTGAACAATCTGTGTGTAAGTAATAATAATTATTAAAGGAAGTGTAAGTAAAATTGTATAGACTGCCGACCAGTCAGCAATCTATACTTTTTTCAGGCTGCCGACCGTTCATTAGACTATACTCTTTGTTTAGGATGCCGACCAGTAGACTAAAATTATCAATTTCAAGGAAGTAAACAACATGATTTGAAAAAAAAAAACTGAAAAAAATAGATATACCTACACAAACACCTATCAGTAGAACAAAAACCTGATCGAAAATATCTTGTGAACTAATCATTGTTGATCTAAACCAACCAAAAATTTAAAACCTAGTAGGTGACCTAGTGCAAGGAGGAGGAAATAAAATATAGAAAAAATATTTTAAAAAACTATTCCATGTGGGATTTGAACACAGGACCACAGACAGTATTGACAAGCCAATCTCTAAAATGAATGAATATCTATCCACTGAGCTACTAATCATCTTGGTTATGCAGAAAGAATGTATTGGACTGAATGGTGGGCAGTCTATAAAAAAAGTATAGTTTGCTGACTGGTCGGCAGCCTATACACTTTCAATAATAAATACCTATACAATGCTTTCTATTTCAGTACATTCTTGAAATATGACTGCATGTGCTGTAAATGTATGTGGGAATTATAAAAAAAAAACAAGGCCTGTCCTTCCACAAGTTTCCCAATGATCAAAGCTTGATGGTTAAGTGGTATGCAGCATGTCTTCCACAAAAGCCTCTCACAAAAAATTCAGTAGTGTGCTCTGAACACTTCAAGGAAGATGATTTCAAAGATGCCCAATGTAAAGTAATGGGTAGGAAAGGAGAGAGGAAGTTGAAACCTACAGGTTATAATTTTCTAATTAAGTATTTGCCTATTCATAAGTTCAAGCTATTTGAGGTGGATTCATGAAACATTCATAAAGATTTTTTTCATGCAAGCAAATATCAATACATTACACACTAACTTTGGGTGCCTAAGAAATGAATAGTCATTGTTTTTTTAGTTTCATAAATTAGGGTGAAGACATAGTGAAGCCCTGCCTCAAGACTCAACTGAAACATTGCATCAAGCTTGAAGTTCAATTGAAGCAATGATTTTTACAATGCTTCAGTTGAGCATGTTCTATGTGATTCAATGTAGAGTGTAGCAAAAATGTGATCCCTACTTACAGAAAAGGTAGTACTGATCAAAATTTCATAAAAGCTGGGTTCCTCTTCGTACATACAAACCTTTTTATGCCCTAAACTAAGCAAGAACAATAAAATATAATTGATTGAAAGGTGTACCACTAGCTAACCTGTGAGTAAGAACACATAGTTTTGTTACACCCTGTGTAAATCAAGCTGGATTGCTGGAATACCAATACTTGTTTCAGCTGTTCCATCATTGAATCTGAGTACCAAAGTGGAAGATATTAACTGCCTACTTATAGTGACAGAAGACCCATGTGAAGATATGGAGAATATTCTTCCAAAAGCATATTTTCAATCTGAAGATGAACCTGACGAATCTGCTCTTGAATCTGATGAATTTGAATATGAAGCATCTCTTCAATCTGATGGAGTTGAATATGAAGCATCTCTTCAATCTGATGGAGTTGAAAACAAGAAAACTTTCTATTTGAAAGATAAAACATATGAATATAAAGAGGAAGTAATAGAACCTGAAGAGGGTGATATAAATGAAAAAATGAAACATTTACAAGATGAAATTTTAAGAAAAGATATTGAGATCCAATTACTGCAAGAAGAAAACAATAAACTCAAAAGTAGTAATATTGATGTGACCTCCTTTTTGACACATAATCAAATAGCAGTATTATCTGGAGATGAAGAACATCCTGATTGGAATGAAGTAGAAATGAGTAGTGCATTAACTCTAAGATGCCTCAGCAAAGAGAGTTATGTTTATCTGAGAAGCAATTTGAATTATCCCCTGCCAAATATACAAACTGTGGAACAGTGGGCCACAAAGATAGACACAAGGAATGGTCTCCAATCCAATTCACTAACAATGATGCAATTTGCTGGTAAAGACCAAGCTGATTTTGACAAAACTACTGTTCTCCTATTTGATGAGTTGGATATCAAATCTGTATATGAATATGATGAATCAAATGACAAAGTCATTGGTCCACATACAAAAATTCTGGTAGTCATGGCTAGAGGGCTTTTCATCTCATGGAAGCAACCTGTATATGTAAGTTTTGACAACAAAATTAATAAAACAATCCTGTTAGAGATTATCAGTGAGTTGAACAAAATCAATTACAATGTTGTGGCTTGTGTTTCAATTTGCCATGTTGATCTTTGGAATGAACTAAGTATAGATTTTGAAAGTCCATATGTGGAAAACCCAGAAACATCAGATAAGGTTCATTTTTTTGTGGACTCCCATTATTTGCTTAAAGAAATTAGGAATTGGATGATTGATACAGGTTTCAATTTAGAAAACGGCGAAAAAGTTTCTGTGGACCCTATAAAAGAAATAATACAATCTCCACAAACTGGTAATAGATTGAGCTACCAACATATTTCTGGAAATCCAAAGGATAGACAAAATCTTCTACTTACTACTCAGTTGTTCTCACATGAGACTGCTATAGCATTGTCACACAATTTTCCTGGCCCTGATGGAGAGTTGGCTCAAGACACTGGACTGTTTATTGAGATGATCTGTCAGTGGTTCCAAATGATGAATTCAAGTGTGTTGGATTTAACCTCAATACAAAGTATGCCCTATGGGCTTAATATTGAAGAACAAGATTTAGTATTGGATCATGTGTATGTGATGATAGGAAATATGAGGTGCATGAACAGTCAGAACTTCCAGGAATTTCAGACAGGGTTTTTGATGACTATTAATTCTCTGAAAAATTTATATCGGGACATGTATAAAAAATACAATATTGATTATATTTTTACTCATAGAACCTGTCTAGAACCATTAGAAGATTTTTTTAAAGGTTTGAACAATACAAATTGTGGCCATATACCTACTCCTCTTGAAGCCCTGTCTCAGATGAAATTGATTTTACTGGGAAAAAATGCCACTGGTGCCGAAAATGATGAGGACTATTTTATCATGACTGAGATCTTGAAAAAATTGGATATGATCACAGATTCTGATGAAGAATTTGACAATAGTTTCAAGGCAGTGCATTTCAAAACAGAAGGAAGAGGTAAAGCTTGTTTAACAAGCTGGTTAGCCACAAAATTCAGACAAAAATACCCTTACATGGAATATAGTGGTGAAAAATTCGATCAATTAGAAGACATCTTCAAGAGTGCCTACAGAGGTATGTTTTCTCATGAATGTGTGAAAAACTGTGAAAATATTAGAAAGACTTTGATAGAAGTGTGCAGGGACAAAATTCCGGAATTACCAGAAGATGTGATAAAAGCATATGTTGTACAAAGAATTTATATTCGAGTTAACTGTCTAAATAAAGAACTTGAAAGGAAACAAATCAAGAAAGGAAAATATCTGAATTCTATAAATGGAAGAAAAAAACTGAAAATAACATAAATGTTTTATATAGAAATCTATGAAAATTGACTTACTTCTTGTAGATTAACATCATCATTACATATAATAACAATATAAAGTATAAAAGTGAACACATTTTGAAGATTGGAATAAACAGAATAATCATTAGAAAAAAATCTTATTCTCCCCACTTAGTTTCCATAATATGAAATATCTTATAAAACTTCACTTTTGATGCAAATTGACGTTTCAACAGCATCTATTGCCAGATAATTCAAACAATGTAATGTGAAAAGCAGATATGTCCAAATAAATCATAGGATGGTCTTAGAATTATATTCAACATAGCACATGCACAAAATGTAAAACTGGTAACTCCGCCATAGTGATGTTAATGCATTCAAGAATTCCAGTGAATTTTTGCTGAGCTGTGTTCACTTTATATTTTTATTATCTGAGGTATAATTCAACACAAAATGATGGAGGCGAAAGGCATTCTGTTTTCACTATTTAACGTTCATTGGAAATGGATATTGAAGTTGAAGACTTGAGAATACTGTACATTGCAGGAACATTTTTTATATTTCATATTTTCTTTCCACAATATATTTTTTTCACATCTCGTATTTCTGCCTGAACTCACATTGTTATGAAACTGTAATGTTTTTATGAACAAGGACAAGGTTTTACAATTGAGTTGACATTTATATAAATTGTATAATGAATTGTTTATATCCAGCATTGTCGATCCAAATGGAGAAGCTAGTTATTTTTTGAATTGACTCGGCCGTTACTTAATGGAAATCCATTGCAAATGTAAACACTTCACAAACGATGAGATTTCCACAAAATTTTGTGGTATAATATATCCAGTAACCATGAGGAAAACATTGCAACTATTGCAACCAACTATTTTTCTATAAACCTTTCTGCTAGAACTATTAATAAAATATCAATGTGAAGATAATCATTTATCTCACTTTCATGTATGATATAATTATATAATGGTTTGTCTGTGCCCTCAAAGAAAAGCACAGAATAGTAATCATTAGTAAATCAGAGAAAATAAGTACAAAATAAAAACTGCTCTTGAAATAATGAAAGTTTAAATAGTTACCATAAACTTTCAGCTTGCTTGATATAGTAACTGAAATTGTTCTTAATTTTTTTTTGTGGTTTAAGCAAATGATTACCAGCAGGATACATTGCAACATATACCAAGTATAGCTCAGATAACTGGAATTCACCATAACATTCCAGAACACTTTGTTCTATTATCCTTGCACACTCCTCAAACACTAACTTGAAACTACTGCTAAAATTGAAGTAAAACTGTTCAAAATCCTTTTTGCTAATCAAATCTGAATTCATTTGTATATACAACCAGTAGCGTTCATATGGGTTATAGTGAGTTGGGTAGCAGTCTACAGCAATATCTGCTTTCTCAGATTTTAGTATTGCACCTTTACTGACCATTCTGACATGTTTTGCATTTTCCTTAAAAGTCTTCTTTCTGCAGTCCTGGTATTGTTTCTGTACATATTCAGGTACAAGATTATGTGTTACAATTTTCTTATTTTGTTCAATTACTTCTTGGAGATTTTTATCTGGCCCAGATTTAACTATCTCAATGGTGACAAGATTATTATTATTTTTACTGTATTTGTTGACACTCCTATAAGTTTTCATTTCTTGCATGACCCAGTTGTCATTTGCTCCACCATGTATTTCTGTTTTATTGTTTAGGGCAGCCAGGTATGGATTGGGTCTCAATAAGAAATCCAGACTCTCTTCCTGGAAGGTTGTGTTGAAGATATTTCTTGCTAGGTGTGGGTTGAAGGTTTGTTCTATAATTTTTGAATAATCCAGAAAAGGTGTCAATGATGGAGGATACTCTACATGAGTGAAATAATCATACTGTGCATCTTTAATCCTTGTCAAGATCTCCTTATAATCCTTCATTTCTTTTGTAAGTTTTTTGTCTGCCTCAAATTCAATGTTATGTGATTTTATGTATTGTAATAACAAATCACTATCTACTTCAGAATTCACCACATCAGAAGATGGAAAATGATAGTCATTCACAACTAATCTTCTATAACCTATATATTCCAACCACTTTCTTATATTGAACATTTTTGTGTTGCTCAAGTTGTTTTCATTCACCAGTTGAGCATATTTTGATAAATGATCCTCTGTTTTGCCATCCAAACCATACAGCAATTTCAAAGTGAAAATAATCAGTGCCATTACTCTTGCTTCATAATTTGGTATGATTTTTCTTTTAGGGTCCATTTTTAGTTTAATGAGTGTCTTTGAAATGAAATTTCTCATTGCCATGAATACCTCATCTGAAATATATTACATCAAAAGTATCTTTAACATTAAAGAATTAATCAAAATAATACCTGGCAAGTTCAATTCTTTGCAGTACCGCTCACTGAGCTTTACTAAATCTGGCATTTTGATATAAGGGATAATGTTCAGAAATGTTGCCAGTTTGGCAGCTGCCACTCTAAAACGCTTATTGGAAAATAAGTTATTCTTACTGTTATTTTGAATATTCAAGTATTTATTGGTATAACTCTCAGGAAACAGATCTGTGTACTTGTTGAAAGTCAAATGACCTTCTCTTATGAACCTTAATAGGTCTCCAAGTTGTATATCTTCTCTATTAATCAGAAGCCCTAAATAGAGAATGCAATATAACTTTATTGGAGAAACATAATGCACCCCATATTTATAAGCATTTGAGCATTCTGTTATTGATAGTCTGTGACATTTTAAATCTCTTCTGATGTCTGCCTTATGTTTTGTGAAATGTTTTTTGGACATATGTTTACGAAATTCTCTCATACTATAACGGTTGAAATGTAGTTTGGTTTCAATCTCCCCTGATTTATCAGAGCCACTCTTTAAGCTTGTCAAAGTCTCATTATGGAGGGATGCGGATTCTTGGTTTGATTGTTGTGAGAATTCATCATATTGAACTTGAACTAATGCTCTCTAAAAAGATTTCACTTTTGAAGACAGAAGGAGAATTATCTAATTATTGATCAATATATATATATATATATATATATATTTACCTTTTTCCTAGACCTTTCTCTTCTTATTGTTGTGGAATCCATTTCCGAGACAGATCCTTCAGATAAAGACCGGCCTCTTTTTTTTCTTTTTTTGCCAAGTCCATAGAGAATTTCACTATCCCTAATAAGGATTGACTTATTCAGTTTCATTAATGTTCTTCAAGAATAACTGACTCACCGCTTTGACCTCACTATTGACAATTTTGGTACTTCCTCCTGAACCAAGTTGATGACCTCCAACTTTACCAAATATTCCATCCACAAGCACTTAATAATTGGTTTTATAGATTTGTCGGCACCAAGTTCTATCAACTCATTTGTTAAGGAGGCCATAATGATATTATAACACTCCCAACTAGTGATCTTGTTTTCAGGATTATCATTTTTAGATTCTCTGATTTTCTTGGTACTCTTTGTATTTATCTCTGATATTTCTTGTTGGAAAACATGTTCCCGCACTTCTTGACTTTGCGTTTGGCATTCACTGCAGTAGAAGTAACCAGATTCTTTGATAAAATCTGATCCACCGCATGTGGCACACTCCATTAGCAAATCTCGGTGTACAAAATAATATAAATATTCAGAAAATACAAAATCAAATTATCAAAAGCAAAAATTTGGCAAAAGTATGTAACCGAAAGGGTAAAGGGTTAATATCATTGTCGGCCTCGTCTGCTTCTGTTTTGTGGTTTCGCTATTCGATCCCATTTAGCCACGATGGCCAAGGGGCTACTATCATATTGATCTGTTTTTCTAAATAGAATAAAGTCAAGATTCGAAATGGTTAGAAGATTCTTCTTGTGGTTTACGTGTGTGCATTAGTGCCGCCCCGCCACTGCTTTGCTCTACTGTGGCTGTGGCAAGGGCTCACATTGGCCGTCCTGGAGTCACAAATGTCAATGTTTGTAATTGTAATCTAAATATTTGATCAAATGTGACCCATGTTAAGAAGTTTTATCAGTTCTAATAAGTGGTTGTTATCAGCACTCCAACAAACCAAGTTGGGATATCCTGGACTAAAGGTATTGTCTGTTGTTTATACGCGTTTTTTGGGTTTTCATAAGATGTCCGGAGAAAATGTTGACTTATTTTATAATACTGTATTGAATTTAACAGAACAGGCTGGCAAGGTGATGTATTTAAATCATTATTATTAATAATAAAATTGAACCTTTTAATAATTATAGATCATCAAGGAAAACATATCTTCAAGACATAAAAATATTAATTTCAAGTCATCCAATATAGATATGGTAACAGAAACCGATCAAGCAGTAGAAAAATTATTCATTGATAGCCTTTCCAAAGAATTTCCTGATCATAAGTTCATTGGGGAAGAATCATCATCTACTGACCAACAAGAACTAACAAATGATCCCACATGGGTCATAGATCCTGTTGATGGAACAATGAATTTTGTTCACACCTTTCCCCATTCTTGTATTTCAATAGCACTATTCATTGAGAAAGAACCTGTGATTGGAATCATTTTCAATCCTATGTTGAGTCAACTGTTCACTGCAAGGAAAGGACAGGGTGCCTTTCTTAATGGTGAACGTATTTCAGTATCAGACAAAACATCACTATCAGATGCTCTGATTATGATGGAGTTTGGTACAAGTAGGCATCCTGAAAGATTGAGAAACTGTCTGGAGAACCAACAAAAATTGATGCCTCATGTCCATGGGTAAGTTTCCATTTGTTGGATTTCATTTAATCAATAGACAAAAATGCATTATCTAGGTACCTACCACTAAAAAAAATGCACTTCATATCAGGTACTTGAAGGTATCAAAATATACTATTCCTAATAGGTAAAATATTTTTTTATATGATCTTTTTATGTTGTAGGTTAAGGGCACTAGGTTCTGCTGCCTTAGACATGGCAATGGTAGCTTGTGGTGCAGCAGATGCATATTTTGAATTTGGTATTCACATTTGGGACATTGCAGCTGGTGAACTGATTGTAAGAGAAGCTGGTGGGGTCATAATTGACCCTGCAGGTGGTAAAATTGAGCGATTCTCTAGGAGAGTTCTTGTAGCTAGTTCTCAAGAGCTAGCAGAAAAGTTGTCTCAGCAACTGACACAATTGTATCCCCTTGAATTAGAAAAATGAAGAATAGGTAAGAGACTTTTGAAAACTAGTCCCTGTCTTTTGCAGCCTTCAAATTCATAGGATAATGTACAGAACAAATACTGAAAGGACTGTAACAATTCAATCTCAAAATTATTTAGTTTTATTTCAAAAATGTTTCACATTTTTAATTGACTAACTATAATAATTAGATAAACATAACTCAAAGAAACATAGAAAATGTGAATAAAAATTATTACTTGAGTGACTTTTCTTTCCAGTACAATATTATTTTTGGATCAGTTCTCAAAGTTTCAGGATATGCTGAAGATGCAAAAAATATGGAAAAGCCATTATATCTTTATAGTTACCTGATGAGAATCTTAATTTTAGTTCAGTTCTGAAATTCAAATGTGCTTTCATTCTATTCCACATGGTAGCATTAATCAGGTTTCTTCTCAAAATTGTATGACTTCTAACCAATTTTGCTAGTGAAACCTCACATTTAATTTTAGTCTAATAGATATGACCTCATCAGAGTGACATAACCTTCCTTTATGTACACAAACACTCAGGATACATACAGATTACAATGATACAAATCATTTGTGTAATGTGTAAGTTATATGGGAGAAAATTTTTGTTATTTTCATCATAAAATTGTATATCAACATAGCTAGTTTGTCAATATATATGTATATATACAAATGATACAGAGTTGTTTCTTTTTTTACAATATACCCCTATATTAAAATATACCATACTTTATTATGTGCTCTGAATTCTATTAGGCAATATTTCATTCCTGCCTTGACTTTCACAGTGAATATATTGAAACAATCAATTTTACATTGTTTTGACAGAAGGGTGTGGCCCATCCCCATTATGCTAACCTAACCTAACACACCCCAAGTCACCAAGACTCTATTATTATCTCTTCATATTGTATAAATTTTGTGCATGTTCTATACACGTGTATAATAATGGTTTATATATACTTTGTTCCTGTGTATCTTTGAATTAATAATAGGTAACAAAGGTTCTCCATGTAATTATATATACATGCAATGTTTCAAAGTATTGTCTTTTATAATTCCTATCTTAATATGTTCAGAATAATCTATTTTGTTTACTTAACAATGCATACCTATATGGTGAATAGATAAGACAAAAAGAATGACAAAGGTATAATTGAAGTACAGCAAAAACAACATTTCATTGTGTAATATTGAGGCATTTCAACAAGCTGAAATTCCACTATTGTCATGTCTGAAATCAATCTTGATTTATATTATGATGTCTTACTGAATTTAGTGATGCAGGCAGGAAAGGTATGAATCTATCTACCTTTAATAGATGTTTGAGTTTTATTCCTTGCTGTTTTAGATGATCAATGAAAATATATCATCAAGAAATAAAGAGATTGAATGTAAATCTAGCACCACGGATTTCGTTACCAAAACCGATAAGGCTGTTGAGAAGCTGCTTATTGATAACATTTCGAAACAATTTCCTGATCACAAGTTTATAGCAGAAGAATCTTACTCTGGCGAAAAAATTTTAACAGACGATCCCACCTGGATAATAGATCCTATCGACGGAACAATGAATTTCGTTCACTCATTTCCACACTCCTGTGTTTCGATAGCGCTATTCGTCAATAAAATCCCGGAAATTGGTGTCATTTACAATCCCACGCTGGAACAACTTTTTACAGCTAGGAGGGGTCGGGGTGCTTTCTTGAATGGACGACCTATCAGAGTTTCTGGCAAAAAGGAGTTGTCAGAAGCTCTTATTATGATGGAAGTTGGTGGCAGAGATCCCGAGAAAAGGAGGGTGGTTGATGAAAATCAAAAGATATTGATGCCCCAGATACATGGGTAAGAATGAGTTTGATTGCACATAACTTGCATCATTATGTAAATTTAGTGAAAGATTATTCCACTTGATTTGATTTTACCAACCTAGAATGAACCGATTTCGGGAATTTTTTTGAGGGAAGGGTCTTGTTTTGAGTTTTCATGGTGAAATTCGCAAATAACATCTATTTGCATATTAACGCGTGTTAACACAAAGAGTAAAAAATTACACTGCCAAACGGATTCCATAGATGTAAATTATTGCTTTGCATTCCTCGTGAAAACAATACTTTCTCCACCATTCAAATAAAATCGTCATCAGCTAGGATATGTTCAGAGAAGGTGTTATAGATAAATGGATTTATATTTCATCTGATGTGGTTGGTATATAAATGTTGACCTAGATGTTGGCGGTTCTTAATTTGGATCGAAAATTAAAAATATTGCTTATTCAAATTGCTGGTAATGAAATTAAAATTTATACTTCAGTGTCCCGAAATTGCATAAAAAGATTTCAACCAAAGATTCTAGGAACAAAATTTGTAAAATAAGTTAATTTGAACATGTGCCTCAGAAATGCCCCCCTGCGGAGTTATAGCCATCTGGAAAGGGCCCGAGATAATGTTTTTTTTTTTTGTAAATAGTTCCGAAACCCTCTGTGTTGAGATAACGAAATTTTGTACAGTGTGCGGCCCCAATAAATCGACTCTTGGTCGAATTTAAATATTTTTGTCTAAGCACATGTACTATTCATTGCCAAGAAACGAACCATGTTTCCCTCATTAGTATATTCACCACGTTATACACATGTCGTGTTTACCAACATCGATAACTCAAGAGTGCGTGTATCCCTTCTCGCACTCTACGTTATACTGGCCTCTCAGCTCAGCCTATTCACCTAAGGCTTGTTCGCGTTCAAAATATAAACAGTCCGAAACCATCAGGAGCACGGGCAGTTTTACAGAAGACTTCGAATTTTTTAAGTTCCGTGGAACTGCGCATGCTTCTGATGGTTTTGGACTGTTTATTTTTCGAACGCGAACAAACCTCTAGAGACACATGCCAGGTGCGCATGTGATGGGTGTTGATAAGTGTTCTAAATATTACATCTCGAATACTGAGTTGAATAAAATACAAAAGGTATAGGCTATCCTCCACCGGGGTCCTCAGAGGTGTTATAATTATTCGAAAGTGAAAAATAACAATGACATATGGTCCTTCTTTGGAAATTATGAATAAAATGAATCGGGATATTGATCTGACCTGATTTTCATGGGTTTTCAACTTGTCCTAGACAATTATCAATTTGTACTCGCGCGTCACCAATTAAATTTGAATATGCGATAAAAATTGAAGATTTCGAACGATTAGTAAATGCATGAAATTATATTATGAAATTATATGAAAATACCATTAATGTCCTAACAAAACTAAAGAGACTAATGAATGAGATGAAAATTGAATCATAATTCTCACTTCCTGTCCACACCAAGGGTAAATTATGTGTGAACCAATGAAATTTGGATATACCACAAATCTGTATGAATCAGAGTTAAGCCTTTCAAGGGATTGTTCTGAAAGTGTTGATTTACAGAAAGTATATCAAGCGACAGACCGACAGGTATTATTTCTATTAAGTTACGTTGTAGATTGTAGATGATTATTTGTTTTAAAGAATTATTAGTATGCATATTTCTTTGTAGAAAAACTTTGAACTATATAAGAATATTGAATACGGCCTTCTAATCCTCTTACAATTATTATGGCATACACCTCCAACAGGTGTCAACTACACATGTGAGAAAGCACTTCCATTTCAATTATGTTGAAATAGTGATAGGTTACAATAGATTGCAGGCCCAACGATAAATTTCAAATCTAAATTGATATTTCACTTTGCCCGCTCGCTCCGCTTTGCCCGTTCCTCGATCGAAAAAACGATTTTCACTATTTTATATTGTTGAAAGTATAGTGACGAAGACGATCAAACCTGTTCAGACCCCAAATAAAAGACGGCAGTATATGAGTCAATTTGAATTTACGTCTTTTCCAAATTTACCACTACCATCCGAAGTTATCTCACTTGACGGTATCCTTTTTGTACCAAAATTATCACTCTGAATTATCCTATACTGTTGACAGTTGATCATTTTGTGTCAATTCATCGCGTGAACTAGATCTATACATAGTTATACTACCATAAAAAAATCCTTTACTCAATATTCTATTCATTATTATTGTTCCAGCTTGAGATCATTAGGATCAGCAGCCCTAAATATGGCGATGGTAGCTTGCGGGGCAGCTGAGGCATACTTTGATTTCGCTTTGCAAATTTGGGACATTGCTGCAGGTGAACTAATCATAACTGAAGCTGGAGGGGTGATAATGGACCCTGCCGGCGGGGAATTACAAAGATTTTCCAGGAGAGTTTTGGTGGCAAGCTCAAAAGAAATGGCCGAGAATTTGATTCGAAACATTGTCCATTTTTATCCCACATCGTCGACGACATATTAGGTGAATAAATGTGAAAGCCTGGATTAGTTTATTGTTTTTTTTCTGCGTAGTAGTTGATGTATCCCAGATAACACTGATCTAATTCAAAACTGACGGCCGACTATTGAAATATAATAACTTCTCGGCGTCGATGTGTCCAGGCGGCTGCCAGCCGGCCCTAATAAACATTACCGGCGATTAATTTATTGACTTTAAAGTAGTACAGCGGCAACAAATTTCATGCACCATTGATATGGGAGCGTTCAACGATCAACGTATATGCGCTTGCAAATCCCTATTAAGGAGGATGAGTTTTTCGAGTACTTTCCAAGACCGCGAACTACAAACAGTTCTGATTGCACCGGTAATGCATACAACTGCTATAGTATTGCTAGTCTTTCAACTTTCGTGAGATTAGTCTTTGTGGAGGCTCGACTAGTTCTGTCTCCCCAGACCACCGCCTTATATATGTGACGATAGGTCTCACTATTGCTGTGTACATCTATCTGAATGGGTCCTAAGGGCGCAGCCCCATCAGCTTTTTTCTGCGATGTTTCTGCATATCATCAAAGCTTTTGTGGCCTTGTTGATTACTTCTCGTGTTTATTCCAAAGAAGTTTTTGGTCCAGGACGAGTGCCAAAAAGTATTTTACCTCTTCTTTTAATTCTATATCTATCGCACCTGTTCGGATGGTTTTGAGATTAGTTTTCCTTTTCCTCGTGAAGGCTACTATGGTGGTTCCCACTGACTGACGCCATTCTTTTGTGAAGTTTAGTCCTCTCTGAACTGTCACAGAGGGTTCCTTCAAGTTTACCAGTCATCTAGGCATCTTGACAGGATATGCCGAGGTCAGTCAGCCCACAGAGTAGTTTGTCTACTGTGAGACTCCACATTGAAAAAAAAATCGTTCTATCCGTCATTCGGTTGCCCCCTTACGAGAAACCCTCAGAAAACTTCCAGAGACTTGTGCGAGCCAGGAATGACGGGGGCTTCACCTTTTAACGTGTGATCCCAAACACTTTCTTGGGCCATCAGAAAATGTCTGCAGTCGATGGGAATCGAACCCACGACCGGCAAGCGAATGCGGATTAGAATATTGACACTGTCCGCACGGCTACCTGGCCGTTAAGGGGGGATATAGCACTCCTCCTTGCGGGTAGCCCCTTGTTTGGATTGAGATGCGGTAGGCGGTATCTTTGCCAACCTTCGTTTTTACAATCCTTGTAGAGAGCAGCTGGGACATCCATCTACTCCTCGTGACTTCTAGTTACCTTTTGACAGCTCTATTGTCAAAAGAGGTCAAAAGCTCCTTCACCCAAGAAGGCACACATTGATGTTTCTTTATTTGTCAGTGCATCTTGGATGCTTCCTGTCGGCTGTACCAGAGTGTAGTTTCTGTAGATTTACCAGCTTGATACGCATGCTGCCGGGGGCGGAGGGGCACCATATGTAAGATATATCTTTGGTAAAACTGCATTTAGCATGCGATGGGTTTTTTTTCGAAAATTTTTTTTGGTACTTACGTATTTTTGTCTGAAAAACACGAATTTGATAATGAAAATGTGAACAAACCATTATTTATCAAGATATTTCACTATAAAGTTTCAAATTTCACCTTCTTTTCCGCCTGTCTTCTGGATTGAATTTTAAACAATTCACCCTTCTTTTTTCATCATTGGACAATTTATATATATATCACAATGTAAGACACATTTTTTTCTATTATTGAGTCAACTAGAAATATGATTTTCTTGTGATTTATCCATATTTATTGAAAAGAAGGAAGAATATCATTTGAAATAATGGCGTGTGTAATGTCATTCCAAAGCAATCTATTGACATTTGACATCTCGTATTTGGATTGCCTATGGATAAAATGGCCGTCATCTGGTATGCTTGCTCACTAAATAAGAAAAACTCACCATAAAAATCATATTTCCTGTTGAATTTTCTGTATAAAAATGTGTCATTGAAGTACATCATGAGTATATAAAGTGTCCAATGACAAAATAAGAAGAGCAAGTACCTGAAAATGCATCCAACGCAAGGGGAAAAAGGAGTCGAAATTTCGAACTTATTTTTGAAATATCTCGATAAATAGTGGTTTGTTCACATTTTCATTATCAAATTCGCGTTTTTCAGACAAAAATACGTAAGTACCAAAAAAAATTTTCGAAAAAAAAACCATCGCATGCTAAATGCAGTTTTACCATATCTGTTCCCAAATAATTATCTACAGCCTAAGTTAATACTGAAATGATAGATGTATCTATATTGAAACATTGAAACCATCAAAATGAATCTGCAAACTGGCTTTGTTGAAATTCGTTTCACAAATTTTAAATTATCACAAAATTCAAATATAACCACTGAATCCACCTTGGTTATAGTTCAAACAAAAGTCAACTAGCTCGTGAGAACACAACTATTGGACGGCAGTTGACAAAATAGAACCAAATCAGCCGGATAGCCCCAAGGCTATCATGCAGCTGACCGTTTACAAGGTCAAAAATGTCAAAAGTCGGCTCGGTATTTTAGACTTAGAATTTGTAATATTTGATGTATTTCGCAAAAAATAGTTATTTTTTTCAGAGAAATACCTGCTTACTTTATAGTTTATTTAGAAGAATGTCTTCGAATTTGAAATGTAAAGTTGCTGTTTGCCAGTTCACCGCCTCTAATAATAAATCAGAAAACTTGACCGTTGTTCAAAAACTAGTGAATGATGCAGTTTCAAAAGATGCCAAGATGGTATTCTTACCCGAGGCAACAGATTATATTGCTACAAACAAGACAGAAGCTAAATCTTTAGCCGAACCATTGGATGGCCCTTTAGTGAGTGAGTACAAGAAGATTGCTAAGCAGAATAAAGTTTGGTTATCCTTGGGAGGACTGCATGAGAAAATTGATGAAGATTTAGTCTACAATAGTCACATAGTAATTGATGATACAGGCGAAATAAAATCCGTGTATAGAAAAATTCATTTGTTTGATGTGGCTATTCCAGAGAAGAATGTATTTCTCAGAGAATCAGATATTAACATTGGAGGCTCCCAAATTTTGCCTCCTGTCAACACACCTGCTGGACAAATAGGACTAGCTATTTGTTATGATCTCCGATTCCCAGAGCTAAGCACATTACAAACTAAATTGGGTGCTGAAATTCTCACCTATCCTTCTGCATTTACCTCTGGTACAGGCCTAGCTCATTGGGAAATTCTTCTACGTGCTAGAGCTATTGAGAATCAATGCTATGTCATTGCAGCTGCTCAATATGGAAAGCACAATAAGAAGAGAACTTCCTTTGGGCAAGCAATGATAGTGAATCCTTGGGGTACCATCAAAGCTGAATGCCCAAAATATACAGAAGGCATAGAAACAAATCAGAGTATTGCTGTTGCAGAAATAGACTGTGAGCTATTGAGAAAAATCAGACAGGAGATGCCTGTGCATCAGCATAGAAGAAATGACATTTATAATCTCAATTTGGTGAAGAACAAGTGTCTTCCTGTTAGTGATGATGTATCTTTTAGCTTTGCCAACAAAGTCATTCCAGGGTCTACTGTGTTCTTCTGTTCAAAGTACTGTTATGCTTTCACAAATATAAGGTGTGTGGTTCCTGGACATGTACTAGTGGCAACTTTGAGGAAAACTGCTAGATTAGTGGATTTATCTCAAGAAGAAATTGCAGATTTATTCCAAGTAAGTCATAATTGACTAATGACAAGAATATAGGTAGCAATGAATACTACCTTTAAAAGAAAAATATTGGTGCAGGTAGCTGTTGCAGTTTCTTTGTATATAACAGTAAATAAAAATGGGTATAGTTTGTCAAGTTGAACCTGCCTACCTACCTATACAATGTGTTGAACACATTTCATGCATTTCAATTTACACATTTCATGTATATTGGCTATTTAAAAAGTAGTTTTGACAATATTACATTCATCATATGATTTTTTTATAAGAATGAGCATATGCTACATTTAATAATTAACTAACTCTTCATCTGAATTTTCAGTAAATGTTAAGTAATGGTATATAATAGAAATTAATCAGAGATAGTAATAATGAAATTGTGAAATCTAATAGTATTACAATATATAGAGTACAAACCTAAATGACTTGATCAGTAGGAAATTTCATTATCTAGCAACCTGAATATGATTTTTTGTTATACTTATAAGCAGGATTTTTAAATTGAGACATTTTTCCAGACTGTCATAGCTGTTCAGAGGATAATTGAGATAGAACACAACTCTAGTTCATCTACTGTTTGTGTTCAAGATGGCAAATTTGCAGGACAGACAGTGCCACATGTTCATGTTCATATTATGCCCAGAAGAAAGGGTGATTTTGCTAGGAATGATGACATCTACATGCATCTAGCCCAGCATGATAAAGATGAAAATGATCAGCCAATCAGGTTACCAGAGGAGATGAGCCAAGAAGCTAGCAAATTAAGGAAGTATCTAAATTCTTAGATATCAGAATTAGATGCTTCTTGCCATCTTAGGAAAAATCTGTGGTGAGTGTTTCATATATTCTCTATCAAGTTCTCTATACACACAATCATTTTGTGATGCAATTATTCTGAGAACAGTTTCTTTGTTGCTTGTCTTCAAGTAAATCTTCATTATCTGCTTGGATGCAATTGTATTAAGGAAGTATCTAAATTCTTAGATATCAGAAGTAGATGGTTCTTGCCTTCTTAGGAAAAATCTGTGCTGAGTGTTTCATATATTCTCTATCAAGTTCTCTATACACACAAACAATCATTTTGTGATGCAATTATTCTGAGAAGAGTTTCTTTGTTGCTTGTCTTCAAGTAAATCTTCATTATCTGCTTGGTTGTAATTGTATTGAACATTTCATTTAATATTTTTTTGTGCTGAGAATTCTCATACATGCAAAAGTAATTGGTTAAAGATAATCATGCTGTTCTGTTTTCTAATTTGAATCAATATTTGGGTATAGTTATACCAGATAAATTCCTCAACATGTGGAAAACATTCAGAGTTATTTTTTGCATAAAAAACTATCAGATTTCCATTATCTAAAATTCCATTTTATGCAATGTTTGCTTCAAATTTTGTGTGGCTTGGTATCAACTAATTACAATATATCTAGTAATTTCAAGGATCTGCCAATATGGGACAAATTGATTAGTCATTTAGAAGTTTACACAAAAAATGACTCATCAGATTTATGGCATTTTCCATTTTTCCTCTAATTTTGACAGGTGTGTCATGTGTAGGAATCACCCTTTTTAATGTTGATATCTCAAAATTTCTCTTCAATTAATATACTTGTTATTTTTCAGATATTTTCAAAATTATGGCAACATCATAAGGAGATGGATTTGATAATCTGAGGATGACATAGACAGCTTCAATTTTGTGAGTTACTACTTATCTTAAAATCTGCCAATATTGATGCATTTTTGTATATGATATTTTATAAAGGGGTTGTACTGTGGGTCAACCAACAACTGTGCTTGACTATTTATTCTAATAGATTAGGGTAAAAGAAAAGGTAGAATAAAAATGAATTTTCAAGTAAAATATACTGTACTATAAGAAGTAAAAACAATTCAAAATTTCAACACATTTGATTTTAGATTTAAAAAAATATTATAATCCTAAAAAACTACAAAATACAACATAATGTAACAGTCCCTACATTCTGCATCTGAAAAAAATCAAATATCTTTTCCTTCTCTTTGGGTGCCTACTTTCTACTCGTCAGTCTCTGGATTGTGTTCTTGAGGTATCTCGTCGACGATGCCTACTTGCTGGGCGTAGTTCAGCCCCTCCAAGTAGTTGCTGTGAAACTCTTGGGCGGCGTTCTCGCTGCTGAAGGACGCTTTGAGGGTCCTCCAGTACAGGCTGCCGTACGCCCATTCTACTGCTTTCCAAGTGCACTCCTTTTTGTCAATCTGTAAAAACAAGGGATGCAAATTCACTGAGTCTAAAGGGTACGGACATGCCGAAAATACATGGATGTGCGTGGTGGAGGTGGCGGTCGCGGTAGCTACATGGATGTCAAAACAAACACATTCTTCCTTATGAGCTGTTTATTTTTATCGCTTGGAGCGCACGAAAGGAAATCCCCAATAATGTTCAAAGAACATCATGCGTTCCTAGGGAGGATAGGGACAGGAGGTAGGTAAATTACCATGTTTATTGGTGTTTTTCAAACCATGTGACATTCACCAGCGATATGGATGGTATTTCTTTATTTCTTGTTCTTGTTATTAACAGGTTTAGAGACGTTTGGGTTGTTGGTTTTGTTGATGTTCGGCGATTTTATAAACAAAAATGAAGGATGAGCTGATAGATTTGGTATTTTGTGCTCCGCCTTTATGGGATAACCGCCATAAACTAGAGTCCCTGTATATACCTTAGACAAGAGTTCGGACACAAAACTGACAGCCCTTGGAGTTTTTAATATTTTGTTTCATTTGGTTTGCCCACCTGACAATGTGACGAAACACCATAGTCGTTCCGCCCGCTTTTTTTAATTATTTCGAATTTCTGTCACTGTCAATGAAATTTTATGACCGCCAAAATTTTGCATTTTGAAATATTTCAATGTCCTGCTGCGTACATTATTTCGATAATTCATTAGAAAAGGGATTCAAGTTATTCAATTTTCCGAATGATCCTTTAGAGATAATGTCATGGAAGAATGCAATGAAAAATTAATTTCAAGAAATCCGAAATATGTGAGGTGAATATTCTTGAAAAAACAGTATAAAAAAGATGAATTTCAGGCCCATTTTGATAGAGATTCTTTCAAGCTGATGGATTTCAAATTGAAAGAGTCTGCTGTGCCGTCAATTTATAAAATAAAGACGTTCAAAAAAAAAGTTCCGTCGTCATCGTATTGGGAATTACTGAATGATACGATCGCAGAGGAAGAAAATGAGAATGAGACGATGCGGAAAGGAATTGAACGTTTGAAATCAAAACTTGAAGATTTAGAGAAATTGCAATGTGCTATGTCATCAGTCCACGGTGTTTTTAATTCAGATCGAATACAAAATTTACAGGTGCGAATGTAGACTGCAGGAAGAGGTGGAAAACCGACACAATTAAAATTATATTGAAACAATTATATATATCTTCTATTTTTTTATATCCCAACAGAAAACAACTAAATATATTTTCTTGACTATGTAGAACACTTAAATTATCTTTCTTATATCTAATGGTATCTCAGGAATAATTGATAATGAAATTTATCGATTCGAAATTTGAACACCCTGTTGTTCATTATTTGAAATTTCTCACTTCTACCTACGGGTATGAACGGTTTGACAAAAAATCTAACCCTCAAAATTTTTTCTGACAATCATTGATCCTAGGGGAATTGAAAAGACAGAGCTGGATATATATGTCTTATTCCTTTATTCAATCATCAATGCATTTTTTGAAAACAGAAAAGGACAGAAGTATAGCTGTGTCCGGACTCTTGTCTAAGGTATATACAGGGACTCTACCATAAACAACATCATAAAAGGCATGTTCTGGAGAGGGACTTTAAATAGGTGATTGTATTCTCCTACTCCTTTTTTGATTTATAGGATGAGCAGAAAACTGGCGAATTACAAATCATCTTTCACTCACAGGGAGGTGTTCCCCGAGGCATATAACCTCCAGAAATTTAAGAAAGAACACCAATTCCTACCTTATTTTCCTTGGTTCTCACGATGTTCTCTGAACATTATAGGATATCCCTTTTCGTGGGAACCAGAACATAAAAAACAAACTTGAAGACGTACAATCACTGTCGTCACTGCTGTTGCTTCTATACAGGGTGTTCCTTAAAGACATGCTAATATTCAAGGGGGTGATTCTTCAACGCATATCAAGGAAAAAACTTCCCACTAACGTATATCCTTAGTCTTAACTTTTGAGATACAGTGTAGTCAACTTTATGAAATCTGGTACATATCTTCTATGCATCAAGGTGCATTTATTGATGTATACAAATTTTCCTTTTCTCCACCAGTGGCGCAGTTAGGGGGATATGATTGATTATATTATACTTAGTGAGCAACGAAGGAATATTTCCAAATTTGATTAAATGCTATAAAAAGTCATTCAATTTTGAACAAAAAAGATCCACTTGTTGATACCCCACAGGACGCTCCGTTTTCGAGAAAAAACGAGACCAGACTCCAAATTTTGATGTCTGCATGAGAGTACTCCATTCAGAACAGCTATTACTGGATAACCACAGTATGTAACATTTTTGCACCGTTTCAGTCACATGAAGAATGAATGAATTTTTCCATCAGGAAAAGCTATACAGGGTGGACAAAAAAGAATCTATATGTATATGAAGTTTTATTCTTGTAATGGGTCCAAAAATCCACCCTTGAATATTAGCAAGTCATTAAGGAACATCATGGATACATAGTTTTATGATTTAAAACAGCAAATTTCCCCAAATCACGTAGTCACCTCAGAAACCGCAAAGAACACTGAAATGAAGGCATATTCGCTGGTATATTCTGCTTGTCATCGATGTAAACCACGACCGCGAGCTCCATCACCGCATATCCATGTATCTTCTGCATGTCCGTACCAAAGAATCTGAATCTAATTTGTGCCTCTAAGCCTCTTCCAATTTCAAAATTGTTAATTCAATCTCCAAATGTGTCGCATGTATTCCAAATTAGTTTATTTAATTTCTAAAACTACAATATTCAGTGTAGACTCTATGATGGAATACATTTTGTATTTCCATTACAGAAATATATGTCTAAAAAATCCTCGGACAGGTCGATTTTTATCAGTCTACTAGCTTGTACCCGCGGATTTGCTCGCGTTGAAGTTTCCAAATACATATCAAAGATCATTACATTCCAATAGAACTGTATCAATAGGATTATTTCTACATACAATGAAGTTTTAAGAACTGAAAACATGCTTTATTGAAATAATTTACTACATACAACAAAAGTAAAAAGTAATTCACTATAATTGAAATAACAGGAATATTCTGGCCCGAGCTTCGTTCACGACCGATCTTGAGAAAAGCACGATTGAAATAGCGAATCACTATCGGCCCCAACAGTAAAGGCCTCCACAGTATTCTTTTCGATTTAATCACTTTGAACAAAAAAGTAGGTGAAGTACGGGATTCAAGCCTGGGACCTTTGGCTTATCAAGCACGCACCTTGCTCCATTTGCCATTATGTTTACTGCAAGTTTATGTACAAAACAGATTCATATAGGAAGGATAATCCTCACCACGCGGATTATTTGTTGCATCGCATCCTTATGGAACGGTGGACCATTTCGGGTGGTATTCGCGATAGAAGATAAGCTTACGCCACCTATCGGAGTTGTTGGATGCTGTCAAGGCGGTCTGTTTACTCTGTTTTGATTGGTTCACATTTGTTTTTTGCCAATGTTTATAGGTCATATCATCAAAACAAACTGCTCAGAAGTGGTTGTTACCGTCAGGTGGGGCGACGTGTTATTTTCTATCGCAAATTGCTTCCGCATGGATCATTTGTTGGGTCCTGTCCCAAGATGGATCAATTCAGGTAGTATTGAATTCGTGCATTTTGGTTACGCAGAAGACTAAAACGTCAATGTCATTCGTGGTCAAGTCACTGAATAGCCAAAAATCTGAAGGGTATTCCATGCAGTAATGAATTTGCGCCTTCGAAGTGGCCACCTAACATCAGGTTACATATTTTTCATTAATCCGAGAGTTACAAGTCCCTCGAGACGTATCCTAATAACTAATATCTAAGGCACAGACGTATAGAGTTCCATGTCTGATTGTTGGATATTTTGTGTCCAACAATCATGTCTGCCTAAATATTTGTAACTAATTTTTTTCTTTTTCAATAAAAAGTATCTTATGTCCTTTCTAATACATCTAAGAATATGTATACAAAGTTCAAGGACAATCGGTTCAGTAATTTTGGCGTGAAACTTACATTCACATTTATAATATTACTAGAAAAGGGATAGGGATTTTTTTCGTGAAATTGTTCAACCACCTATCGTTAGAGTATTTCAAATCTCTATACAATGGTCTATTTTTTTAATCTGGTTGAGCCATATTTACAAAATAGCAGTTAAAAGATTTAGAAACTAATTAGAATTCTTGTTCGAATCATTGGTAATGGTAGGTACTGTTTCATTGTACATAGGCATAGACGGATATTCAGTATAAAAAACTGATTTTGAATGTAGGTAAGTTTACTTTTTAAGTAATACAATGAAACAGTACCTACCATTACCAATAGTTTGGACAGAAATTCCAACAAATTTTGAAGCTTTTGACAGCTCTCTTGAGGAATGGCACAACCGAAACAAAAGAAAAATAGACCGGTTATATAGGGGTTCAAAATACCTCTCAGTGTTTAACTATATCAATATCACCAGAAAAATGAAACTGAGATGGGGCTTGGGTTGAAAGACCCGACATCAGGCAGAATTACAAAAAAATCTTCTATCTCTGAGAAGGGATCTGAAACTGATGCAGATTATGTCTAGTAATGGAAACCCTCATAGGATGAATTGAACAATGAAATCAATTTGACGTATAACTCTATTTGAGAGGCCTGTAGAAGGGCAGTAGCTCAATGGACACATACCAGCTTTCAAAGCAATCATTTTTTGTTTGAAAGAGAGCAATTTTCATTTTCTTCCCCGATGAATATTTCAAGTACTTTTCACCTATAGTTATGTTAGATTGTTTAGAAGGAAAATCAAATGCTTGTCGTGAAAACAACATAATTCCCTATGAAAATAAACCTTACAACCTACTTTGAGGAGTAATTATTTCTCCAATGTTTCATTAGGTATAGTTCAACCAGCCAAATAAGTCCTGGAAAGAAAGGAAGAGGATGAAGCCGCTCAGTCCTCAGAGCCTAGAATATCTAGGTTTTGCAAATGAAGTCGAACATTTGAAAACTGTCAAAATAAAAACCCAATTCGGGAAAAAATAATTATATTCTTGTGGAATAAATATTTATAATAGTCTACCCAACAGAAATTTATTAGGTTCGTCACAAAATTCAAGAGTGAACTGAAGAAATATATTTAATAAATTCAACTATCTCCTTGAATCAATTAATTCTGATTGAACTGTTTATTTGATTTATTTTATTCTTATTATTATTATTTTTTTCAAGTCGATATGACTAACTGCAGTTTAGAATTCTTGCTATCATTTCTTTCAAGTGCTTAGGATTCAGTTTTAAAATTGACAGTGAGTTGATGAACGCAACATTTTATATTGTGTTTTGGGCTCACATTCTTCCGTGCGGTCATCTTTCAGACACAAAAATAAACAGCAGCTAAATGAAAAACTAAAAACTTACATCCATTGTTGTGTTGATGCCAATCAAGGTGTTACTCAATACATTTCCACTGTCATCGTTCACCGCTATCCTAGCGGCATACAATTCTTGATCATAGTAAACTTGAAGATCGCCCATTGTCACTTGCTTCCACGTACCGTTGTCCAACTCACTCAACGTGCATCGTTTCATAAACATCACAGATCTGAAAAATAATTGTACAAACCAATAACAATAATCTTTATTTCAAGGAACGTGATGAAATAAATAAAATTCAACACAAAACATTAAATGAAATGAAAAAACGTCACAAAAATGGTACATTTGACAGGGCGTGTACCTAATATTTACATTATACAAAATCATGTATTTATATGTACAACTTTTAAATAACATAGATATTATGGAATGACTGAAATACAGAGAGAATAACATAATTATGATATTATACTATTATAATAATAATTATGCCATCCAATATCAATTGAATGGTAGACCTCAAAACTCTACCTGCCCCACCCCTTAATCTGAGTCAAATCCTTGGCACTGATTTTTTTCTTGCTGTCGTTATTCCGAACATACTTACGTCAAGTGATAATTAGTTCAGACAAAATGCAAATAAAAGGAGAAATCTCCCCTTCGCAAATATTCAAACGTGCCACGATTTAATCTGATAGTGAGTGCGAGAGCATCAGTATTTCCGAGAATATTCCGCCCTTGTCAAACACACTATCTATTTGAAAGAAAAATATCTGGCATGATTTGATTACTTAGGAATGAAATATAACTTTAATCTTATAAGACACAATATTAATTCGTTTCCACTGAGTGGAATTCATTATAGTTAACCCTTTATTATTATTTTTTTATATGTATTTATGTATCCCTATCATAAACAGAAATGTTTCTTGGGGTAATAAAGACAATCAATCAATCTGATGGACTATCGGTTGGATAACCTGATTCATCGGATATTATTTTTCGACTGGGGCAGAATATTGACGCTCTACCACTAACTTAGATCATTTTGAATAGCGGCACGTTTGGAAATTAGCGAAAGACGCATTTTGCCATTTTATTTGTATTTTGTTTCAACTGAATAGCACGTGACGGAAGTATGTCCGGAGTAATGGTAGCAAAAAAATCTTGAGAGGTAGCACAGGTAGGGTTTGAGATTCACCATTCAATTGGTATCGGATGACATTATCGTAATCTCATTATCAAATCGCGAAATTCAGCGCAGATAACCGCACAGGAAAGTAAAATTTTTCCATCATTTGGATTAGGATAGTGATGAAACACGATGTTTTTACATGCCTTTGGAACATATGTCATTTTGTAATCGGATAATGGCCGAAATTTGTAGCCGGCTTTAGGACTAATGGAGAAATTGTAAAAGTTACCTATCATCATCATCGTCTTCTTCTTCTTCTTCGTCCTCATAGTCTTCGTATTCTTCTGCGGTAGTCAACGTGTTGGGATCGTCGCTACTGACGTCTTCAACTCCATAATTTTGCACGGAGGTTGGTAAAGATTTGCTGTTATTCTGAATTTCTGTCACCTAAACGATTAAATAGAATGAATTCTTTTTTTCGGTCGTTACTTGATGGGTGTCTGTGTAAAGCAACTTTGAAATCTCAGAAACACAGTACTCACAGTAGCTTATTCGGTGAAATAAGCTTGGTTTATTGCTGGGCGATTTTGGCTTTGACGATGCTAGCGATGAAACGTGTAATGATATTGTTGGTCAATAGTTGCTTACCAATTCAAATTGGCCAATACTATCGATCAGTATTCGTTTTTACGGCTCTGAAGTTACAATCTCGAAACGGCTTATGGAATTTTACACAAATTTGGTATGTTGGCATAGCTTTATTGGGTAATAAAACCCATATCATGATTATTGGTTTTTTCAGTAAATAAACATCTAGCACTTATACGCCAATGGAAAGAAACGAATTTGAATATGAAATTTGGATTGCATAACTTGTTTACTACAAAAAAGGTACTCTTGATAAAATTCGAATACTCTTATGGTTTGGACAAAATTAGAATTTTAGAAATTCAAAGCATCAGTCAGTACTGAAGTGATCAAGAGATATTTCATAAAAATTGTTCAAAATTTTCATCATTTCCACGTATACAAAAATTGATAAAAAAAAATTGAAATGTGCTGCTATTTTTTGTTGTTTTCTTTGTACTGAGCCGTCTAGTGCCCAGACTGAGCAACTACTGAGGTTAATTTATTTGTATCCATTTTTCCTAGTATTATTCTTTGTATACGTGAAAATGATGAACATTTTCAACAATTTTCATGCCATAACTGTTGATCATTTTGATTTCGACTAATGCTTTGAGTTACTTAAATTCAAATATTGTGGAAACCATGAGAGTAATCAAATTTCATCAAGAGTACCTTTTTTGTAGTAAACAAGTTTCGCAATCCAAATTTTATATTCAAACTAATTTCTTTCCATTGGCGTAGAGGTTTAAGATGTCTATTCACTGAAAAAAATGAAGTAGAATATCTATACTAATATTATAAAGAGGAAAGATTTGATTGTTTGTTTGTTAGTATGTATTAAATAGGCTCCGAAACTACTGGATCGATTTGGCTCAAAATTGGTGGGGAGGTAGCTTAGAACCAGGAGAAGAATATAGGATACTTTTTATCTCGGTACCATGAAGACATTCAAGATATGGAATCCAAAATGGCGGATTTTGTAATTAGGATCCGATTTTATTCAAATTTGGTACCTGGTCGGAGATTATGATTCTCTCGTCAAAATTAGGAAATTCAAGATGGCGGACCCAATATGGCGAACGAGTATTATAATTATGATCCGACTCTCTTCAAAATTGTTATCTGGGTGTTTTCGGGGTCGGAGATTATGATTCTTTTGTCAAAATTTGGTAAGGTCGGGATTTGGAAATTCAAGACGGTGCAACCCATATACCCGACGAGTTTTGTAATTATATACCGATTCTATTTAAAATTTGTAAGTGGGCGTTTTCGGGATCAAGAATTATGATTCCTTCATCAAAATTAGGGAAGTCACGATGGTAGATCCAATATTGCGGGCGAGTTTTGTAATTATGTTTCGATTCTATTCAAAATTTTCATCTCAGGTTTCAGGAGTCGGATATTATGATTCTTTCGTCAAAATTGGGAAATTCAAGTGAACTAAAAATGAGTTGAAATGAATGGTAGTTTGAAACACTAAAGAAACACGCTTTAATAGATAGCGACACTAAAAAGAAGTAGAAAATAAAATAATAATAGTGTACTGAGCTGAAAAAATATATTATATAGATAATGTTTATAGCAAATTAACTGTTTCAATGTTATGAAGCAAACACGAATTGAAAATTGTTACTTCAGAGCCGTCAGGTGCCCAAACTAAGCAACTTTGTAATGAGGTAAGTTTGCTTGCATAGAATTGTTCTGGTTTGAGGAATATGTGGTGAGTTTCTGTAAACACCTTTTAGGGACACCATACAGTGTGACCCATTTAAGATGGAAGCACCCTTATAAAACTTACATTTTTCAACCGATTGGAATGATTTTTTTTTGTTAGGTAGATATTCAAAAAGTCTATTAGGACACCAAATATCATGAATAAATCTCCATTTCCAGGGCCGACTAATCTGATTTTTCAAGGTCAAAAATCTAAAAAAAATACTAGCGATTTTTTTAGAAAAAATCTGACTACACCACTGGATTTGTGACATTTTAAAATGGGTAACATGTAAATTACGTTGAAATGCGTCAATCAATAAAAAAGTTATAAAGGAATGAAATTTGAAAAATATGCCGTTTAATCAACCCAACTTTTTTATTACTGAACAGATTTCGATGAAACTGTGATCAGTAATATTTCAAAACATCCTGATTCCAGTGGAGTATGCAGAATTTTCATAAAATTCCTGAACATGAATTGGTGGGTTGATTAAACGGCATATTTTTCAAATTTCATTCCTTTATAACTTTTTTATTGATTGACGCATTTCAACGTAATTTACATGTTACCCATTTGAAAATGTCACAAATCCAGTGGTGTAGTCAGATTTTTTCTAAAAAAATCGCTAGTAATTTTTTTAGATTTTTGACCTTGAAAAATCAGATTAGTTGGCCCTGGAAATGAAGATTTATTCATGATATTTGGTGTCCTAATAGACTTTTTGAATATCTACCTAACAAAATAAAAATCATTCCAATCGGTTGAAAAATGTAAGTTTTATAAGGGTGCTTCCATCTTAAATGGGTCACACTGTATATTTACGAACAAACCTAAAGGTTTAGATTAGAATTACCTGTGAGCAGGATAGTAGTTAATCCTTGAAAGGATAGCAAATATTACGTACTATGAAAAGAAATCCAAGAAGATAATACTATACCCTTTGTATAACTTCTGTGATAACTTTGTGGAACTGTTGTGCCACTTCCATAGTCTTGAAACGCACTGCGAGGTTCTCCAGACAGTTGTCGTCGTCCGTGTAATTGTAGCCCACCCACATCCAAGCCTTTTCTGACGTCAGCATCGGTTGAATTTCCAAGGTGGGAACGATCAACTGGTTGAGGACGACTTTGTGGACTTGTTCGCGACGCATCAACAGCCTGTAGGTATCTGAAAAAAAAAATGAAATGCGTTTTTGAGTTACCAAGTGATTTCTCATAATATTAATTTTCTAATAGCAGCTGAATCTGCATATTATACACCGTGTCCCAGCTAAAATGTCCCCCCCCCTGTGAAAAATCAACCAAGATCGAATGACTTGGAATTTGGTCACTCAGTATATTTGATGATGCTCACATCACTTCACTTCCCGACCTCGGATCGCCCGTAAATTGATTTTTCTTTCATTTCTGTTATATTCTCGTTCTTTCTCAACGGGTTTCATCCTATTTTTTTTTGTTTGAAAAATTATCGACCCTGGTAAAAACAAATTTTCGTAAAATTTGTATATCGCTACTTCAAAGTTGGGAACCAACTCCCCAGAAGTCGAAACTTGTGCGGGGTTAGGAAGAGCGGGACCTACAGCTTATAGTGGAATCCGAACCACTTCTAGGTGCTACCAGGATTACAACCATGAATCACACATTTTAAAGAAAAATGCTCAGCCGATAGCCGGATTCGAACCGACAGTACCTTCGCATCGTGAACGGCTATCTAGCGAATTTCAGCGCATAGACAAACTCGGCCACGGCGCCGTGACAATAGTTGCGTTTTATTTGTTCCATTCTGTTAGCGGTGGTGGGAACAGAATGACGTTTACAAATAAAACGAGAAACTTCATGACCTTGCATGAGAGAATTTACATAAGAGGTTATATTTCTATGGGCGATCCAAATAATTTCAAAATCGATAATACTAGAGTCAAGAATCTAGAAAATGAATCAACTAATATTTGGAGCAGTGATTGTGGTGATTGAAGACACTTCTCTGAGATCGAGAGAATTCATTTTATCTGGTAATGAACATATTATGAATCCTGTCTTACTTGAAAGAATCCTGAACTACTGAAACTGACGATGAAAATGTCTTCTAAATGTCTTTTACTTTCAAAAAGATTCGTTTTTCATCAATCTAATTTGATATTTTGACACCTGTCAACAGTCATTCCACATCATTCCTTGTAGTGAGACGGAATGAAAATTAGCAACAGGAATCGGAAAAGTTACAAATAAAACGACACATTAAACAGATTCCGGTGGCGGAATCGGATAAATAAAACGCAACTATTGCGTCAGCAACTCACCGTTCTGCGGATGATGCAATATCTTGATCTGGCCCACGCCCCGCTCCTTCCACGCCTTGGTGTCCGCATCGAACCGGAACAGCTTGGCGCGCTCGTTGAACACCGCTGTCTCGTCCTCCTCGCCGGTAGTGACGACGATGGCCGCCGGCAGCGGCACGATCGGCTCGTAGTGCGGGTCGTACTCGTCGCCGTCGCCGGCCGCTTCAGCCTCGTCGTCCGATTCTGGGCGGGGCTGGTCGGCCGTCTTCTTTTTCGTCGAGGATTTGGAGGCGGAGCCGAAAACGGGCGCGCCTGCACCGAGGAACGAGAAGTCTCCTGGAAGGAAACATGCGATAGTTGAATAATTGATTGATTGATTGTCTTTATTACCCCAAGAAACATTACTGTTTATGATAGGGATACATGAATACATATAAAAAATAATAGTAAAGGGTTAACTAATGAATTCCACTCAGTGGAAACGAATTAATATTGTTTCTTAAGATTAAAGTTATATTTCATTTCTAAGTAATCAAATCATGCCACATATTTTTCATTCAAATTGTCCTGAGCAAGTATTTTTTAATATTGATTTTAAACCTTCTTGCATCATGTATATTTTCTCATTCGGTAATGAATTGTATAAAATTATCTCATTGTGAAAAACATATTGTTTGCCAATGTTTGACTTGAATGTATTTGCTATCTAGTAATTCAATTGTCTAGTCCCATAATTATGGACTGTATTGACTTCATTAAAAGCTAAATTTGATATTTTCAATTTATTCCTGGCAAAATGAATAAAGCAACATATTATTATTTCAAGTTTAAATAACGAAATCAGGTTCAGAAAATGTCTTGGTTTTTATAAATTTATCGTTGGTTCTAGAAAATGTAGGTTTGTAATTTCACTAGTGGTTTCAGACGTGAAATATTTGTACTCTCCCAAATAGAAATTAAATATTGCAAATTTGAATAAATGAGGCAAAAGTAAATACATTTCAAGTATTTTACGGGAATAAAAAAATATGAAAAAATAACAGAACAGGCTGTCCCAATTTCGATGTCTTTTCGGGACATCTCACTTATTTTCAGAGATAGCATAACCTTCTTTAAAGAGGAATGCCGCGGTGAGCACAGCCGGCAACACTGTTCAAAAGTGCTACATCCAGCCATTCGCGCTAATATGATATATGGGTTCTGGATGTAACAGAGTGATTGTTCTTAGTTTTTAAGAGTAAATTGATGTGTTATCAATGTGAAATATTGTTGAAAGCCAGTGAAAAGTGTAAGGAATATTCTAGTGATCGAGTTATAAGTGGAAGGGTGTTTGTTTGTGTGTGAAAGTCTCATCAATAATTGTTTTTGAATTGAGGTTATTTTGTATGTTGTCTTAGTTTTGCAAGCAAAGTAAGTAATTTCAACCTTTCTCATAAGAAGATAACAAATAATTGCTGTGTGACAGGGTGTGAGTCAAATTACGCATCGGAAAAAAATATATTCCGATTTTAAAATTTCCTCAAGATGGAGAACTGCGAAAAAAGTGGATATCTTCGATACCTCGTAAAAATTGGTCCCCATCTCAACATTCCACAGTGTGTGCAATTCATTTCGTTGAAACCCAGATTTAGTTGAAACAGTATGGAAGGATGAGATTCGAAATCTTTGGACTAGATAAACTACAACAGGAAGATTTGGTCGATTTAGAGTGGACGGACATCCTGACCTTCATCAGAAGGACGGGAAGGTTCGAAAAGGACAACTAAAAGGGCCCATGCTGCAGGGGCCTACTTGCCTGGCTACAGCCTCTCAAAATACTACTACTACTACTACTAGTTAAAACCTTTCCTTCTATTTTTCGAAATTCACCAAGTTATCTTTCTGAACCTAATACATCAATAAGAACAAATCCTGATGAAAGACGTCAGAAATGTTCAACTGTTCAAAATAAAAACAATTGTTGATCCGACCTTATTCTCAATTATGAGCAGGTAGTTGGAGAATATGCAGGGAAATTGAAAATTGGTAGTTGTTGGGATTGGAAAGTCCATGAGACAGAAAGTTTAATTTATTTTTATCAATTAGGTTCACAGTCAGATGTATTGAGAATAACTTCCCAAGTTGTAGTATTGAATGAGATGCAGGTCCAAGTTTTAAAATGGATTCTTCCCTATGATATGAAATTGAGTAGGTGGTCACAACTTCAGAATATTCTAGCAAGATACGGAAACAGCTCAGATCACACAGAGAATAATCAGACCGAAGAACATAAAATTAGCTCATTTGATGACTTAATAGAGAAAAGTTTGATATATCTGAAAAAAGCCCTCATTCCATTTACCTCATTCCAAAAATCTTGAAATTTTGATTGATCAATTGAAACAAGTATGTACACATTAAAAAAATAGATTTTCTTCTTCTACAATAATCATGTCTTGTATGTTATACACAACTTCTCATTCTTTTTATGAAAGGAATTTTTTCATTTTTCTTAACAAACGATACTTGCAACAACTAGCTTCCAACTTGAATATTTCTCCAAGCAATAAATTGTTTGGTTGATGTAAAATGCGAGGTGAAATGGGACTTGCCTGTTGTTTATTCAATCCAAGAAACTGAATAAAACCTCAACTGTGATCTGATCCATTATTTCTTGTTATTTAAAGTTCAATTATTTATTTCAAAGACAGAAATTGATGTAACGTTAGCGCGGTTAGCTGTAGATAGTGTTTGCCTATCTGGCAGTGGTAGCCAGTCGAGAGTAGACCTTCCGGATCACGGCGATGCGGTGTTGCATTTATCTCATAGCGGCTTTCCTCTTTAAAGAAAAGGCTGTGGAGATAGAGATTTGCGGTCTATCGCGAACGTTAGCTACTTTTTGTGAAACTCACGATACCGTGAAACGGGGCGACTTGGAATGTTTCCGTCAAATTATTGGCCCTGAACCGTCGAATACGTTAATTGAGTGTATATAAAAATCATAATACATTTCTTTGGACCAAAAGGAATATATTGCAGGTATCGACAAAATTCAATGCCTGGCCAATTTTTGTGAAATAGAAATTCAAAGTTGATATTTCAAGTCGCCCCGCTCTGAAGCGACATGAAAAATATTCTCGGGCTAATTTTCAAGATAAAGTCGCATGGAGGCGACATGGAATGAAGAAAATTGAGAAAATTATTGAGTTTTACCAGTTGAAGAAAATACCTGATACCTACCAAGTATAATATATCATTGTTTCAGAATATTGTCAATGGTAGACACGGGAATTTCAGAGCGTTCTGACATTGCCATCAGGCTTCCATTACCTTTCCTGTAAACTGTAACCCCAGTAATATAAAAAAAATCAAATGGTATGCCACTGGATAACGAAAAAAAAAATGTAACGCAAATCTCTGGTAAGGATACTGTATTCAAGTATATTGGCAATCAAAAAAAAATGTTTCCAAGTATATCCTCGTTCGTATAATTTTGAAAATTATTCCGAGTCGAAGACATGGGATACTTTTCAAAATAAAACCTAGTGGTATAACAAGTGAAAATACCACGAAATAAATACCTGTTTTGCTGAATGCAGGTTGCGCATCTCCAGAAGTATTCGCCGCCAGGGAAGCGAACGACAGCCCTGTATCGCACTTCAGCACCACCTCGTCGTCCTCCTTCAACTCCGTCGTACTCTTATTCGCATCGACTTCCGGTTTGGAGCCCGATCCACCCAAACTGCTCGCTCCGAACACCGAAGTCGCGGCAGGCTTCGAAAAAATACTACCACCGCCAAACACCATCCCGGAATTTTGACCAAACAGACCGGCGGTAGTAGTAACGGCACCACCTCCGAACACGTTCGCCGTAGTCGTACCGGTACTACCGAAAATCGATTTATTCGTCGAGCCGAAGATACTCGGAGTAGTCGTGCTACCGAAAAGAGGGGTACTAGAGGTGGTTACGCTGCCCGGAGTTTTCGTAGAGTCGAACAGGCTCGTGTTATTTCCGAAAATAGAAGTGGTACTAGTTGTTCCCACAACAGCTTTAGCACCAAAAACGCTGCTCGTTCCACCGAAAACAGTACCAGTTGTGCTAGTGGGGGTGTCACTAGAAGCGGTGCTAGTACTGCCACTCTTACTGGTGGATATGGGAGTGATAGTGACAGCTCCGCCAAAGATGTTGACGCTGCTAGAGTTGCCAGCTCCAAAAGACGGGCTGCTGAACAAGCTGGTATTGCTGAAGAGTCCGCCAGTGTTGCCACCGAATAAGCTAGAGCTGGTAGTTGCAGCTATTTTCGGAACCGTGCTGGGCGAAGATTGAGCGAACGTGTTGGTAAAAGAGAACGAAGCCATTGGCGATTCTTTGGGAGCTTCTGGCTTGGACAAGGTGTTGTTCAAAGATGCGGCTAGGGACGGCTTGGTGAGCAAATCACGGAGGGATTCGGATTTTCCGGTGACCGGCGCGGAATCCGCATTCTGGCTTTGGGGCGTGAAGGTGAACAAGTTGCTTTTGGGTGTTCCGAACACGGAATCGCCAGTGGAAGGGGTGAGATTGGTCTTGGGCGTTCCCCAATTGGTAGTGACGGATTTGTTCAGCGAAAAGTCGGGCATAGAAGCTACCGACGTTTTTTTGTCGCCTAGGAAGAGCTCTTTCAGGTATTCGTCATCTTTTTTGCATTGCTCACATTGACAGTCGGGAAGTTGTTTGTAGGAGAAGAATTTCGGGGGGAGGCCGAGTCGGAGAGCTTCTTTTTCTTCTTCGGGGGTGACTGTTGTCTCTGACACTAGTTCCACCTCATCGTCGCTCTCTTGTTTAGCAGAAGCAGTTATTTGAGCTGAAATAAATAATGATTTTCACTCCTGTGAAATGTACACTAATTTCGATTCATTCGGCATGGTAAATCGGTTATTATCTATGAAATAACCTACTACTTTGACAGCTATATTTCATATATCAGCAACCCGTGTATCGTGTCCAAATTCACGATAGAAATGATGTGGTCAATGAGAACAAACCAAAAACATATGTGAACCAATAAAATCAAAGTGAACAGGCCGTTTTGACAGCTTTCAAGAGCTCCGATATTATTTATATTATTTTCTGTCGCGAATTGTTCGCCTGAAGAGTACAAACTGTCATTCATTACATCCACGTATGTCACTCAGATACGTAAACAGCGTGTTGCTGAATTCATCAGTGATGTCCATCAAAGCCACGTACTTGGCGTGGATTGGTGAATCTGCATAATACATGTATTTGATTCGTTAAACAGCCCATCATTTGATGGATATCCATCAGTTGGTGAATTCAGCAACACAGTGAAAAGTTAGAGTAAGATATATGACAGGTCCAAAATGCGCATGCTCTATGGAAGCTCTTGTCTTACGGCATTAGCGGTCTAGATAGTAGGTTATGTCAATGGTTATTACTGATTTTGATATATTCAGCAGGATAAATTGGTTAACAAAGTTTAGTGCAAAAGTTGAATGCAACAATCAAACTAAGTAACTTTTCAAACTATTTCAGGGAAGAATTAGGTGTTAGACAAACAAACTACAAAATGTTATAACTATTTTATTCTTTCATTTATTTCTTGATGAGGAAAAACTCAAATGACTAGTGAGATTTCGAAGTTTCACAATAGACATATCACAGAACATCAAGTAAGTACCTACTCGAGCAATGAGGAACATTAACATTAAAAAAAGTATATACAATTGGTACAGATCTCTTTATGACTGATTCATCCCTCCTAGATGATAGTTGACACATTTATTGAAGCACCCTAAACAAATATAAATTAAAGTGTTCTAGGAGAAAATTGCCAATGGACGAAGGAATATTGCAGAGGAAATCTTTTTTATACTATTTTATTGCTTTTACAAAACTTCAAAAATTAAGTGCCTAGAATTTCTTAACTTATAATGCTTTTTATTGAGTGAGAACACACTTTTAACCACTGACCATTTTCGTTCTAAATGGAAACCTAGTTAGAAAGCGATAGGTTCAATACTGTCTGGTCATTGGCCCACAATTTTTCTACTTGTCAATGACGATAGTTTACTGAAAACATCGATAGCTCATTTGCATCAATAGAATATTGATCAAAATGGACAATTTTAGTTTTCAAAACGTCACCTAAGATAAATCAACACTTTTGATTCGATTGTATAATTTCAAGTTCAGTGTTGAGTTGTTGTTTGTTTGATTTTGTTGTTCCATTTTGCATGTCTACAAGAGGTGAGGATGAAAATTCAATGCAATAACTTCCAACAACATCAGATAAAAACTTCTTGAGACAAATGGATAGTATTTATTTTATGATAATGAATTGGTATTCCAGGAATAAACATAAATTGATAAGTTATTATCAACAATATAAACGTAAAATTCCCAACCTTTTTATTTGTAGGTTTCATGTCATCACAGCACTGATGAGTTTCCAGTTCCTACTCAGATACAAATAACATCAATGAATCGAAAATTTTATCATTGCATAAACAATTCCTTCTTTATGCATCCTTCTTTCCTTATTTGTATAAGTACTCAAAATGTTTCAACATGAGAAATTTTTGATTACAAGCTTGACAAGAATATGAAAACTTTCTAATAACTGTTTGAAACAGAGGTGACTAGCTTACTAAAATTGTTGTTAATAAGGGCGATTCATGATTATTTTTTTCACTGAACAGAAAATATTATACCTCTCGCCTACCAACTAGGTTTTCATTCAGAACGAAAATGCACTGACACTCTCAAATTGACATAATTCCTGGTTGTTTCTAAATAATTGGAATTTTAGTTATAAAAAGTAAGCTTCAACGCCCTGTATTTAGATAATGAACAGTTTTAGAGAATGAACAAAGAGATAATAGTATTTATCGATCGAGTCTTAAAACAAATGCGTCCTCTGACAAGCATCAAGTTTCAGATCTTCTACCATTAGAAACGAAATAGAACTAGATCACGAGCGTCTTTTGAACAAAACGAAACAAACGCCCAACGCCAAAGCTGCCAACCCGCAATACAACAACACCTTCTTATCGCCCACGATCTCAAAAGATTCGCTAATGCAAAAGTCGACGCTATCGACGTGTTTACCTTGGTCCCCGCTGGCAAAACCTTCCAAGGCACCGGTGACGGCTTTCTTGAATTCCTGCGCTATCTCGGGAGTCTTGAACTTGACGCAGAACTGCGTGTGGACGATCTCGCCTTCGGAATAATCGGCCGTATGGAACATCCAGGACTTGTCGTCTTTCGGGATGTACTCGATGGCGCTGGTGAGTATGTGGTTCAGGCATATCTTGAAGACTTGCTCACGACGCATTACCACCCTGTAAAATGAAAAACGAATAATCTCTAGAAATAACATATTGACAAAGAAAATATCTCCAATTATTGGTGCATTGAGAAGATGTCCCAAACTTGATATTAAAATTGCAAACATGATTCTCTATTCTCATATACTGAGTCGTATCAACTATTTAATACCTGTTGGGGGATCTTGTTCAAAAAATAATTTCAATAAAATACCATTATATAGAAAATCGTCCCCCATTTGATACGCCAACCAATCAATTGCATGAAATAACTAATACGTATTCTCTAGATGAAATATCATCATCATCTTTATTATTCCCAAGAAACAATTGACGTATATGTTTATAACAGGGAACATTAAAATATGTAGTAGGTATAGGTATGATAATTATTCTTGAGTGAATGAATGATTAAAATAACTGATATGTTATATGATCTCTATATGGATGACATGACAAACTTTAGAGGAATAAATATTTTTCAAGTTCTTTCTCGAATTTTTTGGTACTGATATTTTTTTCAAGTCTTGTTGGCAATTCATTGTAAAGTAATAATCCATTGTAATATATAAATCTCTTGCCAAATTCAGATTTGATTTTAATGAGGGAAAACATGTCTGTTTGTCCAGTTGAATGTGAATGTATATTAGCATTAATTTCAAAATTGGAATGTTTATAATTGGTTCCATTTGGTTTATAAAGGTTTCTCGTTTGATCCAAATAATCCAATGTATATATACATTTGAAAACTTTATTCTGAAGGATTCTAAGTGGCTTTATAATTGATAAACTAGCCGTACCCCAAACAGATATCAAATATTGAATTTTAGAATAAATTGAGGAATAATAACATATAGAATTTAAACTCTTGAAATTTCAAATAATATCATAAATAAAAAATTGAAGTCGAATATTATTTTGATACGGAATTCTGAAATGCATTATCATGAAACTAGGCAATATAACTTGTTTCATCTTGACGCCGCTTGCCCCATATTCGGCAAAAAAGATTCACTCATTCAGCCTTAACTGAATTCAATAAACTACCTACCAATATCAAGAACTGCAGAAATATTGGTACATTCAAGAATAAACTAAAAAAACTGACTATTTCTGAGCGAACTGGATAAAATCAGTCATGTTATTTTACTATGTTTTTTCTACAAATATCATTCTTTGTTTGCCAATTTATAGTTGTTGATATATTTTGAATGACGAAATGTTTACCTATAGGTATATAATATACTTCCTTATACCAGAGCCTATTCTGTCTGGAAATTATTTGTTCAATAAATAAATTGTAGGAAATTTTGAATCATCTAGAGTGTGCCCACGAGTCCAGGTTAAGAAGAACGGGAAATAGTTAATTTGCCGTTTTATAGGCATTCTATTGGACAGAATATGAGGACGTTATTTATTTATTTATTTGTTGATACAATACATCCAGCAGGCCCAAAAGCCCATTTACAGGTGTATACAATTAGCATTATTAATACACATATAACAGAATCAATTCTGAATGAATCTTTCTTGAATTGTTTGAACGTTAGAAAAAATATATCTACACTAGGAACCTTATAAACACTTCTAGATATAGTAGATATGGGAGAATTAAAATGATGCACTGTATTGGAAATAGGGATATGAAATGTGCTACAAAACCTAGATGAAATACGCGGTATATTGAATAGCATATGAGACAATAGGGGTGCACAATCTATTTGTCCATGTATGATTTTATATGCAAAACACATATCTCGGCTCTACCTGAATTTCTTTAGAGATATCATGTGAAACTCGTCCAACAATGAATCATAGCAATAACCTCTCTCAGGATACACACCATGTTTTATGAAATATGCATATTTCAAGAATTTTTTTTCATTATTTTCTAGGCTAGATATATTATGTTTCATATGAGACGGATTCCAAACGACACTGCAGTACTCTAATTTGCTCCTGATCAGTGTGATATAAATGGTTTTCAAGGAGTCAAAGGTCCTAAATTCCTTGCAGTTGCGTATCAAAAACCCAAATTTTTCATTGAAGTTGATATCATATTCTCAAAGTGATTGGAAAACGTGAGTTTTTGATCAAACAGAACCCCTAGATCCTATGATTCCGTGATTCGCGTTAAACTTTCACCATCTAGTATATAGTTGAATGTTACTGGTAGGATTTTACGAGTGAATGTCATGATTCTACATTTATTTGAATCTAAGTACAATTTATTACGATTACACCAATTAGTCAACGAATTCAAGTCCTCCTGCAATGTGAAACAGTCTGTTTCACTTTGTATTTCACGATATATCTTCATGTCATCTGCAAATAGCAGTTTATGAGAAGTGATGCCATCGGCTATGTCATTTATAAATAGAATAAATAGTAATGGCCCAAGATTTGACCCTTGTGGGACACCCGAACTCGCTACAAAGCAGGAGGATTTTATACCATCACATTCAACATAACTACATCGGTCGGATAAATATGATTTCAGGAGCAACTGAATATCGGGTGATATGCCGAAGTTAGACAATTTCATTAGCAGTTTTTGATGTGATACACGATCAAACGCCTTACTGAAATCCGTGTAGATAACATCAACTTGATTTTTATTATCAAGTACATCAGAGACAAATTCAGTGAAAATACAAAGATTAGTTGCAGTACTGCGTGCCTTGATAAAGCCATGTTGAAAAATGGACAGTGAGGAACGGACATGGTTATAGATCATATCTGATAGTATAATTTTCAGTATTTTAGAAAAAACTGATATTAATGTAATTGGCCTATAATTTTCAACACTTGTTACCTTTCCAGACTTGAATACAAGGCATACTTTTGACTATTTCCATATTTTTGGGAAACGGCGATGTTTTATGATAGAGTTATATATAATATCTAGCGGTGCCAAAAGGCTATTTATTAATGATTATGCACCATTTATTTCAATCTTAAGAATCATTCAAAAGAAGCTGATGGCTTGATAACGTCATTATACATGAAAAAACAACGTCACCTTTCACTATCAACTTCCTAACGCCCTGTGGCAAATGTGGGCGGTTAAACTCCGCTTCATTATATTCATGATTGAAGTGTGATAACTTCTTAATGCAATAGTTTTTTATTCATGTCAATATTTTCTTCTTTAGAGAAGATACAAGTGTTGCTGTAATTCAAGCTCGAGGACATTCTTGATAATTAAGGTTTCTTGGCGGTGACATTAAGAAAATGGGGTGGAAATAAACGTATTTTTATCGCTTGGATCGCACGAAAGGTAATCCCTATAATGTTCGAAGAACTTCGTGCGAACCTAGGGAGGATAGGGAGAGGAGGTAGGTATTGGATTTTTTTTCTCGACTTTTGGGGATTATAAGTTCTTGGGAATACTTCCTTACTCACTGAACTTACCTCAATTTTCCATTATCTTTCCTCTTCAATATCTTGATATCTCCCAAACCTCTTTCTTTCCATTCGCCACCGACAAATCTGAAAAGTTTCGCTCTGTGACAATACAACACGATTTCTTCTTCTTCTCCAGTTTTGATGTCCACCTTATCAGGCAAAGGAATAACTGGTTTGAAATATATGTTGTCCTCTTCTTCCTCGACGTAGCTGCCATCTGATTCTTCGTCGCCCTTTATGATGAAAACTTATAGATTAGTTTTGGGTAGCCACTTCTCTCTACACTCATTTAATGAAAATCAATGAACAAAGAACATTTGACTTCTATAAGTAATTTTGAAATTAAAAATATTTTAGACAATCAATCAAAAATTAAAAATTTTCAGTTTTTCTGAAGAGATAATAAATAACAACCATAAAATGTTTACTAGGACAATGAAATAATATATTGTTCAACGAGTGCGGTATGATAGTGATTTCCCACGTGAAATGGCTCATGCTGCAATCATTCCAGTGGCCAAGTGCAACCAGCAGGTCCAAATATTTCTTATTCTCCATAACAACATATCATTTGAATGTTGGAGACTTGGCAACATTGTGCTGAATACTGAGAACTGATAAGACCACGCCCACAAGTCGTGCGCCGTGGTTGTCACGTTCACCGATTCAAATATTCTCTAGTGTGAAATAATATAATTATTATTAACACATATTTATTATAAACAATAAGCCACAAATTATGAAGGAACATTTTGAGACAATTGAATTTTTATTGCTAATTACGAGTATATTGATTTTTTTTTCTAGAAAGGCGGACCTCAGTATGCCTGATATAACGATGTCTGGTACCATCATTCCCACCAAGGGAATTTCTATCAGCAATATTTCATGGGAAAATCATGTCAAATCCATCGCATCGCAAAAGCTGCTTTTAAAAAAACGAATATTTTTTGTCATGAGCTATTTATGTCCAGTTGAATGAGATATTTGATTCGAAAAATCCTTAGAATGTGATGTATCTCCCGCAGAAGGAATAAACAAAAGAAATCACTTTTTCAAACTAGTAACTCTGAGGTTATCACGGTGATTGAAATAAATAGAATGATCCAGTGACTCACCTGTCCGGAGCTGATCCTCCTCGGGGACCTGGCCTTGAACTCGAAGTCGTGCTTTTGCGGCGACCCGAACACGAACTTGCTCGAGTCGTCCGGCGACTGCTGCTGCTGCTCCTGTGGCGGCACGACTGCCGCCTTGAAATTGAACGTGCCGAAAGCGACCGGGGCCGCAGCGGCGGACGACGGGACACCGAAGGTGAACGTTTGACCTGGCGTGCTCAAATTAATGCCTAAAACAATATTGTAGAACACGGGATAAGTGCGTGTATGTTTATGTTTGTATGACCTGTTCTACATTAGGGTGTATCTAATTTTTTTTTTGGTTGATTGATTGATTGATTGATTGTCTTTATTACCCCAAGAAACATAGTTGTTTATAATAGGGATACATAAACAATATACATAATGTTATACATACAATTATGAAATTATAATAAGATATAACAATCAAAAAAAAAATGCAAATAATCATGCAATATCAACCTTGTCTTTTATAAGTAGGTATTCAAATAAGAAATGGAATTATCAAAGTCTCTGAAGCAGATATTTTTTTAGGTTGATTTTGAATCTAGTTGCTTCCTGTATATTCCTCAATTGACTTGGTAATGAGTTGTATAGAACGACTCCTGTGTGAAAAATTGATTGTTTGCCGATATTTGACTTGAACGTATTTGCTATTAGTAAATTTGATTGTCTTGTTCCATGATTATGTAATGAATTGATTTCATTGAAATTTAAATTCGAAATTTTCAATTTATATAGGACAAATTGAATAAAACAACATATTTTAAGTTTATGTAGTGATGTCAGATCTAATAAATCTCTAGGTTTGTATAAATTCATGGTTGGTTCGAGAAAATTTAAATTGAAAATACACTTCAATGTTTTATTTTGTAATTTCATTAGTGGACTCAAACGTGAAATATTGGTACTTTCCCATATAGACCAGGGAACAGTCCCTCTTATCCTGATATACAAGGTGTTTTTTAAATAAGTGCACATATTCAGCACATTAATATGATACAGTCTAAGGAATATTCCCATGATATCAGATTTTTTCTAATTCTTCTAATTCACGAGAAATTTCATCCCAAAAATTGAACCAAATACGAGAAAAAAATCAAGTACGCCATTTTAAATGATTGAACTCCGCGTGATTGTGCCTACCGCATAGAAATTTGGACAGAGGTGACGTCAGATAGTGTAGAACTTTGGGTGGAAAAAGTGGTCTAACCTCAAATTCAATTTTGATCCCTAAATTTTTTTTATTAGTGCTATTCGATAGTACACGTCGAGCTTTCTCAGTGTTTGAAATATTTGCACTTATTTCGATGCCACCCTATATCATGAAACAGAAAAAAAATTAAAACGGTATTGCCCTTCTGCCACAAACAAGTTTCAGAAATAAATTCTGAGGATTGAAAAAGATCGAACGGTACAAATAAATTTCAAAAACTTGAGAACAGTAAATTTGGTCATAATTTTGATATTTTCTAAGTTCATATAAACATGTGTCCAAACTTGCTCCGTTTTTGAGAAACAGAATGTTGAAGTTGGGAGTATTAATTATTTTTATTAATAATCCCCTGTATGAGCTTTCATAATGCCAATATTCAGTATGGATGGAGACTGAGAAAGACCAAAAATTTCAAAATGATTGTAATTGAGGTTATTGAGTAATCTCAATGGGAGTCTTGAAAACACGCCTACATTAAAATTTGGAGTCAAATCGAATTTTTATTGTTTCCTCAAAAATAAAGCAAGATACAAGAATTACACAAAGGATAAAAAAGTTGTTATTTCAATGAGAAGGCATGCTTGAATTGATGAATAGCGCAAGAAACACGATTCGTATGCCAAAATATTGAGAAAGACTATTTCAATCCTTTGATTATTCCTCAGTAAACAAATGAAAAAAGTGAGGTTGCGTTTCAATGTTTTACAGAAAAGTGAGGTTGTGTTTCAAAATTTTACCCCCAGGGTCGGTCATCGTGCACGCGACCTATAATAATTAACCTCAAAATATGAAAATTAGACGGGTTCCTGGCCGCCGCACGTGTGCATTTCATAAAGGAAAGCGCTTTTCTTTTTGTGAAGAATTTTCGTGTTTTTCCGCGATATTATACTGCCTGTCGTTGTAATATACGGGAGTTCAAACAAATGGAAGCGCTAATAACTGATGGCATGCAATCCGCAGCGGCCGAAAGGGCTCAAAAGAATTAAGAAAAACTGAAGAAAATTGAAGGGGACTTCCGTGTTCTCAAATTGCACGCCGATGTGAAGAATTGGGGTTTTAGTAACAAAAACACTCTGGAAAAATTGGCATGCGCCCCTCGTCTGTCCAACGTATGAAAATTCTGGTAAATCTCTGCAAATATTAAGTACAGGTATTCCGTGATTCCATTAGGAACATACTTCATATGTATAATTCATTAATAGTAGATAATTTGGCAAACACTTATTTTTGTAACTTTCGTCATTCATTCCTAAAACTAAAACCTCAATTCTTCACATCGGCAAGCAATTTGAAAACTCGGTCCCCTTCTATTCTCTTCAGATTTTCTTAACCCTTTTGAGCCCTTTCGACCGCTGCGGATTGCATGTCATCAATTATTAGCGCTTCAATTTGTTTGAACTCCCGTATAATATCGCGGAAAAACACGAGAATACTTCACAAAAAAGCGCTTTTCCTTATGAAATGCACACGTGCGACGTCCAGGAATCCGCCTATTTCTTATATTTTGGGGTGAATTATAAAGCCTTAAAAAGGCAGGCAGTGTAAAATTGGAGACCGTCACCTGTCACCATCTCCCGTTCTATTACCGTCATGTCGAGACTACGAGATTAAAATGTAGATTGAATACACACACCTGCTGGGTTTATTCCAGATCGTGTAGTTGTAGATTAGTAGTTTTTTTTATTAAATTGTTAATAAATAATTTCTATTATTATTATTATTATAAGTAAGGAAGGCATGGCCTGAAAGACTGTAGATCCTGTAAAAGTGACTTTTGAATCTCCTATTCTCCTAGCCGAGAAATCCAAGAAGGAAACAAATTAGTGCCACTCCAAGAAGGTGAATATATATCATGAACACTCAAAAACCTGCCAGAAAAAAAAACTCGTCCTTAGGACTCGAAATTTTTACGAAGGCATCTTTCTACGACCCAACTTTCATTCTTTGTTGACAATGTGTTCATTTTCTAGTTTTTTCTCCTCCTAACCTACAAATAGCCTGATGATGACATCTAGAAGTCAAAACTTGTAGCACAGAGATTGGCATTGAATTTTGGAGTGAGACTTGGAGTTTTCCCTAAATTATTCTCCCACCTTCTACCACTCTTTCACTAACCTTTACTTGTTTCTTTCTTCGCCACTGCCACCGGCTTAGATTCCGGCGCGTCGCTTTTGACAGACTGAGAATCGACTGCAGGCATGCCGAAAGTGAATTTCAGCCCCGGCGTGTCCAGGTTGATGCCTTTGAGCGTGGGCTTTTCCGAGACTTCAGCAGTACCTTTGTGATAACAAGCATATACTGTGAATACTGACTCAAATACTTATCAAAAATGTCCCAATAGGAAGTTTTGGCTAAAGGTGAAAAGGTTTCTCCTAAAATTTGTCCAAAAACCCATGGGTCGCGTGCAAGAACTGTCAGATGACCGACCCTGGAGGCAAAACATATTTGTTTACAAGTGATCGAAATAGGTTTCCACAATTATTTTGGCATATGAATCGTATTTTTCCGCTATTCATCAATCCGCTAATGCCATCACATTGTGCTGTTGTAAAATGCACAAAAACTGCAGCAGAAGATGAAGAAATCCGGATGGTACATTATGATTCAAAAGTAAGTACCTACTATAGGCACTCACATAGTTTTCATTTTTGAAATTTGGTTATTTCTCTGATTTCTCATCGGAGTTCCTTCTGCAATAGGATCAGCGAATAGAAATATACCTGAAATTTCTAGAATAATGCAAGAAGATCGGATTCATGCAATCAATCGGTAGGACTGGTCTGACATGCTGACGATCGTGTGTGTTGTAGACATTTTCAATCTATTAGCAGCATTAGCTTGTATTGCAGAAGTGGCAGAAGGCAGAAGGAATTTTAATAAAGAATGACAACATTTCATAATGCTAACTCTGTGAGATTACTATTTACCTGAAAAATCATATTCCCTAGTCTCTTGCTGCATTTTTTGTGCATTGTACAACAGCACAATGCGAAGGCATGCTTGAATTAATGAATAACGCAAGAAACACGATTCGTATGCCAAAATATTGTGAAAAACTATTTCAACCTCTTGATTCCTCTGTAACCAAATAAAAAAGTGAGGTTGTGTTTCAATAATTCACAGAAGAATGAGGTTGTGTTTCAATATTTTGCCTCCAGGGTCGGTCTTCGTGCACGCGACCTATTATGATAAAATAACCAAACTTTGTACATATACGGAACTGTTCATTTCTAATTTGAACATAATATGAATATTTCGAAATTATGAATAGGGACGTGGGAAATATGAGGGGTTAGTGGCACTTTTTCCCACAACTTTTTTGTTTATGCAATTTTCGGCCATTTGACTAGGAAATATGAAAAACTTAGGGTATAAATCGATTTTGAAACTCTGCTGTGTAATAATAGTTATTTATACTTCAAGGTAACAAAAAAATCATTATTACCAAGGGACCAAGATTATATCCACAGGCTTCAGCCGAGTGGTATATGGTCCCGTGGTAATTATATTCTTTTTTCTACTCACATAACTAAAATGGCATTTAGCGTACGGATATGTACCACGCTAAATGATCGATTAATCACGGATTGTCGATCTGTGATTCATTCAAAATATTAAACACGTTACCATGGCAACACGATTTCTTAAACACATTACCATGACAACACAGTTCATTAAACACATCTTCAGTAATTTGAGACATGTCTGGCCTGTCAAGTGTAGGAACTGTCAACTGTCATTTTCGAATTTTGTATCAGAATTATTCAAACAATTTTCGTTTGTATCAGAATTTTTCATTTAAAATAAATGCGAAATGTGGACGAAAGTGAAATCGAAGAGAATGTTTTGGTACTTGCATATCTCCAAGAAGTGTAAAAATGAAGCATCTATGTTTGAGAACAATTTATTTATTCTGCGCTAAGCATCATAATGAATGTGAAACAAAGGTTAGTAAGCAATGGACTGGACACATCTACAACCAATATCACTTATACGTGTCTCGCTGGTTGCATGCAGTTGCATGTATTATGTTCTCAATTCCCATTCCTTTCGAATTATTTTGTGCCATTTCTATGAATCTCGCATCAGAACAGTGAATTCGGGTTAATTATAGCAGAGATGGCTATGTCTTTATTGACTAGTGGTTCATAAAATGACGAAAACTATCTTGGCAGTAAAAACACACTTTACGCCTCGGAAAGGAGTAAATAATGGTAGGTTTCATAGCTAGTGATGGAAAAAACTTGTTTTTTTTCCTTAATAGGGCAACAAGCATAATTATTTTTCAATTTTTTCCCCTTATTGCATACCCGATATTTAAAATCGAACCATCGGAGGTAGATGTTAAGAGAAGGGACATTGCCAACAGACCATAATTTTTGGGAAAATTCGGTATTCCCAATATTCTGTGGTCTAGCCAGGACAGTTGTTGTATATCTCAAGAAATCTACCTGCGATGTTTTGATTCAAAATATCAGAAGTGCAATAAAAATAATATTTTTTTTATGTTCTGGTTCCCCCTAAAAGGGATATCCTGTAATGTTCAGAGAACATCGTGAGAACCAAGGGAAATATTGTATTATGCAGCAGAATTTCAATATCAATTTATCTGGAAAACGGTTAGGGCTATGGAAACTAAACACCTTTAAATACTGTCTGTAGGTTGAGAGTGCCATTTTTGAGTAAAAATGTTGCAATTTCCATATTTCCTAGTCAAACTGCCCAAAATTGCATGATTAAAATAATTGATGGCAAAATTGTCCCAGCTCTTCCCTACGCCACCGTTCAAAATTTCGAACTATTCTTAAGATTTTTTAATTAAACATAATTCCCATATCACTCATATGAACGATTTTTTTGGAAGTTCCAAGCTCATCAAGATCAGAATTTATACAAGTATACTTCTCCTATACATTTCAATTTTCATTCCAATACTGAACATATTGGTAAGTTATATTTTTATATCATAATACATCATATTATTTATCAGATTTGAGAGATTGTCAATTCTCAATTTCAAAGGATTTTAATTTTTCTTGTTTTCTGTTGAATATTTAGATTGATGTTATGTGCAAATACATATTTTTATCTGAAGGAGAATGCAAATTCTCAACTCTAGAAGATTTGGTTTTCAAATTCTTATCGTGTGTTTTCAATTCAATGTTCGTTCGGCATAAACATCGGTATAGGTTGGAAAAATTCTAGTTTTCTTGTTCGCCAGCGGTTTTTGTAAATCACAAATGTTTGAGATACTTCACCATTTTGTTTTTTTCAATCATGGAATATTCAAATATTGCACTGTTTAATATAGGCCTTTAGCTACAAAATGACGTCAAGAAATTCATATGTCTCGTTTATCTTTACATTTGGAATTTTTTTCACTATGGTGTATTGCTTTTGATAATGAATTGGGAATTCAATTTAAACACTCAACATCTCTCTATCAGCTCAGTCCACACTATAATGGAATAAGTTTTTTCAATCATCTCCCATCATCCTTAAAGGAAATCAAAGATCATAATCTCTTTAAGAGATGTCTCAAAAAAATTTTTTAGTAGAGAAGTGTGTGTATGACATATTTACTGATTTTATGTGCTAATGTGTTTTTTGTAATGATTATACTAGCAGTTTTATATACCGGGTGGCTACGGAAGTATTGCCTACGGAATATCTCAGTTATTGTATGAAGTAGGTTTGTGAAATTTGGAGTGTCGATATAATGCCATAAGAGCTAGAATTTGAGCATATTGACATGTCGAAGTTAACTTCCGGTCTGACCGGAAGTAACATCAACTTTCTCATTTTAAATGGAAACCCTATTTTTTTTTCTTTTCGCTGTATTCAGCATTCAATTCCCTTTCTAATGACATATCACAAGTTGGTATTTAACCAGAAACTAGATCAGAAAAAAATTATTATTGAAATTCACCGAGTAGGCCGTGGAAGCAAAATGAAAGTCAAAAATTGAAAAGTTGGCTATGGAAACCAAACGTCACTTGATAACAGTTGCTTCTACTGTGATATTTTATTTTCATTCGTCGGCGTTATAAAAAGCCGCCAAAAATTATATTGGAAAAATTGGGAAAAAAACAATACTCTGTAGGTCCATAACTTAAATAGGAACATACAACTTTTTCTTGCCTGTACTATTCAGCATAACCATTCCTTTCTAATGATATAATAGAAAGTCATTTTTGGCTTTCATTTTGCTTCCACGGCCTACTCGGTGAATTTCAATAATAATTTTTTTCTGATCTAGTTTCTGGTTAGATACCAACTTGTGATATGTCATTAGAAAGGGAATTGAATGCTGAATAAAGCGAAAAGGAAAAAAAAATAGGGTTTCCATTTAAAATAAGAAAGTTGATGTTACTTCCGGTCAGACCGGAAGTTAACTTCGACATGTCAATATGCTCAAATTCTAGCTCTTATGTCATTATATCGACGCTCGAAATTTCTTAAACCTACTTCATACAATAACTGAGATATTCCGTAGGCAATACTTCCGTAGCCACCCGGTATATTTTTCGTTTTACCCCTGACATGTCTTATATCAACTATATGTATGATCAAGAAAGATGAATAAATTTATTATTATTATTATAATGAGATCATGAATGGAAAAAATTGCACAGCCAAGAATTATCTTACTGGTATACCTTCTTTGGGTGCCTCGCAGGAAATGCACTTGTTCTTGTCGGCAGCGTTCCTGGTGTAGCATTCTTTGCACTCCCAGCTGCCTTCTGCTGGCTTGAAGGCGTTCCCCCAGGAATTCGTGGCGGGTTTTTGTCCGAAAAGGAACCCTGCACTCGGTGGTTTCGCTTCCGGGGTCTTCATCCCGAACGAAAATCCGGGTCCCGATTCTCCCGTTTTGTTTCCCGAAGTGCCGCTTTTAGGGGTGTCGCAAGCCACGCACTGGTTGGTCTTACCTTAAAAAAATATTACCAGGATATAAAGGACCTTCAGAGTAACTAGTTGAGGTTGAGGAGGTATTCGCAATTGCATTGTGTGCTAGAGAGTTGTCGAATAAACCTCTAGTAAACAAAAATATCAGTATTGTATCAGACAGTCAGGCTGCTCTTAAAGCACTGAGCTCCAGCAAGATAAATTCCAAGCTTGTATGGAGCTGCATTGAATCCCTAGAAAGCCTGGGTGCTAACAACAGAGTCACTTTGCTGTGGGTGCCTGGACACCAGGGGGTGGAGGGTAACGAGAAAGCCGACATCCTCGCCAAACAGGGAACCGAATCTGTGTTCATAGGACCAGAACCATATTTTGGGGTCACCGCAAGTGCGGCGAAAACAACTATCTCGGGCTGGGCGGAGGGAAAAACACTCACGTACTGGTCCGAATTACCAGGATTAACCCATTCGAAGGCGTTCCTGCCTAAACCATCGGAAAAAATAACCAGGCAGATCCTAGAATGGAGCAGGGGTAACCTGCGAATTCTGACTGGACTGCTTACGGGACACTGTCGTCTAAGATACCACCTGGGAAGGATGGGTCTGAACCAACAAACGGACTGTCGGTTCTGTTGTGTGGAAGACGAATCGGCTGAACACATATTATGTTCATGCTCTAGCTTAGAAAGACTAAGGTTCGACACATTTGGCTTTACCAACCTAGAACCTATCGATTTCAGACAAATCTCACCCAATTCAACCATGAACTTTGTAAAAAGATGTGGATTGTACGGTGAACTGTAACCTCTAGGGGTGAGCCACAATAGACCCATCTGGGGTCGCAGTGGAGGGGAGGTGTTCGCCCCACTCACATGGAACCTAACCTAACCTAACCTAACTAGTTGATAAGACTGATTTATGTTACTAATTTCTTCTGCGAAAATGACATCACATCCTAGGTACAGGGTGGGCAAAATTGGGCGTTTTCACGGGCTCTCTCAATAACTAAAGGAGTTATTGAAAAACCGATATAAATGTTACGGGTTCGATTTTAGCGAAACCCAAAATGGCGCATTCGGAATTTTGATATCTTCATTCGTTTCAGAGGTACAGGGGGAAATTGAAAAATTGCCGATTTCGTTTTTATTTTCTGAGTACTTCATGGTGGGGAATATTGGAAATTTTGGGAAGTTTATCCATATAGAATGATGCGAACAATCCATTGGCATCATTAGAAATTGTATACTGGCTATTTGCCACGTCGAACATTGAATTATATCTGTTGAATATCCAAAAAGAGAGCATGAAAAATCAAAATCCTCTGAAATTGAAAATTGACATCATCTCTCAAATCGAATAGATTAATATGATGTATCATGATATAAAAATATAACTTACCGATATGTTCAGTATTGAAATGAAAATTGAAATGTATAGGAGAAGTATACTTGTATGAACTCTGATCTTGATGAGCTTGGAACTTCCAAAATAATCATTCGTATCAGTGATATGGGAATTATATCTCTCACAAACGTGGCAAATAGCCAGGAAAGTAGTTGTTTTTTTGTTGAATATTCAGAATTATATTATATGCATATCTTTATATGAAGGAGAATGCCAATTCTCTATGTCAGAAGATTTTGTTTTTAAATTCTTATCGTGTGTGTTCAATAGATGTAATTCAATATTCGTCGAGGCATAAAGCCAGGAAAGTAGTTGTTTTCTGTTGAATAAACCGAGAAAGAATTAATATTTTCATCACATGGAAAATGCGAATTCTCAATGTATTTCTTTATATACCGGGTGGCTACGGAAGTATTGCCTACGGAATATCTCAGTTATTGTATGAAGTAGGTTTGTGAAATTTGGAGCGTCGATATAATGACATAAGAGCTAGAATTTGAGCATATTTACATGTCGAAGTTAACTTCCGGTCTCACCGGAAGTAACATCAACTTTCTTATTTTAAATAGAAACCCTATTTTTTTTCTTTTCGCTTTATTCAGCATTCAATTCCCTTTCTAATGACATATCACAAGTTGGTATCTAACCAGAAACTAGATCAGAAAAAAAATTATTATTGAAATTCACCAAGTAGGCCGTGGAAGCAAAATGAAAGCCAAAAATTGAGAAGTTGGCTATGGAAATCATACGTCACTTGATAACAGTTGCTACTACTGTGATATTTTATTTTCATTCGTCGGCGTTATAAAAAGCCGCCAAAAAAATATTGGAAAAATTGGAAAAAAAAACAATACTCTGTAGGTCCATAACTTAAATAGGAACATACAACTTTTTCACAGTAGTAGCAACTGTTATCAAGTGACGTATGGTTTCCATAGCCAACTTTTCAATTTTTGGCTTTCATTTTGCTTCCACGGCCTACTCGGTGAATTTCAATAATAATTTTTTTCTCATCTAGTTTCTGGTTAGATACCAACTTGTGATATGTCATTAGAAAGGGAATTGAATGCTGAATAAAGCGAAAAAAAAAAATAGGGTTTCCATTTAAAATAAGAAAGTTGATGTTACTTCCGGTCAGACCGAAAGTTAACTTCGACATGTCAATATGCTCAAATTCTAGCTCTTATGTCATTATATCGACGCTCCAAATTTCACAAACCTACTTCATACAATAACTGAGATATTCCGTAGGCAATACTTCCGTAGCCACCCAGTATATATCCATTTTTTTGTGTTCATAAATATATCAGAGAATGTTCCTTTTCAATCCCATACAATGTTATTTGTCGAAGTGGAAATAAAGTATTATTATTATTATTATCTAGTGAAGAGAATGAAAAGCCAAAGAAAACTCTAAGAACTAACCTTCGTTCACTATGTAGCAATTCTTGCATTCCCAGCTACCCTTGGCCGGCTTGAACTTATCCCCGAAGCTGGTCGTCCTCGGTCTCGTTTCGGCCTTATGGTGCTTGCTGCTCACCTTATTGTTCTCGTCCAAGGAAGTCTGCGCCGTTTGCAACGTCTGCAGGAATTGGCTGGCCTGCTCCTCCGTCTTGAACCGAATGGTGAACGTTTCGGGGGTGAGGACGCCCTCGGAGAAGTCCTGGGCGTGCCAGAAGACGGCCTTCGGATTGGTCGCGTTGATCTTGAACGACATGTTCTTGATGACGGCGTGGTTGCAGCACACCTTGTGCACTTGGTCTCGTCTCATCAGGAGACGAATCGTGTCGTCTTTGAGTACCTGAGAAAAAACGACACATCACCTCAAGAAGAATGAATATCCCATAAACATTAGTTTCTAATTAACGAGAAATTCCATGTCCTTGATGACGGCGTGGTCGCAGCACACCTTGTGCACTTGGTCTCGTCTCATCAGGAGACGAATCGTGTCGTCTTTGAGTACCTGAGAAAAAACGACACATCACCTCAAGAAGAATGAATATCCCATAGACATTAGTTTCTAATTAACGAGAAATTCCATGTTCTTGATGACGGCGTGGTTGCAGCACACCTTGTGCACTTGGTCTCGTCTCATCAGGAGACGAATCGTGTCGTCTTTGAGTACCTGAGAATGAACAACACATCACCTCAAGAAGAATGAATATTCCATAAACATTAGTTTCTAATTAACGAGAAATTCCATGTTCTTGATGACGGCGTGGTTGCAGCACACCTTGTGCACTTGGTCTCGTCTCATCAGGAGACGAATCGTGTCGTCTTTGAGTACCTGAGAAAAAACAGCACATATGAACACCTCAAAATGAATTAATATCCCATAAACATTAGATTCTAACTAAAGAGAAATTCTATCTCTAAAATTGAACTAAAAATGCAGTACACTTAGCAAAAATGGGATTCGAGAACGGTTCATAAAAACAATTTGTTAAAACATCCTATATACAGTGTGTCCCACTTACCATGCTCACCATGGGTATCTTTTTAACGGTGAGAGATACGAGGTCGGTTAAATGACACCAAATGTGGAGTTTGTCAAGGCTAACTATAATGTGAAAAAATATTTTGATAAAATCTATTCGTTTTTGTTTTATACGCAAAAAACAGATTTTGATCATTTTCATGTCTCCTCTGTAACTTCTTTATTTATGAAAATATTCAAATAGGAATTTCACATTCTCATGGCAGTTTTTCAAAGTGAATTCGAAAAGCATATGAAATTTATACCAACTCTTCTAGAATTTGAGATATCAGCACCAACTTTAGTTTTTCAAATGTAGGTCATAGCTCACTATGACTTAGTTACAAATAACTTTTTTTTGTCTTACAGATGATATGTCGCAGTAATAGTTTTGTGTTGATAACAACGGAGTTCTCGTAATTTATACAAAAAGAAAAAAATTATTTGGAAGCCGCCATCTTGAATTTATAAATTTTAACAAAAAAAATCATGATCTCCGACCTCAAAAACCCCCACTTACCAATTTTGAATGGAATCGGACCAAATCTTGTCCGCCATCAATTAAAAAAAATGGCTGCTACAAGATGGCCGACAAGATTTGGTCTGATTCCGTTCAAAATTGGTAAGTGGGGGTTCTTGAGGTCACAGATCATGATTTTTTTGTTGAAATTTATAAATTCAAGATGGTGGCTTCCAAATAATCTTTTATGTTTTATAAATGACGATAACTCCGTTGTTATCAACACAAAACTATTACTGCGACATATCATCTGTGAGAGAAAAAAAGTTATTTGTAACTATGTCATAGTGAGCTATGACCTACATTTGAAAAACATAAGTTGGTGCTGATATCTCAAATTCTAGAAGAGTTGGTATAAATTTCAAATTTTTTTCGAAATCACTTTGAAAAACTGCCATGAGAATGTAAAATTCCCATTTGAATATTTTCATAAATAAAGAAGTTACGGAGGAGACATGAAAATGATCAAAATCTGTTTTTTGCGTATAAAACAAAAACGAATAGATTTTATCAAATTATTTTTTCACATTATAGTTGGCCTTGACAAACTCCACATTTGGTGTCATTTAACCGACCTATCTCTCACCGTTAAAAAGATACCCATGGTGAGCATGATAAGTGGGACACACTGTATAGTTTGAAAATATGACTCCCTCAAAAATAGTACAAAATTGCCAGTACACTGATTTTGCTTTATTCATTACTAGCTTTTAACCTCGGATTCGTTCGCGTAGAAGCCACGTTGTAGCCATTGAATAAATATCAAAGATCGGTGTGATTCAGTATTTGAAAATTAAAACGTCCAATGAAGATAAAATGTGACAATGTATTTGACAGAAAAAAAAGTAATATACGACCAAAAGCTTCGCTCACGGCCGATCCTGAAAAAATAACATTATTGAAATGGCGAATCATTATCTGGCCCAACAGTAAATGCCTCCACAGTATTATATCTACTCCATTGGCCATCATGTTTCCGTACAAATTCATGTACAAAACAGATTTGTAGCGGGAAGATAATCCTCACCACAAGGATTATTTGTTGCATGACATCCGTATGGCACGGTGAACCATTTGGGGTAGTATTGAATTCTTCTGTATTGAATTCTTGCATTTTGGTTGAGAAGAAGACTAAAACGTAAATGTTATCGGTGGTCCAGTCACTGAATCGAAAAAAATCTGAAGAGTATCTCCCATGCAGTAATGAATTTGCGCATTCGAAGTGCCCTCCCGATATGTTAGATATTTGTAACTTTCATTCCATCATCCAAATAATCCGAAACGTACGAGTCTCAAATGACGTATACTAATAATAATTATCCAAAGTCAGTCAATTGGAGCGTCTGGAGCCTCACGTGAACTCAGTTCAAAAGGAACATCGAAGCGCGGTGCGAGAGATGCTACAGTTGACTTTGGATAGACTTTACCGGCTTGTAGAGTTTCATGTCTGATTGTTGGATATTCCGTGTCCAACACTCATGTCTGCCCAAATAGGTTTTTTTACCCGTCGTATTTTTTTTTTATAAAAAGTATACAATGTACTTTCTAATACACCCTGTATACAGGGTAAATCAATAGTGTGTTCTCCTTCGATATTAGCCAAACCGTCAGGTATATAAAAAAAATTCGAATATAACAGTTGAAGAATTTTATGAGAGGTGTCACCTAAAATTATTTTCATATCATAGGATGTTCGAATTTCAAGATATTGGCTGATGATGGGTGTTTTTAAATGGGACACCCTGTATATTATTGCATTTTTTAATTTTTCCTGAAGAGCTGATTTCATCAATGCATCACACTTGGGGTCTAGCGGAAATGATTACAGAGGTATAGGGTGTTCAGAATCGAAAATTTTCAAATTTGGGATTTTTTGTGTCAGAACTATTCATTATTGGTCGAAACGGCTTACATGTCCCTATCTCAACGTTTCATTCACTATCTACTGAAATTTAATTGGAATAGATACAGGAAGATCAGAAATCTTGAATTTTGAACCCCCAAACATAACGCCAATTGACAGTCCGAGATCACCTTCCGCCAACGTACTATAAGGAAGATTTTATTGGGTCTCAACACCAACAAAGCTTGTGGCTCCGACGGAATCCCACCGATTGTTCTCAAGAAATGTGCTCCCGAACTAACACCTGCTCTCTGCAAGTTGTTCAACTACTCTTACAAATTGGAGATATTCCCGTCCCACTGGAAAATTGCAAGAGTACAACCAGTTCGTAAAAAAGGCAAAAAGACCCTACCTAGCAACTACAGACCGATCGCACTGCTATCTATTATTTCAAAGATCATGGAGAAAGCTATCAACATCGAGCTCATGAAATACCTGGAACACTCAGGTATTATCAACGATAGGCAATATGGGTTCCGTCAACAGAGATCAACTGGTGACCTGCTCGCTTACGTCTCACAGATATGGCAGCAATCTATTGAAAAATATGGTGAAACCTTAGCCGTGGCACTTGATATCTCCAAAGCATTCGATCGAGTCTGGCACCACGGACTCCTCGCCAATCTTCCATCTTATGGCTTGCCTCCCCAGCTATGTTCTCTGCTAGCTAGTTTTCTCTCAAACAGGTTTCTCCATGTAGTGTGTGTAGAGTTCATGTCCAGTACACAGCTTCTCTTCCAGGGGTCCAATACCAGCCAGGCAAATCAGAAACGAACGAGGAAGAAATGTTGACAACATAAATATGGACTTGGCAACAATTCTCGAATGGGGATCCAATAACTTGGTAGATTTCAATGCAAACAAAACACGAGCATGCCTTTTCTCTAGAAAAGCCAATTTCACTGCGCCAAACATAAGCATGTCAGGAGTAACCATACCTTTGAAGACATCCATTTTGATGCTTGGTATTACTATCAGCGAGAACCTTTCTTGGGAAAATCACGTGAGATCAATTGCTAAAAGTGAATCCCAAAAACTTGGTTTTCTGTTTCGGGCCAGGAGCTATATTACTTCCAGTCAGCTGCTTATGATCTATAAGGCACAGATCCGACCTGTCCTGGAATACTGTTCCCATATTTGGAGTGCGGCACCCAAACATACCCTGAAACTGTTGGATTCTGTCCAAAAAAGGGCAATTCCTCTCGTGGGTGATGCCTCACTCACAAACTTACTCACTTCTCTGGAACACCGTAGAAAAGTTGGCGATCTGGCTCTATTTTATAGATATTTTCATGAACGATGCTCTTCTGAAATATCAACAATTGTACCTCCCTTGGGAGTCCCCGCGTGATTAACCCGTCGAGTTGAGGCTTCGCACCCCTTCGTGGTCACTTTGGAGACCTGCAGAACATCTAAAATTGTTCTATCCGTCATTCGGTTGCCCCCTTACGAGCAACCCTTAGAAGTCTTCGAGAGTCTTGTGCGAGCAAGGAATGACGGGGGCCTTACCTTTTAACGTGTGATCAAAAAACACTTTCTTGGGCCATCAGAAAAATTTCTGCAGTCGATGGGAATCGAACCCACGACCGGCAAGCGGATGCGGATTAGAATATTGACACTGTCTGTCCGCACGGCTACCTGGCCAACTCTTTCCAAAGACTCGTTCATCCAACGAACAGCGAGGCTCTGGAACACATTGCCAAGGGAGGCGTTCCCCGAGGCATATAACCTAAAGAAATTCAAGAATACCGGGACATGTAAGCCGTTTCGACCAATAATAAATAGTTAGATATGAAAATAATTTTAGGTGATAGTTCCCAAGAAACCATATAACTGTTGTATTCGAATTTTTTCCATATATCTGACGGTTTGGCTAATATAGAAGGAGAACACACTATTGACTCACCCTGTATACAAATTTCATGTTAATTGGTTGAGTAGTTTTTGCCTGAAAGCCCGACAAACAAACTCACATTCACATTTATAATATTAGTAGGGATATCTATGAAGAATATCAATGCTCGGGCAATGATTCCGCAGAAGTATCCCCACCATTCGCGTTCTCGTTAATTCATCCGTGTTCGCCGTTCAGGCTTATTGGCGCATACTTTCTAATGATTACCTTCATGACCCCCACTCCGCGCTCCTTCCACTCCTTTGCCCCGCCCGCAGTGTCGTACCGGAACAGCTTCGCTCTGCCCTCGAACAACACCTCCGAGTTCTCCTCGCCAGTGCGCACCTCCACCAGATCCGGCATGGCCACCACCGGCCGGAACTCCGCGGTGGGCACGAACTCCTCGGCGTGCGAGGCGTCGTCGTCCTCATCGGCGTCGGTTTTGGCAGGTTTCGATTGTTGTTGTTGTTGTGGGACGACGAGCGGCGAGAAGGTGGCCGGTTCGGTCGGCTTGAATAGCGAACCTGCGAACATGAAGGGGTCGTGCTAATACCAAATGCCGAGTCATAGGGAGTTGAATTAATAAAATCATTTTATGCTATGGAATTGTGTTCATGGATTAATAGGAAAGATAATGGAGCAAATCCAAAGTAGGATTGTTGAAAAATGATGGGGCTTAAGTGTCCCCAAGTTTCAGTACTTGGCCCAACTCTGTTCCTGCTATACAGGGTGTTTCATGAGGAGACTCACATAACCAAATGGTGAATAGAGGAAACCAAGACGAGTTGATGTATATATATAAAAAAAATTTTTGGCCATTCCTAACGTACTTATTATCTGTAATTGCCATATAAGTTTGATGGCCGATATTGTCACGAGTAGAACATACGGTATATCAGTAATTTCTAACCATGAGGGTTTTATAAACATAAAGTAAATCAAATCATCCGTTGACATTGAATTATAAAAACTGACCAAGGAACTCTCATGAGAAACGTGCATATCTAATAAAATGATGCATATAAATATGGGATGTGAGGGTTCCGAAGTTAGTCTGGTCTGGGGCTACTCTTGACTTGACAAGAGCTCGTCGTAATGGTCATTATAATGTAAGTTGTTATTAGGTCTTTATATTCATTGTTGTTTATTCATATTTGTCATCACTTCACCCATAATGTTTCATGCTATAATAAATATGGTTATGTTTGAATGTAGTCTCGTACTTTCAGCTACCCCTGAACTATTAGTGCCTATTTGAATATTACCTCTCGCAAACTATTAAGCCAAGCAAACCCCTTATAAATCGATATGGATGGGCTAACCACTCTACTATATCGTGACAATATTTCAGAGACCTCTTATGGTAATGTGATGAAATTTGCCATTACTTAAGAACATTTGAATGGATTTTCAATTTTGACCTGGAATATTTTCATCATACTTGTAGCTGATCCATGCAAATTGATTTTCTGGTTACTATTGATATTTATTTGTACAAAAATAGAATACAGGTAACAGATTCATTAAGGCAATTGAAGGAAATTTTCAAAATGTCCTCCAGCAACTTCGATGCATTTTCTACATCGCTTCAATAAATTTCTCGTAGCGTTCAGAATGGTCTGCCTGTAATTTCTCATCTCATCACACACTGCTTCTATCTGCTCTCTCAGTTCTAATCTTGTATTCACCTCTGTGGCGTAAACTGATTGTTTCAAATGCTTCCAAACATAATAGTCGAGGACTGTGAGATCAGGGGATCTTGTGGCACAATAGAAGGTTAGATGACTTGCATAATTCAATTTCTCATGACATCGAAATAATAAAAGAATGGCGTGATTCTAACCAACTCTTCTTCAATATAGGCAAAACGAGTATTCTCACTTTCAGATGTACATTACCTGACATTTGGCTAGGAAGTGAATTGATAAATATGAAGAACAATCCCACATTTCTTGGCCTTACTGTAGATGAAAATTAAAATTCAGAGACCATATAGTGAAGTTGAGTAAAAAAGTAGCTTCAGGTTGTTATGCTCTGAGAATCATTTCTGATGAGTTGGGATACTCCCTATCAAGAACAGCCAGCCTACTTTGCATTAGTAGACTGCCATATCCAATATGGCATTGCTTTCTGGGGAGTTTGTCCAAGAGAGCTTTTGGATATGATTTTTGTTCTTCAGAAAATAGATACGGTATATTTGCAAGGCAAAAGGGATACCTGCACATGGTATGTTAACAGTAATTTCCATGTTCATCCTGGAATCGGTATGTCTGATAATGAAGCATAAAACCTCTTTCGCCAGGCATGTATCTTCTTATATTTCCCGTCGACCCATCTGCAACTTAGATCTTCCAATTCCAAATAGTTCGCTAGTTAAGGATTCTATCATTTTTAATGGCATCAAAATGTTAAATCACTTGCCGATACATATAAAACAAATTGAGGAACAAAAGGCATTCAGAAAGGCTGTGAATACGTTGTTTGTTGAAAAGACCTATTATTCTTTACAGGATTTTTTTGACGAAGCTCGAGGGATAATTAACCCCAGCTGATATTTTACAGTAATGTTATATATGTTGTTGTATGTTGAGTTATGCTGTACGCCCATATCTACAAACTTATGTATCCACCTGTTCTTGTTTTGTTTGACTGGCTTGTAAATTCCCAAATGTGCAATACACATTATTTTTAATTTTATTATGTTCAATCCTACTCATTCCTACTCTTATTTCATTTATATCTGTTTTATGTACAGAGATATATTTCAATATGACTACATGTGGATCCTTTCAATAATTTATGTACAGGGTGATTCACCATAAATGCCCCCCCCCTCTAGCTCAGTTATTTTTGAACCGATTTTAAAATTTGAAATATCATCTTGAATGATTTTCGATAAAGTTTTTTTCCGCTAGATCAGAAAATACAGGGAACTCGGAACAAACGATCTACAGGATACTATTTGTTTTTTTTAAATGAAACACCCTATTTTTCATTGTATTTTTAGATTTTCCCTGAAGAGCTGATTCGATCAGTGCATCACACTTGTGGTCTAGTGGGACTGATTACAGAGATATAGGGTGTTCAAAATCGTGATTTTTAACTTTAGGATTTTTTTGTGACGAAACTATTCATTATCGGTCACGCGGTTTTCATGTCCGTATCTCAACTTTTGATTTACTATCTACTGACATTTAATAATTGGAACAGAAACAGGGTGACCAGAATTCTGAATCTTGAACCACCCTGTAAATGTTCCAATTAAATTTCACTAAATAGTAAATCAAAAGTTGAGATGGGAACATAGAAGCCGTTTTGACCAATAGTTTCGGCACAAAAAAATCCGAAATTTGGAAAATCTCGATTTTAAACACCCTATATCTCTGTAATCATTCCCGCTAAACATCAAGTGTGATGCATTGATGAAGTCAGCTCTTCAGAAAGAATAAAAAAATACAATAAAATACAGGGTGTTCCATTTAAAAAAATCAATTAGTACTCTGTAGATCGTTTGTTCCGAGCACCCTGTATTTTCTGATGCAACGGGAAAAAATTTTCTGAAAAATCATTTTAGATTATCTTTCAAATTTTTGAAACGGTTCAAAAATAAGTGACCTAGAGGGGGGGGACATTTATGGTGAATCACCCTGTACCTTCATGTTATACACCAGTCTATACACTTTACTTATTTATTTATATCATTTGTTGATCATTGAAATTGTCTATATATCTGTATTCCAACTAGTTAAACCTCAACATTGACTGTGACATTTTTCATTTCACTTCATTCATTGTATTTATTTATTCATCATGCTTTGTCAACAAGAATGTGTTTCTTGACAATAAAGTATATTATTGATTGATTTGATTGATTTAAGTGTAATTTCAGTACTAACTTGATAATGTAACCGGTGCAGGGTTTAACAAATTTAATGATTTCAACACCTGGTATTCATAAAAAAGTGGTTTTTATGTGAATACAGTTTGCACGCCAATATTCAGAAGGAGATAACCTGTCATTCAAAACAAAAAACGTCCAAATCTGACGAGTAGTTTTGACGAAAATTTATCTCAAACTTCTGGATACTTTTTGCTGGTGTGTTAATTTTTTGGGGATGTGTATTTACACAATATAGGTGAACTTTCTGCTTGCTGTTTGAAATAATTTTGGTTGTGAGGGGCCAAAGTACAGAGCATGTGATACGGCACTCTGTTCGTATGGGGCCATGGCCAAATCTAGTGTAAAGGTTGACCAAGGGAATTTCCCCACGTTGGGCGCCATATTGTCGAAGATGTTCTTACAATTCAAGCTTCACGTCTAGTGAAGCTGGAAAACTCCTGAGGGCAGAGCTGCCGTTTCAGAAACGATGACGCTGGCCTGTGCTGACCATTCTGAGATACTTCCATATATGAACTGCCTTATTAGTACGCGATGATAAAAAACTAGAATGAGAACTCCCAAACACGACTTTGACTCAATCGGGAATCGTATGTCAGTCAGGCTCGACGTCTCCGATTCTCATAATATACGGGTTGTGCCACCTCCCAGAAGTCTGGTTAGGTTATGTTCCTATTGATAACATCTGCTGGTCTTCTTTCATGATGAGAAACAAATTGAGTACTTACCTTGAGAATGACATCATGAATCAATTGCAACAAAATTCCTTTATTTCAGTTTTTTTATTCATCAGGGGACAGTTTTGAGTTTTTCTCTAACTGAAAACTTCCAGATGCAGATCACTGGCAGATAACACAATAAATTGAATAAGAGTTATCTCTTCTCATTTTATAACCCCTACGACGGCAGTGAATACTCGTTGTCAGTGTCTTTGAAACTACGAAACTGCCAATTTTATTAATATAGAAATAACCGTGGTAATTTCAAATGATGTATGATCTCATCAAATACTATTTATACATGGAAAGATCAATATGAAAATGAGTATGTAGATTAAATTCTACAAGTGTTTTGAACTTCCTATAATAGGTTAACAGTTTTTGTATAATATTTTGTGATTGGTATATCATTTTTCCATTATTAGCAGATATTTCCCAACAAGGAGTATATTTTTAACTGATAAACTGACTTTTTGTGAAAAGTTGATGTCATTAAAATCCATTGAAAGTCGATCAGAAAATCGTATGATTAGTGACATTTCAACTAAGAATTGAATGCAAAGTATTTCAGAAAAAATATGACATCAATTATTGTTTAATTATTCACTAGTAAAATAAAAAAATATATTATTATTGTCATAGGTTGCGAAAATATACATGTTTTGAAGATAATAGTGAAAAAATACGTTTCACGTCATAACACGTTATCTGGTGCAATTCATCGAAGATCAATATTGTCCACCATGAATCTAGGAACCTAAAACTATCATACCTTGAGCGGCACCGGCAAAAGTGAAGCTTGAAAACGGACTGCTCTTAGGCACCTCCTGGACCTCGACAACTTTAGCGGGCGTTTCTTTAGGAACCTCCGTCGGTTTGAATGTTGGCGTGCTGGTGAACACGAAACCGCCCAGCGTTGACCCGGCCTTAGGAGTCTCCACATTGGGCGTGTGGACCTTGGACGAGGGTTTTGGAGCTTCGATTTTGGACGCGCTTTTTGGTGCTTCGATCTTGGGCGTGATTTTTGGTGTTTCGACCTTGGGCACGCTTTTCGGTGCCTCTTTGGCGGCGGCCTTCTCGGGCTTTTCGGTCGAGCCGATCAGCTTTTTGGCGTCCTCGAACGCCCTGTGGAACTCGCCGGCCTCCACGGCTGTTTTGAAACGTACGCAGAACGTTTCGGTCACCATCTGGAAACCGGTAATGTTGGGTTATGATGTGAGAGTAGGTCAGACAGTATCATGGCAGCATATGTGCAGAACGGGTTGGAGGAGTGAATGTGAATTAGATTTCATAAATTCTTCCTCATTAGGGAAACATTTTTGATACAACAATGTAGGGGTATACAATGTTCGATTTTTTGATAATAGAAAATCTGGAGGAATATTTTATTTGTCTACATCAAGTGGACAGGAAGTCGAATAATTTCCGAAAATCTTCAATTTTCTTGTTCTGGCCGACGTATTGAAACTAATCAAACTAAGTTGATCCGGAGAATTAATAAGGCCATTGACCAATTTATATAGGAAACATATATCCAACACTAATCTACGATTTTGTAAAGTTAGGAGATTAAGTTCCATCAATATATCTGGGTAGTTATTATGAGCAACGTAATAACCCTTGCGATATGAATATGTTCTCAAGAACCTTTTCTGAATTTCAAATGATGAAACCATACTCTAGTGAAGGTCTGACCAAATAGCAATTAAGTGAACTAAGTGTTTCAGGAGAGAAATTGTTCACTGTTCCTAGTAATGAAACCTAAGTTTCTTGAAGCAGTGTTCACTACCTTAGTAATATGACTTCTAAAAGTTAGTTTAAAATCAAATATTTATGCCCAAGTCCTTTATCTCATTGACTCTCTTCAATACAGAATTATTGATTCTATAAGCGGTCTCAATATAATTATGACCCATTGAAAAACTGATACAAAAACACTTTGAAATATTGAGGTCCAAGTAATTAACCCTAGACCAAACATTGGAGTCATTCAAATCAGATTGCAGCAGATCAATATCCATATGATGCTGAATTTCTTTAAATATTTTGAAGTCATCTGCATATAACATAGAAACAAAGTGGAAAATATATTTGCTAATATCGTTGACAGGCAAATTGAGAAGTAACAGTCCACAATGAGAGCCTTGAGGAACTCCTGACAATTCTGGAATCACGTTAGATAAAAAACTTTTGATACTGGAATCACGTTAGATAAAAAACTTGATCCTCACACATTGTTGACGACCAACTAAGAACCTCTCAATCCATGCTACCAAACCCATATTTCTAATACTGGAATTGGCTAGTTCGAATTGTTTCATCTAGATTCTAGACCAAATCTACGTTGGAATCAAATCACGATAGCTCTGAGATACATACGCGTTCCTCATCCACTCACCTCTCCGTCTGCGAAATCGGGCGCCACCCAAATGTACGCCCTGTCGTGCTTCGCCATCGGCGACACCGACATATCCTTAGAGATGAAGTGGTTGGCGCATATCTTGTGGATCTGGTCGCGCCGCATCAGCACCCTCACCTTACCCGTTTCGGGATTGTGGAGGATCTTCAGGCTGCCGACGCCGCGCTCCTTCCACTCCTTCACGCCGTTGGTGATGGCGTGTCTGTACAATTTGGCGCGTTCGCAAAATAGCACCTGGATTCGATAAACATATAGGTCAAAGTAGCTGTGTATAGGGTCGGTTGCATAAAGAAAAATTAATCATACAATCAACTGATGCCACAATAACTTTGATGTTATTTTGAATGTCTTTTGCGTTGCATAAACAATCTGATGTTATAATAATCATTCCATTTACTAATGACGAGAAGGGCGTGGCAACAGCGCTAATCTGTTTGCTCCCTTATTTGCTTGATTTTCATTCAGATTGACTGAAGTTACAGAAAACTTGAATCGGGTATTGAAATCTTTGTCATCATACGTTTCGAATGGATTGTTTCGTTTTCGAAAGGTTCTTGGCCTGGGAATCAGTAGTTCTTCTTCAGATAGTAAAGACAATGATGAGATAGACGTTTTCTGTAATACCTATAATAGTCATTCACTTACATTATTGTGTTCATTTACCTTCTCTACCTTTTTGAAATGAAACAAGAACTAAGAACTCTTAAGGTTTTTTCAGATTCTGCATAAATTCTGCGAAATATTCAAAATAATTTGGCGGAACTTTCACAAGTCATTTGCTGATTGTCACTTTAATCAGTGGTCGAGCACTGATTAAGTTGATGTCATGAATAAGTCGATTTGATGTGACATCTAAGGTTGATTGGCCTTTGTGCAACCGATTTTTTAGTTAAATAGTCATTATCATGAGTTGATCAGATGATCAAGTCACCATGCCATTAAGTACATGATGATCCTTTTATGCAACCGAATTCCATTTATAACGTTCGCATCGAATATTTGAAGTGACATCAAATAATTGATGAGCTTTTATATAACCGGCCCTTAAGTCTTGTATCGAAAATTCCATGCCTAACATTTTCGACCAATTAAAAACCTGTATTTTGCAGATTACGTCGAATTCATTCTATAAGTTGATAAGTTTCTTGTTAGAAAGTATATTTCTACCAACTTTAGCTAAATGAATTTGTGAACAACTTTTAGAGATTGAGCTACTATCAACTTATTTTTCATTATTTCATATTACTAAAGTCGTTTAATCACAGTCTATTTAACCTAATATTATTACGTGAGCAAACTTCATTGATACTGAATAGTACTTCGAGTTTCTTGTGATAAAATATATTTCTACTAACTTTAGTAAAATGATTTTGTGAAAAACTGAGAAATTGTGCTTGCACTTCCTTTTTGTGTAACTAAAGTAAGTTAATTGTGTTTTATCAAACCTAACAATGTGATGGATATGAATTATATTAATACTACATACTGCCGAGTTCCTTAACAAACAAACTTACATTTCCATGTAAGTAAGTATTCATTGTATCTATATCCTATGTCATTGTTGGTTTTTCTAGAACTAATTCTTGAATTCGGCTAATGATGGTTTTATATAAGCCCGAAACATGTACCTCTATGTGATCGATCTCTGACTGATCGTCAAATAAATGTTGTGGAGATGACTTTGGGTTTCTTCATCTATGAAATATACCACTCCACTTTGAGTTACCATGGACTTCTTCCAAAGATTAATTTCTCATCAGCTTCTTGACTGAACTAACAGCAAAGTAACTCTATTTGTTTACTAGAGATCTATTAGTCAACTCTCTTGCGCAAAATGTCATTGCAAAGACATCTGCCTGAAAGTTGCAGCATACTTGCCGAGATTGAGCAATCATACTAAGAAACAATTGATTTTTCAAAAAATTATAGCAACCTCGAAATTGTTGATAATTGGATTGGTCAACTTGGTCTACTTGCTATTTCCCTTAAAAACTCTATTAGGTAAAAATCAACAAAGTTCATATTCCCAGCTCTAGTGATTTAATGGACCTCAACTTTTTTTCATAAGATCATATAAATAAAAAAAATATGATATACAGTGTGTCCCAGTTAAAACTTGTGCCCCTTATCTTCGAAGTCGTTAAAAAAATTGAAAATCTCTCGGGTGATCAGAATTCTGAATCTTGAACCACCCTGCATCTGTTCCGATTAAATATCAGTAAATAGTAAATCAAAAGTTGAAATGAAGACATGTGAGCCGCTTTGACCAATAAGGAATAGTTTCGACACAAAAAAATTCTAAAGTTGAAAAATCTCGATTTTGAACACCCTAGATCTCTGTAATCATTCCCGCTAGACCACAAGTGTAATACATTGATGAAATCAGCTCTTCAGGAAAATCGAAAGTTGATGCCCTTTCCGCGTCAAGGTTTCAACTGTGGGATATGGTAGTAGCAACAAGTTTTAGCTGGGACACACTGTATAATGCGCAAACGTGATCATGTTTCAGCCTCTTTGAAAGAAATAGGTTGGTTGAACATGAAAGAGAGACGCTTACTTCACAGATGTTCGTTTTATCATAAAATTATTACCACAAAGACACCTGCCTATCTATTCGATAAAATTCAGGCACGAAGTCAAGCACATAATGTTGATTTACGTCATAAACACAATCTAACCATTCCAAAACATGAAAGTTCATTATACAAATCTTCATTTTCTTACAATATTGCTGAAACTTACAATAACCTTCCCCTTGATGTGCGAAGAATTTACTCAGTGAGTCCTTTTAAGAAAAAAATTAAACTTTCAATTTTGGATGAATCCTTGTCAATTTGTTGAATCTTATTTTTGTATTGTACATGCTTCGACATTATTATCATTATATATTATACTGCCAGTGTTTTTTGAATATTGTGTCAATTTATGTAGTATAAGTATATGTGTGTGTGTCTGTGTATGTATGGGTGTGTATATATCTGTATGATTGCATCTGTTTGTGCATGTATGCGCACGCATGTTCATGGTTAAGTGGAAGAGCGCAACTACTTCAGGTGGGCAACCAACCTGAAGTAGAGGGAACTTTGCCTTTTGCTCTGCAGGGTATAGATATTGTTTTTTTTTGTCATTATTTCATCATTTTTGTATTGTATCTCTATAACCTGTACCAATAAAAGCGATAATATTATTATATTATTATTATTATTATTATTATTATTATTATTATTATTATTATTATTATATATGAATAACGTCACAACAGGGTAAGAGATTTTTTATACCGTTTTATTTTCTTCTCCTGTACTGACAATGTTTATATTCTCAGCTCTAGTGATTTAATGGACCTCAACTTTTTCTTAATAAGATCATACAAATAAAAAATATGCTAAATAATATTTGAATATTGTCACATTATAAGAGGTTTTCTTTACCGTCTCATTTTCTTCTCCTGTAGTGACTGGCACTTCATCTGGCAACGCTATAATCGGTTTGAAATCAGGGCACGGATCGTATTCTTCGACAGATTCCTTAGAGACATCTGCGGAAACATTGGAGACCTTGGAAGTGTTGAAGGTTTTCTCTAGGGTCTTCTCTATCTGCTCTCCAAGGCTGACGTTCTTCGGTTCGGTGAGAGAGAGGTTCGAGAGAATCGGTGGGAATTTAGAGTTGAATGGGTTGAATGTCGGAGTTTGAGGTTTTGCTGGAATAAAGTTGAAGGTAATTTCGATGTTGCATGTTACCCCAAAATGTTTTTCCATCCCTTACACTTCTTTTTAGACAGATAACATCGAAGACCGAGGGCATGAACAATTTGAGGGATAACAAGATCTGGTGCTTTTTTAACCTATACAAAACTTCCTTTTGTAGGATACTGTGACGTCTGTGGAGAGCCGGCTGCAAATTTCGATCGTTATCTGGTACCGAAATGATATATGTCATTTCCCAAAGGCACAATTTTCTATCAGCAGAGTGATTTACTTGTAGTACCACTCTGTAGCGTATAGACGTAGGGGTCTGTACGTGTGACTATAGATGGCAGCGCCATACAGTGTATGTCGCGATATCTCTGTATCCTACCTCAGAGCTTTGCCACAAGATGGCTACAACATGACTACAACTTCATGTTATACCCTGCGATTTCAACTATCGGTGAATTAGAAAGAAGCTGAAATATTTACAATGGCAATGGACAATCTCAGCACAAAAACTGACCAAAAGCCCTGTGCTAATCTGTCTACTGGCGCATGTTTACACTTCACCCTCAGATCCATCATACATTCCATACCAAGACCAGGAGATATTCCATATGACCACAATATGCTTATAGCTGCAGCCCCAGGGAAGCCCTTTTAAGCCAATATAAAGAAATAAACATTCCAACTCACAGAAGTTTCAAGTTTATCAGTGATATGGGAATTATCTCTCACAAAAAAAATAGAAGGTTCCAATGGAAAAATGTAGGACCTATAATGTCTTTTTAAATGAATTTCCTGAACTTAAGAAGTCTTTTCTGATGATTAAAAATCAGTTCTGTTGAATGGAAGAAACAGATAAACGTTGAGAACTGGATGCTGGCAGCTCCAACAAAAACTTACTACCTTTCTTCCCTTCATTGGTCCAATAATGAAAACAATAAGGTGAATTTGTGATTCATAGATATATTTATTACTGATAATTGACTCTTATTTGTAGTGCCTATCTGAGAGAGAACATGATTGAAATGAGCAACAGTTCATATTCTGTTTATGGGGAAATGTCTCCAGAAACTAGGACTTGGAAAAATAAGTATGGTTGTTTTTCTTTCAAATATTCCTATATAATGAAAATAAAGAAGCAAATTCAATGCCTTTGACTTTTGAACTGCAATACGTTTTTTTTATATACAAAAAACGTCAAAATCAGGATCAAGTACATTTAGGAACTCTACCTAATACGTCGACTACTGTATTTGTCACATATTATGACTTGATAGAGAGATATGGAGGGCAGATTTGTGTATCCTCTTGTACTTGTGCCTCTCGAAGGACCCAGTCGAGATGCCTAATTATTAGGGAATGCACAAATCTGCCGTCCATATCTTTACCAATTAAGGATTTTTCAAGCAATACAGCTGTCAAAATACAATGTGGTAACAGAATTGTGTTACTGAAGATTGTTAGAGGATATGGCGTCAACGGTGGGCTCCTTAGTGGCTGTAACGTCCAACCTCAACCTATGCATGCAAGAGAAAAAGTTCAAAGGGCAAATTATTAGATCCAACGAATAACGGCAAAGAGACTCTTCTGAAGTACGCAGGCTTGAGGAATGAACTTCATAATGCTGATTTTGCTGCCACTATTGTTAGGATCGAACAAACGCTGACAAATAGTGACGGAAAATTCAAGTACCACCGCGGATGCTACTCAAACTTTGCCAATTCCGGACGATTGGAAAGGTTAAACAACAAATCAGCGCCTTAACAAGAGGCGGAATGTGCTGCTACAGAACCGTCGTCATCTCGATACGTCACCAGGCCTCGGACTGACTGTGTCGACATTAGCAAGTGTATTTTTTGCCAAAGCGATAAAAGCGAAGCACTGAGGCAGGTGATGTCAAAGCCAATGAATGAGACTATAAGAATGCTGGCTAATTATGACCACCAACTGTTCTTTCGCATCAATTGTATGCCCTGCTTGATAGCATCTGAAGTGAAATAACACAGTCTGTGTATAGTGAAGGCCGGGAGAATCCAGAAGAAAATACAGATCCAGTCTGGCGAAAGTAATTTACATTCAAACAAATGAACATTTCAGGTGAACGTGTGAGAGAATGCTCATCATGCCCGACCGGTGGTGATGGATCCTGAGTCATATGGGTGGAGGCTCCACCAAGACGAGTACATTCTCATCCTCATGACACTTGAGTCCGTTCCCAAAGCCTGCACGGATATTTTAACCTGCAATTGTTCGTCCCACTGCCTGACAACAATGTACACGTGCAAGAAGAATGGACTGACTTGCACCAAGTTGTGCCACCGTTCTCACCTATGTCTTAACTCTTCGAATAGTTGATTAATTATCATTTTCGTATTATTGCCTTAAGCAATCAACACTAGGACGATTTTTTCATTATCTTATGGTCGTTTTTTTTTTTACTTCCTTCGGCGGCCAACTTGAAGTCCATGCACTTCAAACTTGAGGTAAGTAAATTTGAAGCACTACAATGTACCAAGCATCTGAGAAAACCCCCTGAGGCAATGTTTGAATCATTATTAAAAGCCAGCGGACCTGGGAGATATAGGGCAACAGAGTTTTGACCATCATCTCGGCCGCCATCTTGGATACCGGACTTCCGGTCCAAATTTCGCTTTGGCAACAGGCAGGTTCGTATTCAGCGGGGTCGAAATACTCTAAAAACGTTGTTTCCCCAATTGTTACATGAAATGCTTCTTGCGTTGTTAATTTTTGAAAACGTGCCCACTCTATATCAACTTAATTTGAAAACGTCAAAATTATTCAATTGACATCACAGCCTTTCCCGATGTAAGTATTATAGTGAGTTATAGTAGCGTGAGTTATTATAAAGTCGTGGAAATACACCAAGTCACAAAACAAAAGCCTATAGAATTTCTGGTTACCGGTCGCATGTGTATTCTTAAGTATTCCAGATTTTGACAATCATGATAATCATGGTAACGAATATGGCAGTTCATCGAAGTCCACGAGAACGGATATAGGAGTGTATGTGCGTACCATTACAAGTTCCTATGTTTTTTTTCTCAAAGATTCATAATATATATTTACCTAAAAAAACGAATAACTATAGTTGAACACTGAACAGTATTGTCGCGGAAAATCAGTTCGGGAAACCTGACGAGATGATGTTTTCAATACCTACCCGAAATAAATGTTGAAAATACGAAATTCGGATATGACCTACCTTCTCTCCCTTTTCACCCCAGGGATGGACGATGTTCTACGAACATAAAATAGTGATTCTCTCTTGTTCGTCTTAAACGATAATAAAAATTGAAAATATTAGCTGCAATCCAAAATATGACTTCAACCTTACCGAATTTTGGAATAAATGAACTATAAGATTTCTCATGCTGTTCAACATCATCTGTTTTTCGCAAATATATTTACAAGCGATTGATGCTTTGGCAAAGAAAATATCAAGAAAATTTATTAGTTTTCTCCCCTCATTTCTAAATAAATTATAGAGATATAAGAGTATCTGTGGATGACTGGGCGTGGAGATTTTTCTTTGCCCCGAAGTGTTAAAAATGTAATGTCAGATCTGAAAGAATTTTTCCAGCTGATAGTCAGTGACACTTCGTGAAATAAGATGTTGAAAGGTATTCGAGGAAAAAATTATAAAGAAAATATGTGAAGATGTATTACTCTCCATATCAACTAGAGGTTTCGGAGAACACTCTGTATCCATTATCAACATAAATTTTTTTGGAACAAATGTTTTGTCTTTGGCTTTCTGCAAGAAAGTAAGTAAGTAAGTAAGTAGTATAACTCACATGAATTATATTTCGAATAATAATTCCTCGTCAACATCAACTTAATTTAATATGAATTATTCAGGAAGTAACATTTTTGAAAAACAAATATTTTCATTTGAACGCATTGGCCCTTCCTCCGATGACGTATCGCTCTCATCTGAATTGAAAGTTATCACGACAGGTTCAATATTGGAAGCACCTATGTATTTCTCCGTCTCCCATGCCGAAAATATCACTTTTTCTGTATGTCGTACATAATTTCTCCAATGCTCCACACCCACAGCTTCTAACGCCTTTCACCAGACCATTATCACATCTCCAGGGGATGATTTAGTTTTGATGATTTCAGCGTCGTAAATCCTTTTAGCCTCTGACCACACCATTTCTATGGCATTATATTGGCAATGGTGAGGTGGTAATCTCAAAATATTGTGACCATGTTCTGATGCGTAAATATCTAGATATATTTTTGTTGGGAATTGATGTGATATCAAGACCCAGTATATAATGATATGATAATATTATGAATTGTCAGTTAGTTGAAGTTGATTAATGAATAAAGATATTATAGAATCTTTCATCGATCATAACATGGCGCAGTCGGTATTTGAACTGTAAGCAATATTGCATCAGTATAATAATATAAAACTGAGTGTTTTGCAAAGTCAAACAATGCCCAGGCCTTCGAGGAAGTCGAAAGTTAACGACACAGAAGATCTTATCAATAGCAAACTGGCACCACTTGAATCTTCTATTGCATCCCTGGAAGAATGTACAAAAAACTCTCTGACGAGTATAAAATCGGATTTTAGTGCTCAATTGAAGGAAATACAAGAAGCTCTTGGTAAAATTCTACAGAAGAGCATTGAGAACTGCCTATTGTTGCTCCTCTTGAATTCGAATCCAATTTTGCGAATCCAGGTATTCACGGATCTTGGTGAACAAGGAAAATCATGCCATTCTTCAGTGAAACGCTTATGGAGCGATTTTATTGTAACATGAACTCTAAGAGCCTGTAAAATTGTGGGATTTACCTTTTTTTTTATTTCTTCCGCCTTTTTCGAAACTGTTTCTGCATAAACAGCCTCAGAGTTTGTTTGCGAATTCTTGATCCGATAAATACTCCTTTCTGAAATATTCAGAGCTTCCGCGGCAATGCTGACAACATTCTTTCTCTGAACTTGGCAGAAATCATCGTGTTTTACAAAATAAGCGATCACACTCAGAATCAATGTCTTAGATTGATCATTGAATCGTTTCACCATTATGATATAAGGAATTCGAAATATTATTGATGTATAACCAGTACTCTAATTGTTTGACATTGAGTCACAGTGACAATTCAAGGATCAAAATATATGAATCAAGTTCCGACGTTCCTTTTTCTAGTGATTTTCTGTCTCATTCAGCTTGCGATGAATAAAAAGAAACAGATTTTGCCTTGGTGTATTTCCACGACTATAACTCACGCCGTTTGTTTACAGATACTATTAATTGTTCAAAAGCAGTTGAATCATTGATACATAATTTAATAGGAGTAGATAAAAAATAATGAAACCACAAATTTCCACTCACCAGCAGTCGAAACAGCAGGCGACCCGGCGTTCGCACTCGTCGCCGCCCCCTTGGCGACGCCTCCTCTGATATGCTGCGGCGGAATGGTGACTGACAGCACCGGCTGGGCCGCGGCGGGCGTTTTCATGCTCGGCAGCGGGTCCGAGGACGTGATGACGACGTTGACGGGCGCCGGCCTGCTGACGACGACAGCGGCGGCGGCGGAAGAAACGGGAGCGGCGGAAGAAGAAACGGCTGTAGATGGGAAGTTGATCTGGCTGGTGATCGTGGCGCTGGGAGTCGGTCTCGGTAGGACCAAAGACGATGGTGCTGTTCCACGGAAATCAATCAATCAATCAACTTTATTGTTCCCAAGAAACAATATTTGTTTATAGCAAGAAACATAGTGAATTCATATACAGGGTGTCCCATAAGTGATGGATCAAAAGAAGTGGGGTGGTAGGGAAGGCCATTTCCAATTGCTTACTGAAAAATTAATCACAATAAAACTATATCACATTTGAATTTTTTTTTCAGAAATTCCATGCGCATGGATGTATCTTTCCCAAGAAATTATATTCATGACCTGTGTTACTCCCTATCAATTAATACAAATTTAGTTCTCCTTAAATTTTGTTGAATGAAATAATTTAGTTGATTCATTGATGCTGCTGGCATATTTGAAAACGACCCCACAAAGATGACCAGCTATCACGAAAAGTTGCCCATTCGATACAGATTCTGAAATGGTATGACATATGTGGATATTCAAAGCAGCCTTTTTGTTATCGATTTTTTTTAATGGGTTTCGTATATTTTTGAAAACATTCCTCTTGGAAAACAATTTTTCAATAACAATAAAACTTTAGGCAAAAACTTAAGCCAACAAAGATTTGATGATTAACTATCACAGTAAATGTTCAAATTGCCTGCCTTGATTTCTTATACAGTCTGCATCGACGAATAAAACTTCTTTTGATTAGTCCAAAGGCTCCCAGATTGTTTTCAGTTGTTCTAGTTCCTGTAGCTATTGATTGACGCAGCTCCGCCTCTGCTTGGGTCTCCCGTACATAGGTTAATTCTTTGTAATACCCCCATAGAAAAAAATCGAAGGGGTTAAGATCGGATGAGCGCGGGGGCCAAGGAATGAACCCACCTCTCCCTATCCAGCGATCAGGAAAGGCTGTATTTAGATATCGTCTGACATCTCGTGAATAATGGGGAGGAGCTCCATCTTTCTGCAGCCACATTGTTCGACGTATTTCTAGTGGAATATCTTCAAGCAATTCCGCCAAATTATTTTGTAGGAATCTTCGATATGGATGGGGATCCAGTCTCGCTGGCATCTCAAATGGCCTAATTAATCTACCATGTAGGATTCCAGCCCACATGTTCACCCCAAACTGGTGTTGAAAGCGATCGTTCCTTATCGCTCTAGGGTTTAGGTATGCCCAACTATGCAGGTTGTGAATTGTGAATATCGAAAATACCTATCCGTCGAAAGCTGGATTCATCGCTCCATGAAACTTTATGGAAAAAACCTGGATCCTCCCTACTTCGACGTAACATTTCTCTGCAAAAGTGTACCCTTTTGTCGTAATCAGCAGGTAAAAGTGCTTGAACACGTTGCACATGGTATGGATACAACTGGTGCGTCTTGAAAATGCGTTGCACGGTGGACTTTGGAATTCCTGAATGTCTAGAAACACGACGAACGCTTGTTGGAGGGTCCTCTAACACCATTTCGACTATTTCCTCTTCGTCGACGTCACGTCTTATTGGTCTTCCTTTTATCCGAGGCTTTCCAGGTATTTCGCCTTCCAGGTACAAGCGATGTACCCGTTGAAAGATTCTATAGTCTGGATAATGTTCCCGGCCAGGGTATCGTTCACGTTAGTCTCTTGCGGCTGCCCGAGCATTACCATTACAAAACCCATAACTGTAATGCATTTCAGCGTATTCACGAACGGTATACATTTTGTCTCAACCAACGCCAATCCTTTTAAAATCACAGATACTGGTAGGTAGTCCAATAATACAAAAACGATATCAAAGTACAGATAACTGACAAATTGAGGAACTTAATACTCAGTGTCTAATCAATCCGTTTGACATAAACTTGACGTTCTGCAGCAGGAATATATTTTAAAAAATACAAAACCCATTTAAAAAAAAATAATAACAAAAAGGCTGCTTTGAATATCCACATATGTCATACCATTTCGGAATCTGTATCAAATGGGCAACTTTTGGTGATAGCTGGTCATCTTTGTGGGGTCGTTTATGAATATTCCAGCGGCATTAATAAATCAACTGAATTATTTCATTCAACAAAATTTAAGGAAAACTAAATTTTTATTAAATTGATAGGAAGTAACACAGGTCATGAACATAACTCCTTGGGAAAGATACATCCATGCGCTTGGAATTTCTAAAAAAAAAAAAAATGAAATGTATGATATAGTTTTATTGTGATTAATTTTTTAGTAAACAAACTACATGATTTTAGGAGAAATGAGAAAAATTTTATAACTTTTGAACCATGAACAATTGGATAACCACATATGCGGTTAGTTTGATTGGAAATGCTTCTTTTGATCCATCACTTATGGGACACCCTGTATATACGACGAAGACGATGGTGCTGTTCGACGAAATTCAATCAATCAAGTTTACTATTTCCAACATTCAACATTTGTTTATAGTAGGGAACATAGTAAATGCATAAATATATACGACGTTGACGGGCGCCGGCAGAAGAACAAACAGCTGTAGGGGGAAAGTCGATCTGGCTGGTGATCCTGGCGCTGGAAGTCGGTCTTGGTATGACCGAGGACGATGGTGCTGTTCGACGGAAATCAATCAATCAAGTTTACTATCCCCAAGAAAAAACATTTGTTCATAGCAGGGAACATAGTAAATGCATAAATATATACAACGTTGTCGGGCGCCGGCTTGCTGACGACGACGGTTGAAGTAGAAACGGGGGCCGGGGAAGTTGATTTGGCTGGTGATCGTGGAGCTGGGAGTCATTATCGGTAGGACCGAGGATGATGATGTTTCTGCTGGTAGAAGAAAATTTTTTGATTGCACTCAAAGATCAAATAATATGTATAATATTATGTAGGTACTAATATTTTCGAATGACCGAAAATTGTCCACTCAAGATTAGAGGAGATTGCCAATATGCGGAAAGATTTTCTGCTGCCTTTTTCAGTCTCTAATATAAACTGCATAATACAATAATCGATATATCATCATTAATACACACCAAAGAAGATTTGTTCCAAATCGGTCAGTTACAACAAACTTATTGGAGTGCGTGAATGTCTGGTCAAAACATTTGGACAATAATACCCCTATGGATATTATTTATCTAGACTTTTCTAAAGCATTTGACCGTGTCCCTAGAAAAAGACTTTTGTGTAAATTAGAACATTTTGGTGTACGCGGGCTACTACTGACGTGGATCCAGAATTTTCTAGAGAGCAGATATTTTTGTGTTCGGATAGATGATTGCTTCTCTGACCAAGTTCCCCAAGGATCTGTTCTTGGTCCTCTGTTGTTTTTGTGCTACACATCAGATTTATCACATATTTTTAAGTCAACCTGTTCTTTTTACGCTGATGACACAAAACTTTACAACAACACAAAATCACAACAAATATTGCAAAATGACTTGATTGCCTTATACAACTGGAGTTGTGAGTGGTTACTACCACTGAATATTGATAAATGTGTTGTACTTCACCTTGGTAAAAATAATCCTAGACAAAATTATACCATCAATGATGAGCAATTAGTTAAGGTTGAATGCCACAATGATCTTGGAGTTACCATAACCAGCAATTTAACGTGGTCACAACATATTTCAAACATATGCAAACGAGCGAATACAAAATTATACCTCTTGAAAAAAGTTTTTCCGAAAACGTCACCTGAAACGTTCACTAACCTCTACAAAGTTTATGTTAGGCCAATCCTAGAATATGGAGGACAAGTGTGGAGCCCGGAGTTGATCAGAGATCGTAACATGTTGGAATCTGTGCAACAACGAGCAACCCGAATGTCCTTCGGTCTCAGAAGACCCATCATACCATGAACGTTTGAATCAGTTAAGCCTGACAACTTTCGAAGATCGAAGACATCGTGGAGACTTGATCCTGTTCCAGATAAACGATGATACACGATTAAGAGGACATAATTTCAAACTTAAGAAAGAACATTTCAGGTCGTCAAATCGGCAGAACTTCATAGTAAATCGTGTTTTCTCGGCATGGAACAACCTGGATACAGACATAGTTAATGCACCCTCAGTATCATCATTCAAAAGTCGATTAGATCGTATTACTGAGTAAATTGTTTTTTTTTTTCAGTTTGCATGGCATTATATCTGTCTATTTTATTTCGAAATGTTCAATTTCTATTCAACATTTTTAATTGTTTTTTCAATTTTATTTTTAATCTAATTGTTTGTCTAGTAGCTATTTACATATATATATAATATTTCTTTATGTGTACCATACAATTATGTCATGTATAAATGGGCTTTTATAGGTTCACACCTCAGCCCATTATCACTTTTTAATAATAATAATAATAATAGTTAGACAATCACTGTTACTTCGCTTATTCCTTGTGTTGCCAAATCCTCAATAGATACTTACTGAATGTTTTTTTTTCAATCATAATTTTGAGCAGTAGTTTGTTGACGCCAATATTAGATACTCACAATAGTACAATTTTATGCACAAACCCATAGACTTGAATCATATTCTAATAATTCATATACATCCGATGAAATTGCATTGTGAATTTTTCCACTATTTTCTTTGTGAATATTTTCTAAAGTATGTTATACAAATAATAAATATCATAACATTCTTCCACAAGATGGATTAAACATTCCCTTTGATCGTGGACTTACTTGTAACTAGAATATCCTGAAATGATATACAATTTCTGAGCTCAATTATATGTACTGTCAAAATGAGGGCCAACATATTTTGATTTGCCACCAGATCGCGCTACTGAGACGTTAGGTCTTGCATGACATATACTTCTTCTATAATTTCATTTGACCTCTTATCTGCTCCTGTTGAGTAAAAGTTGTGCATACAGTTTTATATTGGAAGTAAAAAACCCAAGCCTACCAATTCCAACCATCACATGAGTTATTTTATTTCTCACCTTTGTTACTGCAAATTTTCGGAGAAACAACATTGTAAAAATTTGTAAAATTTTGACAGACTTCAAGCTTTAGTAGCACCTAGTGACTGAAAATGTTAGACCTCTTGCTTGCAAAGACATGCCTTATTCAATACTATTTGTAGGTTAATCGAAGAGGTGCAATTAAAGGTTAAGACAAGCAATTTTGAAATGATAAAAATGTAATTTAGTAAAATCAAACAACATAAAGGGTTCTCTTACCTGTCAGGGGGGTTTGGGAGGACAGAGACTGACCCGTCAACATGTTGACTCCCATTCCCACATTGGTAGAGTGAGTTTGGGCAAGAGGCGATTGGCCGAAAGCTGGTAATGAATAGCTGGTAGCGATCGGCGGTGCTATCGGTGGGATTTGGGGATCTGCTGCAAACGGGAGTGTTCCTGAAAACGGAAATCGTTAGGACGATTTTATATTAGTAATGACAGATTGTTTCATATTATTTTCATTATCATTTATGTATGTACACTGTGTTTCAATTTGCTATTCATTCAAGTTCTATTACAATTGGCTTACCAAGACCAGAGGAAACGTTATCAGACATTTTTCCAATGATATTTTGAAGATAAAAATTAATTTGTATTACTCTCAAATACCCCTAAAGGAAAATTATCCTCTATACTTTACTGAGGAGAATAAAAATATTTCAATAATTGAAATTTGATATATAGGTACTTGGGTGAATAGAGACTATTATCGAATATTGTATCATGATATAATAGTTATTTATGTAATAAGGATCATAAAGACGATCATTATGGTACAAGTCGTGAATGATATCGGGCGAGGCGTAGCCGAGTCCGATAACACGGCGTGTGCCATAATGATTGTTTATGATTCGTATTACATACAAAATTTTATCTGATGGCATTTATATCATGCGGCGAAACTCTCTTTAAATCTCAGGGTTTTTGATTTGGGTCCACACTGTATATATATTTGCAGCAAAGAAACGAGCAGAGTCAGACAAACCAGTTTTATTATTCCTAAACTTGCTAGGTATCTGCAAACTGACAGAAAACTTTAATTTCGTCGCGTGACTGATTCGCAATTATTAGAAGAAAGAAAAATAGGAACTTAGCGGAGTCCAGTACTTAATTGATATATCGAAGATTGTTATAAAGATGTTATTAGCATCAACTCACCTGACAGATCAGGCACACTGCTACTCAAATAAACGTATTTCAGCGCAGTTGGAAACCACAAAATTCTGTTCAATAGCAAACACTTCGCTAGGTATAAAAGGAATTAATAGTCGTAGGTGACACTCTCTGATACGCAATCCCAAATTCACTCAGCTCGCGAAGAACGACTATTTCTTGAAAATATGAATATACTTTTTTCGACGCTCTAAATAAAAACTGGCATAGGTACCTCAAGGCAAATAGTAAATAGCTCCAGTGCAGTACTCGTGGGGTGATGATAAGCCCAAAACCAGAAATGAAAAGGACGAAATTGGAAAGTTGGATACTACCCTAACTCAGTTTCGCTACATCTCGCCCCCCCCTAAACTTGGTGCCGCCCTAGGCGGTGCGATAAGTTGGAGAACAAAATAACTTCAAATGGGAAGCGTGAAAAATTCCCCGTTCTCTATCATCCTGGTCGTTTATTAAAACATAGGTGGCGTCACTAACCTTTTTCTTAATACGATAAGGTCCTGTAAAGAGTGATAGCATTTTTTTCGTCTCGGACTTTATCGCTGATGATACATTATTTGCACGAAGTAAGATTCTGTCACCCGGCTGGAAATCGTAAAATGGTTTCCCGGGATTGGCTGCAGCACGACGCGCAGCTTTTCCTCTTAACGTGGCTTCAGCTAAGATCAATTTTTCCTGGACAGGTATTTCCAAACCCTGATAACCTTCAGGCAGGTTGAATTTACCTTTTAACAACCTAGGGCGAGAAATGCCGGATTGGAGTTCGCAAGGAGCGAACCCGGTACTCTCGTGGACAACCGAATTCAACAGTTCAATAAAACGGGGCACCTCCCAAGCCCACTTGGAATGTTGCTCGTGGCAATAAGTGCGCAGCAAGCGGCCAAGTTCGCGCATAAACCTTTCCGATGGATTGGCACAAGGGTGGCGCACCGAACTATATACAATCTGAATACCTTGAGCTTGTAAAGTTGTTTTCCAGCTGCGAGATGTGAACTGAGTGCCGTTATCATGTAAAACTCGTTTAGGTATTCCAAAAGCGGGAAAGTATTCTTTCACCAGGCGATTCAACATAGCCTGAGTATTCGCTTTTTTCAGGGGGTATAAAGCCACATGTTTCGTAAATAAATTCAATACCACGAAAATATACATCACCCCTCCGCGACTGCGGATTAATGGCCCAAAAATATCCATCGCAATGATATCCTTCACTCCCTCTGGTATTATCTGCATTTGTGCAGGTTTTGGCAAACTAAAAATTTTTGTCTTTTGACAAATTTCACAATTTCTAAGCCTCCGTTTAACCGATCGATGCATGTTCGCCCACCACAATTCTGTTTTCAACGCAGACCAAGTTTTATAAATGCCAAAGTGGCCAAAAACTTCATGATACTTGTCAATGAAATCCGAAATAAGATGACGAGGAACACACAACAAATAATCTCCATCGGTAGTTCCATTTTTGAATAATACTTCATCCGATATTGTAAAAAGAGTTTGAAGTTTGGGATCCCTTGGCAATTTTTCCTTAATTTCCTGAAGTTTACTGTCTTGGTCCTGACTATGCCCAAAGTTATCTATCAAAGTGTGGAATTCTTTCGGTAATTTTAATGTGGTCAGTAACTGAAAACATTTATCCGTCGGCACCGGAAATCTAGCACAAGCGTACCTACTCAAGGCATCGGCTTGTAAATTTTCTCTTCCAGGGACAAAAATAACCTCAAAACGATATTCCTGTAATATCAAAGTCCAACGAGAAATTCGATCTGACAATAGCCTACATCGGTTGATGAAAGTGATAGCCTTGTTATCGACATAAAGGAAAAATGAACGACCGAGCAAGTATACTCGCCATTTCTGGAAAGCGAACAAAACGGCAAGGATTTCTTTCTCGGTAGATCCATACCTCGTCTCTCTGTCTAACAGCATACGAGATGCGTATGCTATGACTTTACGTTTTCCCTCAATCATCTGGAAAAGTATCGCTCCCACGCCTACGTCACTGGCATCTGTTTGCACACAAAAGGGCCGCGAAAAATCCGGGTGATATAAAAGGGCATCATCCTGCAACAGAGCCTTGAGTTTCTGGAAAGCCTGGTCATGCTCAGCAGTCCATCTCCAGGCAGTCGTTTTTCGCAGCAAATTTGTCAAAGGCACTGATAAATGTGCAAAATCTTTTGAGAACATCCTGTCATATTGACATAACCCTAAAAAACCCTGAAGCTGTTTAACATTCTTTGGCTTCGCATAATCCTGAAGGGCCTGGATGCGTTCGGGATTTGGCCTTATTCCGTCGCCGTTGACGATATACCCCAAGTACGATATTTCCTGTTGAACAAATCGACACTTACTAAGTTTGACAGTAAGTCCAGCTTCCCGGAGCCTGCTGAAAACCCTAGTGAGATGTACCACGTGATCTTCGAAGCTAGCACTCATCACCAAAAGATCGTCCAAGTAGGCCACCAAAAATTCCTGATAAGCTGGTCCAAAAATGGTATCAATAGCTCGACTGAATGCGCTAACAGCTGTCTGAATGCCAAACGGTAAAACACAAAAACGATAGGTTTTATTATCCACCATAAAACCTGTGTACTGTCGGTCTTCCTTGCGCAAACCAATCTGCCAATAACCATGCGATAAATCGATGCTCGATAAGAATTTTTTTCCAGCCATCAACCTAACTATTTCCGAAATAGGCCTCGGTAATTCGAAATCTGGTTCCATTACAGAATTTAGCCTACGAGCGTCCAAGCAAACTCGTACACTTCCGTCCTTTTTAAGGGTAGTCATCAGTGGGGAGATATATTTTGAGGGAGCACGCTCTATTATGCCCCACTCTTCCATTTGCATTAAAGTTTTCTGTACCGCATCTCTATGTGCTACAGGTATAGGATACGGCTTTACGAAAAATGGCGTATTATCAATTAATTTGATAGAATGGGTATACATATAAGTTCTACCCGGTTTGTCTGAGAAAATCGATGAATATTCTAATAATAATTTCTCGAAAATAGCTTTATAATTTTTTGACAAGTTATTTTTCAAAATAATTGATCGAAATAAGTTATTCTGAATGTTCGGACACCCTGTATAGCAAATATCCGAACTATTTTCACTTTTGACATTGATATCACAAACGCTCAAAAATTTGCAATGTATGCCTGGACTATCACCAACATTTAACATCGGTAAAAAATTACTGTTTTTATTCACTAACGCAGATATATTCAACGAGGCTGGACATTCGTGAATATCTGAAATTTCAGGTACAACAAAAAACTCGCCATTTATTTTTATTACTAGATGTTTCTCGGACAAGTTTATATTCACATGGAAAAAACGTAGAAAGTCGCATCCTAGAATAATGGGATATGTTAAATCTGAAACTACCAGAAATTCATGACTGATCTTTTTTTCATTTATAGAAAAAGGAATATCAGCTTGTAAAGATACTTTTTTAAACTTAGTTTTGAATGCGCCCACAACTCGTATACCTGTACATTTAAAATGTGGAATATCACTATGAAAATTGGAAAATTGATTCCACACATCTTCCGAAATAGCAGATATTTGACTCCCAGTGTCCACTAGGGCCAAAAACCAAAAATCAAAAAATTTCACACATATTCTGGGTGAACGATCATCAAGGATTTCGTGATCAAAATTACATTCCTCTGTCATTTCTTCCATAGGGTTATTTTTTATTATTACTGTCGCCCCATTTCGCCCTACCTCCAAATCGGAGCTTATTCTTGAAGGCTTGGCTCGTTTTCCGAAAAATCATTGTCTAGTTCCAATTTAGATATATTTTGAGGATTTCTACTGTAGTTTTTATTAAAATTTTGGGATCTATTCATCTGATTACTTTGAAATTTTTTTGTATCCTGGCACGAACTACCACTATTTTGCACTGCGGAATTATTGCAAAAATTGTCGGCTTGCCGGAGCCTGTTCAGCGCTTGTGATAGATCATTGACTCCCACAAGTAACACTGAAATATTTGGTGAATAGTGGCGTGCAATAATACTAATTAATTGTGATTCCGTATAGGGGGGTTGAAGATGCTTAGCAAGTACCACATACTGATTGAAATGATCTGTTAAAAGTCCCTCACGGTATTTTCCGGACTCTAATTTGAGTTTCACTGTTAACTGCTTATCATCACCCCAAAAATGTTCCGTAAAAGCGAGTTTGAATTCTCTATAAGTTTGAAAACGGTTAGCAAATGCGTCCCACCAAGTTTTTGCAGACTTATTCAAATGACTATTAATTATGAAAGCAATTTTCTGAAATGGTAAATTTTGAACATCTAAAATATTTTCTAAAGATTGTAGAAAGTCTATCGGGTGAACTGATGCATATTCATTATCAAAATTTGGAAGAATCTTACTGGCCTCCACTATTGACATGTTTGGCAAAAGATTATTATTTGTATTATTATTTGGACTTGAATTAATGTTACTTTGAGCCATCATTGTGGAAACTACGGTGGTGACTAATCGCACTAAATCTTCTTGACTTGGTGGAGGATAATACATCTGTTGCGTTTGACTATATGAGGGTGGTGGCTGCATCGGAGCAGAAAAAGGAACAAAATTTGGTTGAGGTGGTGCCGCAGCAGCCGCTTCATCTTGAGTTGGATTTGCTGTTGCAGTGAAATTCCTCTCCCCAGATGGTACATTTTGAAAATAATTAGGAAAGGTCCTACCTTGTGATGGTGGAAAACCTCGAAAAGGTGATGTTGAACCTGATCCCGAATTATTGTTTGTCGGATTTTCATTTCTTCTTACTGCCCCCGTATGTCCTGTCTTCGGTGTATTACTCAGACCCATTTCTTCACACAAATCCAATGTGGCCGTGCGTTGGTCGACAAGTTGCGGCGAAACTCTCTTTAAATCTCAGGGTTTTTGATTTGGGTCCACACTGTATATATATTTGCAGCAAAGAAACGAGCAGAGTCAGACAAACCAGTTTTATTATTCCTAAACTTGCTAGGTATCTGCAAACTGACAGAAAACTTTAATTTCGTCGCGTGACTGATTCGCAATTATTAGAAGAAAGAAAAATAGGAACTTAGCGGAGTCCAGTACTTAATTGATATATCGAAGATTGTTATAAAGATGTTATTAGCATCAACTCACCTGACAGATCAGGCACACTGCTACTCAAATAAACGTATTTCAGCGCAGTTGGAAACCACAAAATTCTGTTCAATAGCAAACACTTCGCTAGGTATAAAAGGAATTAATAGTCGTAGGTGACACTCTCTGATACGCAATCCCAAATTCACTCAGCTCGCGAAGAACGACTATTTCTTGAAAATATGAATATACTTTTTTCGACGCTCTAAATAAAAACTGGCATAGGTACCTCAAGGCAAATAGTAAATAGCTCCAGTGCAGTACTCGTGGGGTGATGATAAGCCCAAAACCAGAAATGAAAAGGACGAAATTGGAAAGTTGGATACTACCCTAACTCAGTTTCGCTACAATCAATACATTTTCGAAAAATTAAAAACTGCATTTTCGACATGTCACAATGACAACTATTTTTAAAAGAGTAAGTATTGTGTAGTTTCAAATATTAGTAGGTGAGTGAGCTGTGCTTTGCCATTATATTAATATTACAAATTGTAGTAATTGTTCTTTTACCATTTATAATAAATAGTTTTGTACATAGTTATGCATTTTGAATAAACTTTTTTGATCAAACCATTACTGTTTTCCTTATAGAATTTCATTATGGTACTTAGTACCATAATGAATTCATTATGGTACTTAGTCCCATAATGAATTCATTATGGTACTTAGTCCATAATGAGCTTCCTTATGTCATCAAAATTGAGTGACATAACGTTGTCATTATGACATGCCATCAGATAAATATTTTTAATCAATTTTTGACCATTAAAAGCCATTTACATGAAAGATATAATCAGTTGAAAATGTTTGTTTTTTATTATTACCCCAAGAAGTAGGTATCATATTCATAATAGACATATACCTATTATATGGAAATATATGAGTACATTTTCAGTAAAGTGAAAAGAATAATCTCTCATAATATGCTCAGACACTTTTTTTCCAATCTTCAAGTTATGAATTCACATCTTTCTTCTATGGATCACTTCATTATTTCCCAACATAGTTACAAATACAACTTAGGGTTGTCCTGATTTCGGAAAGGTATGAAAGCTATATACGGGATTTTTTTGCTCAAGATGAACAATGGGGTACACAACAATAGTGATTCATGTTTTCAAACGTTTATAAAATTTCTCAAACAAAATTATAGACGATTCAAACACAACTACTTCTCATATAAAACACATGCAAACTGATGTAAACAAAGCAATTAGAAAACGGTAGAGGGCGTATTCCTTAGCAAGATTCTTGACTTGAAGTTGTTTAGACCTGTGAAGTCTATGAGTGACCAAGCTCTCCTTCAAGCAGATCTAAATAGAATGTATGAATGGTGTGTTGTATTTGTATCTCAATGTCAATAAATGCTACTTCATCTCGTTCTCGAAAGTCGGAAGAAAATTGGATACTTCTTACAACATTAATAATCAACAAGTAGAATACACATCCTCTATAAAACATTTAGGAGTAGTTTTTGATGAGCAGCTTAGATTTGTTGAGCACATAAACAAAGTTAGTGTGAAGTCATCTAAAGTACTAGATTTAATTACGTGCTATTGGTCAAGCTTATCAATAGAAGCATTAATAAGGGTTTTTTCATCACTTGTGTTATCTTAGTTGGGGTTATAAATAAGGGTCTGTTCACATTTTCATTATCAAATTCGTGTTTTTCAGACAAAAATACGCAAGTACCAAAAAAAACTTTCGAAAAAAAATCCATCGCATGATAAATGCAGTTTTACTCTTAAAAATTACTGTTTCAAGTCTAACGATCAATTGGGTAAAAAATCCAACAACAGGAAATTGAAAACACTCACTGGCTAATTTTTTGGGTAATAGAAATTCTCCAAGATAAATATAGGTAATTATAACAAACGGCATGTCTATCAAAATAAAATACATTTTCCACAATTTTCTTTCGATAAATCTCATGATGAGTTTATGTTCTGCGGGCTCTGTATAAGTAGGTGTGAAGTTTACCTTCACCACAATTTTTGCCAATATATTTAATTCGATTGGGTTGCTGTAGGTGGGTATTTGTGTTTTATTCTGGTTTTTGCTTTGAAACTTCGTTTTTCCATAATAAAACCGAATGGGATTCGAAGAAGGGCTCAATTGACGACTGGCATCCGGAAGGGCTTCCGGTTAAAAACAGCAAAATTGGCTCAATAATGATCTGAAACTAAAATTGAAATACGCCGTTGGTTAGGCCTCACTAAGGTGACGCCACCATGGAAGCATGCAGGCCTTATAATCTCGATGGTAACGGTCTGGCACATTCAAATGTGTTATTTATAAATATTTTTTTGGATTTATACTGCAATGGGGTTTATCTCGTGAATAAATAAATAAACCAAAAAAAAAAACATTCGCCTATACCTGGTTGGGGCAGTCCGAGCGCGTTGTACGCGTACGCCAACCCTGGATAGAACCCGGGATAGAGGCCCGCCTGCCCGTAGGCCGCCATCGGATTCGCGGTCGGCAGCCTCGGATGCGGGTAGCTGGGATAGAGGTTGGGCACACCCGCCCCGTATCCGCCCACGTTGGCGCCGAGATTGTAGTCGACGCCGTAGTCGGGATCGAGCACGTAGAGGTCCTCGTCGCTGAGCTGGTTGGGCTTCGATTGGTCTTTCTTCAGTTCGGCCAGTTCCTTTTTCAGTTCCTTTGGGATATGCGAATTTAGAGATGAATTGCCGGTAAATGGGATTTTCCCGAAAGATATTGTGACCAGTCGACCAGGACAAAATACTGATATTCTCGATGAATAATGCGGAGATGGTGATAAACCTAGACTTTCTTAGTCTTGAGATTCTAGGTTTATCACCATCTGTTAGTGGAACATTAAACCACTTTGAGAATTACAGGTGTTGCGATAGTCTACAGAATTCTGACATGGTGTCTTTTCTGTAAGCATATGATGATGAATCTACCTATACACCTTTGCACTTGAACCACTAGATGGCTATGGAGGCAAGATGGTCCTTCTGCCCCCTCAGGGCTTCGAATTGTTTAATATAAATGGAGGTACCCTTCGTGAATCGATTGTCAGCTGGCCAGTGCAACTGATGAGACTTATGGCAAGTCGAAACAGTCTGTCTTGCATCAGCTGACAATCGATTCATGAAATTTCCCTAGAATCTCTTTCTTGAGATTCTAGGTTTATAATCATGTTTTATATTTAATGTACAGGGTTATGAATAGGTCCACTCCTATTTCGTCGCTGAGCTGGTTGGGCTTCGATTGGTCTTTCTTCAGTTCCGCCAGTTCCTTTTTCAGTTCCTGGGGAATATGCGGATTTAGAGATGAATTTCCGGCAAATGGGATTTTCAATGCGTTCTGACGAAAGATATTGTGACCAGTCGGCCAGGATAAAATATAACTGATATTCGTGATGTATAATGCGGAATACCACTGAGGGATGGAATCCATTCAAACCTATTTCAATAGATGAATCTTGTTTTATATTTAATGTACAGGATTATGAATGATCCACTCCTATTTCAACGTTATTTTTTCAGGGGTCGAAAAAGTGGTGATAATAAAGTAAAAATAAAATATATCATACTGTAATATATTCCTGTCATACAAGAAATCACAAATTCCAAAAAAATATAAAAAACAGGGTGTTCCATTTAAAAAAAGAATTTTGTGAAAATCTTATCGTTTGTGCCAAGGCAATTGAAAATCAGAACATATTTTAATTTACTTTTCTTATCGTCCTAGTATGAATGAAAATATTCAAAATTATATTCAATCTTTGGGAGAGGTCCATGGTAACTCAAAGTGGAGTGGTGTAGTTCATAGATGAAAATCCAAAGTCATTTTCACAACATTTATTAGAATGATCAAATATCAATCCTAAAGGAACATGCTTCGGGCTCATATGAGCCCATCATCAGCCAATAGAGAGTACCATAGTTCTAAATCGGTACCGATTTTTCTAGAACCATGATACTTTCTATTGGTTGATGTTCCTTTACGATTGATCTTTGATCATTCTAATAAATGTTGTGGAGATGACTTTGGGTTTTCATCTATGAAAATAATATTTACTGGTAGTTTTTGGCTATAGAGCTCACGATGTTGTCGTTTTAAAAAATCAGTGGTCTCCCCCATACAGTATTCAACTGGACCACTGGTCACCTTTCAGTAGACTGTATACATGGTGTCCCACTATTTTTTTCAAATTTTGACACGTAATTTGGCACTTTTCAGAACTAACGGAAGTTTTGAAACGTCTTACTTTCCGTTACCAGTTGCATAAAGTAAAATATTACGTAACTGGTGATGAAATGTTCATCTCAACATGTTACAAAATAAAAATATTGATGGACAAAGAGAATAGTGTATTTTCCGCTGCTTCCTGCATATCACTTGGGGCATCTGAACTTTGATCAGCCATTTTCCACTAATATAAATATCAAACGAGTCTTTTTCGTGGATTTCGTCGCTGATTTATGACCATATTATTATATGACGGATACTTCAAAGTGACAGGCGAAGTCAACTTGCCTACTAAATTTTGTACATATCTGTGGAACAGGTCACTATTTCTGTTCAAGCGAAATTTCTCCTCAAATTTAGAAAAAATATTGTACGCATTTTGTGTAACTTTGCTATGCGAGATCTCGCTTTGCTCGTCCCGCAAAATCCTATCTTCACACAAAATGACGCGTTTCCTAACTGGTTAAGTAATTATCTATTCCTACAGTTCTTCAGGAAAAAATTCCCAAAAATATCAACATCTTCCGAAAGTGAAAGATATCTTCTAGGTAAGTATTGACTTCACAAAATTCCACAAAAAAATCATATTTTATAAGAATCCTGAATAATTTGTGCTGATGTTAGCTTCAATTCAACTTTTATTTACTTTTTCTACAAAGAAAACTACCTTGGAATATTTACTAGATTTTTGAAATATTACATACAAAATCCTAGTGATTTGTATGCATGAAAATTTAGTTTCACTAAGTACCAACATTTGGCGCGAGTAATGGAAGAACACACTTGAGTAAGTACTTTGACTGATAATGACTCACCTGTACGACGTCCACTACATTCTGCAAATCGTCCACGGAATGCTTCAACTCGTCCACGGACTTCTTGATGTCTTTGATTTCCTCAAAGCCCCTCTTCATGGACTTGAGGTCGTCAACGGTGGAAGTGAGGTTATTGACAGCATCCTTAGGAAAATTGAATTTCAACATATAAGACTCTCATATATGCCTTATGTTACTTTTATGAGATCTATAGCATGTTGGTATGGTGTAAACCTGCCTATGGTGTTCGAGATTCAATTAAAAAGTAGTACACGTACACATTTGCGCGTTACTGACAAAAATAGCTTTGAATTTTGACACTACTTGTCTATAGGTGCGTTCGGTTTAACAAAATCGGAGCCGAGCGAGCAGATGCAGATTTGGTGTCACGTGATCACCTAGCAGATAGAGCTAAAGATATTTAACGAACGCTCAACGAGGTAGTAGATTGCAGATTGCAGAAGTAACACAACAGAAACAATTCACTTAACCTTATTACTTTTAAAAACACTTCAGGGCAACAAAGTTTTTTTGAATGTTTGTTGTTTATATTTTGAAAATCACTAGGGAAGGAATGATTCTGTCTAATATGATCGGTCATTAACTGTGGATCCAGGGCAGTTGTGATCGCATATATTACAGATATATAATTAATATGCTACCTACAGCAAATTCGTCGGTCATTCTGGCGATTCTGGGCAATGAGGATTCTACAAAATTCAGTTTTGTGTTTCGTTTCCAGTTGATCGAGTCTTCAATTTTTCGTCATAAAAGAGATATAATTTCAATAACATGTTGTTGACATTGATTTGTTGACAATTGACAACCGAATAACCGATCAAATCTGAATGATCTGCTCCTCAAGGCGGAGCAAACAGATTACATCTTTCAGCTCGCTCTGACAATTAACGAACACGGAGCAGATTAGACAGAGGAAGTAGATCTGATTTATCGAACGCTTTCCGAGCTAACAGATGGAATCGAGCTAACAGATATGTTATAACCGAACGCACCTAAAGTCGATAGGAAGATTAATTAACATTGACAAGCCTGAGTCACAATAGCCTATAACTGCTGTACGATTTTTTTTATGCACACACTGTACTTGGATTGGATTGGTGAGTCATAGTCTTCTCTTATAAGAAAACCATGGTGAACAGTACTGGCAACACTGTCCGGAAGTCCCTCGCCGGCCATAATGCATAATATACACGGTATAGGGCCTGTGAATGCAACGGAGTAAATTTGTCTTGTTCTCAAAAGTAAATTGATCTGGAATATCGTTGAAAAACAGTGCACAGTTCACGGAATAATCTAGTAAAATTAGTGAACAAATGAAAGTTGAAAGTGTATGAAAATAGTTCTTCAATTGAGGTTATGTTTTGATGTTTTCTCATTTTTGAAAGATTATGAAAAATCCTATCTTAATCCCGATAACGAGTAATTAATTGGGGAATATGCAGAAAATTGATAGTTGGAATCTATTTACAGATAGTAAAATTTATTTTCATCCATTAGGTTTACAACAATCTACAGCCAGATGTGTTATATCCTGAATCCTGATGCATTGAAAATATCTTCTCAAGTTTTAATATTGAATGACATGCAGGTTTTTTTTACTACTCAATGATAATTTGGGAATCAATGATTCAAAATGAATTCTTCCTCATGATATGTAATTGAGAAGGTTGGTCACAACTTTAAAAAATTCTAGCAAGATTCAGATACAGCTCAGGTCACACTGAGAATCGGACCAAAAAACAGAAAATTAGCTCATTTGATGATTTGATAGAGAGAAGCTTAATATATCGGAAAAAAGCCTTCACAATATCTTGCTAGCTAGCGCAGTTAGAGGTAACGTTCCAATGTTTGTCAATTTCGTCAGTCAAGAGTAGGACATTCACATCATAGTAATAATAGGTATCAAAATTAACAATTTGCCGGAAGTGTCAGGGATTGACTCATCTCAAATTCAGGAATATCTTGAAAGATCTTCTCACTGAAAATATGTTTCACTCACTTAGTGAGTTCTTTGACTATGTTTCATAAACTGTTTTTAACGTTTTTGATGTTATTTTATCCAAAATGTTTGTAAAACTCACATTATTTTTTACTATTATTGTATTGTAGTTAATCTAGATCTAATCCTGACGAATTGTATACAAGTATTGATTCTTGTCAATCATAGTAAACTTATTCTATCCTATTCTCAGCATCAACCGGGAACAATCCGCCCCTGATATGTACCAGGTGCACCACTAAGAAAGGACGCCGGCTGTATCTCGGAAACTATTTACCGCACATATTTATGATGCAAGTGGCCAAGAGAAATCTCTGGAAATTATTTTCAAGTTTCCAGGACGGCTGCTAGAAGGCGTGATTGCATTGGCCAATTTGAAAGAAGAAGACATGATGCATTCTAGGAAGACACTAGGGCTACAAATTTTTTCAGTGCCTATTTAATTCATATTTTCTAATTTTATTTCGATTATATCAACTTGCGGTCCACCATTTTCTTCTCGTTTGCTCTACTTTCTTATAGGAGTGAGAACAATACATGGTTCCATTTGAAATTCTCGAGAACAAATGGAAAATTGCCTGATTTTTTCGAAAGGTGCCATCTAGCGGCTACCACGGGATTTAAATCGACTTCGACTCGATTCGTGATTCATCTGAAAGAACTGAATAATTCCTTTCAAAATGAGACCAAATTCGTTGAATTCCGTTACACCAAACTGTAGAAATAACAGTTTTTCCATAGTGCTATTCATCCTCTCAGAGAGCCAAGAAGACGAATTATTCATTCGCTTGTCAGTGACATTTTGTTTTGAAAAAGGGAGCAGATTTGTTTCCAACGCGTCCAAATATAAGTGAAAATTTGGAATTATCATCTAACCTCAATAATCCTATCAACTGACAATTGTATGAAACGGAATGAATCACGATATTGATACTCTATGTGGCGTTCCAAAGCTGCTCTGAATCGCACTGGCATTCGCCTGCGCTGTGTAGGACGAAATCAAAAGCAAAACCCAGTGCGACGGGGGTTTTTCGGTACATAAAGATGGAATCAACATGGAACGCTTGGCGATAAAAACCACATAAAAACCAGCCAAGGCGATCTACCTACCTTGAAACTGCGCAGTTCGTCGAGCAAGCCTCGATGCGACTCGGCTATGATCTTGTTCTGTTCAAAGATGCCGGAAAGAGCGGCATCTCTGGAGGCAGCCATCTGCCGGATTTGAGCGTCCAGCCGTTCCGGGCTCGGTCTCGCCTCCTGACGGGCGACGCCTAAACGAAGAAGGAAACATTTCGACTTTGTGCAAAATAGTTTTTTATTATACAAGGGAAAAAAGTAGTAGATTTTAGCTCCAGGTTGTGTTGTCGCATAGCGGAGGGAGACAATAAATAGTGAGCTAAAATCTAATATTTTTCCCGTGTATTATACACTATTTTTTTCTGTGACAGAAGAAAGAACGAATCCATATTGAGAAGAAATTTTAAGTATCTAACAGTAGGGACACCTGCGTTGTAGGCATCTTTATCGTTCTTTTGAAGTAATCAAATATCTGATGTCACTTCTGTCAGTCCAATTCTGTGATTTGATTTCAAAAAATTGCGAATTTAGTGGTTGTTTAGTACTATACGTAACCGTGAAGTCGAATGAAAGATAAAAGGACTTGCAGTTCTTTCTCGGAGACGGTATTATATTGACTCATTTTTCGGAACTATAGCACAACTAAAGCCATCAACAGTGTATATATATGTGATATACAGGGTGTTTCGAAATTCGACCGACAACGTTTGACAGGTGATAGCCCTCGTGATTTCATAATCATTGAGATAGGAACATTCGGTCTTCAAGTGTTCAGTTCTCGAGATACAGGGCGTTGAAGTTGAGAAATGAAAATAGTTGTTTCGCAATATCTCAAGAATAATTGAATATAATGCATTCAACTTCGGTATATGGTTTCATCTTTGAATGGGCCATTTTTTGACCTGGAAGCCATTCCGGACATTTTGTCCAGTGGTGCCCTACAGGGGGTTGTGGCATTTTTTCCTTCCATATTTTCTACGCCACTGATTGAATTTCGATTATTTCCAATTCCTCGAATTCATTGTTCAATTTTGTTCAGAAAATGCATCACCTTCAACTGAGCTGAAATAAACAGTTTTCGAGATATTCGACCCAAAATAGAAGATTGCATAGTAATATTTCATCATTTTCAGTAGTAGAAAATTGCAAAAATATTTTTCTGGTGTTGAGTAGATTAGATACTATTCAGATCTCATTCCATAGCTGAACAGAAATAGTTATTCCACACATGAAGAGAAAACAAAAATTTTCGTAATTTTTTACTACCGAGGAAGATGAAAAATTACTATGCATACTTCTATTTTGGGTCAAATATCCCGATAACTGTTCATTTTAGCTCAGTTGAAGATGATGCATTTTTTCAACATAACTGAACAAACAATTCGAGAAATTGGAAATAATTGAAATTTCATCAGTGGCGTAGAAAATATGGGAGGAAAAGTTATCACAACCCTCTGTAGCGCATCTCTGGATAAAATTCTCGGAATGTCTTTCTGGTCAAGAAATTAATCAGTGAAAGATGAAACCATATACCGAATTTGAATGCATTATATTAAATTATTCTTGAGATATTGCGAAAAAACTATTTAAATTTCTTAACTTCAACGCCCTGTATCTCGAGAACTGAACACTTCAAGACCGTCTGTCCCTATCTCAGTGATTATGAAATCACGAGGGCTATCACCTGTCAAGCGTTGTCGGTCGAATTTCGAAACACCCTGTATATCCGGTAAAAAAGTACTCCCGTGGGAAAAAAGTAATTTATGAAAAGTGACATTTTATAACCTGCCAACAGAGATGAAATACCAAACTTTTTTCCCGTCACAGAAAAAAAATTTGTTTATATTGTGGCACGCAATGGCTGCAGGAAATGTCGGAGCTGTCAAATTGCATAGTGTAGACACATATAAGATATATTATAAACATGAAAAACATTGATACATATAAAGAATTACATTAAGAATTCGCAACTTTTTTCATATTTGGTTGAGAGGAATCTCCCCTAGGCTTATGTCATTCTAAGTCTGAAACACCCTATATTTCAGCTGGTTATATAATTTATGAAATATTGTTCATAGATATATAGTAACATTGACACAGTATTGCCACTAATATAATAGCAAATGCCATGAACATATCAATAATTCGCGATAGAAAATAACACGTCACTCCACCTGACGGCAACAACTTGAACACTTCTGTGCAGTTCGTTTTGATGATATGACCATAAGCACAAACAAAAAACAAATATGAACCAATGAAAACAAAGCAAACATGCCGCTTCGACAGCTTTCAAGAACTCCGATAGGTGGCGTACACTTATTTTCTATCGCGAATAATTCCAATCCGTAATACCAGTATCCTACAGTGGACCAGAATCGAACAATATATGATTCTACTAGGGTCCCTTGATGCAAACTGACCTATTTGTCATCTCAACAGGGTACGGACAGATCCTCGTCTTCTCTCACTCTAAAGTGTTTATGAAATCAGCCAAGTACGAATTCTGTATAATAATGTTTTTCAGGGAAATATCAAAACTGCATTGGCTCCAGATCTCACTTCTAGTGGTATTCAAATAACCACTGCTCAAGGCTCAGCTCATTCAGCTCATAGATTAACTACTGCTCAGCTTGAAATCAGAATTCATTCCGTAATTCAGTCAACCCTGGTATACAGTCAAAGAACAGTCTCTTTTGGTGAGATATATCAAGCTTTCAGTACAATTTATATGTTCCCTACCTTGCAAAGATTATGCTGGAGTAGTAAACTCTGAGACTAGAGGATTGTTCATCTATATCTTGGTATAGCTGAATCAGGAATTCTATATGGAAATTACGTATGATACGCCAATGACCTCAATATAACCAAAAAAACAACAAATGTCAAAAATCTACTGTTTATCCCCAGAATTGAATAAGGATGGAACTATATAACTGTTTCACAGGCACTTTAGAGTGAGAGGAGACGAGGATCTGTGAATAACCTGTTAAGATGACAAATACGTCAGTTTGCATCAAGGGACCCTAGATTCTACGACTTCAACTTACCTAATCTGAGTGGAGTAGAATGGTTGTGATGGGCATCCAGTTTGGACTGATGCCCGTTATGAAAACTGCTTTGATTCATGTACGTCGACAAATACTGTTCCCCAACACTGTTCTCAGAAGAACGGTTATCGTCAGACATGCCGTCACACTCGTTTCGATTGTTGCAGTCGGGGTCAATCCTCGAGAGAAGTCGCTCCATCTTCTCGATCTCGCTGCCCAGCTGCGCATTCAAAGGGTGGCTCCTGTCCATCGAAGGGTCCCTGAGCCTGTCGAGCGTCAAGTAAAGACAATCCCTCGCTCTGGACAACAAAATTATATTCTGGCTTCTCATCTCCGACGTAACATTCTCTTTGTTCTGATTAGTCTTCTGGTCGGCCATGTGCTTGTAGATCTGAGATTGGTAGAAACTGGCGTATGGGTCTTTGAGCTGCTCAAACATGTGCAACGCCTTCTCGTACTCCTTCTTCTTCATGAACTGTGTGGCCGTAAAGAGTTTGCCTTTCTCAATGAAAGCACTAGCTTCTGGTATCGTGATCTCTTTGCTTTTATACTCGAACAGCCTGTTACTCGAGTAAGTGATCATTTGGTTGTTCTTGATTTTTTCGAGTAGGGGCAACGCCGTTTTCCAATAAAGCTCGGCTCTGGCCGTATTGAAATCGATTTCAGACTGTTTGGTTAGATTCTTCGCACGTTCCTCGAAGATATTAGCCAAGTTGACTAAGAGCTTGACGTCTAGACCATGATGACCAACACACCTGATAACTTCGATGCCTTTGATCAGGAGCAACCTCAAGTCACCCATGTTGGAGCCATGCTCGTTTTTGTACATCTTGTAGGCGGCCGTTATGAATTTCGACTGGTTGAGGGTGCCCAAATTTTCAGTTATAGATGCTGGTAATACAGACGGTTTGTCCTGGATGTAGTAAATCAAGTGTCTGTTATCTTCCGTCTTGGACTTACTGCAAAGAGTAGCACAGTATATGAAAGCTTGTACATCCAAGAGGCTCAATGCTTCTGCAGCACAATTGTTCAGATTTTTTATTGAGTACTGCAAACCTTCAAAAGATTGTATGTTCAAGTCTGAAAGAGTGTTGTTGAGACCAATCCAGATGTAATGATGCAAAGAATCTGGGTACACCAGTTGTGCTACTTCATCATATTTGAGTAAATCTGTAGCATCTGGTAATCTAATGACTGGTTCTAGAGGCTGGGAACCGGAAACGAAATAGCTAGTCATCATTTTCAAGTGCTGGTCTCTTTGCACAAATAATTTCTTGAAAATCTGCTCTCGCCACATACCAGTAGAAAACTGAGTGGCCTTATCAATAACAATAGACTTCCTATCTTTAGCGGTAGCTAATAGGATGTGACCTGTTTGAGAACATCGAAAACAAGCAGATGAATGCCAATGTTGCACTAGCTTTCTAGTAGTTTCTGATGAGTGCACTAACCACATACTTTGCAAATCCGGCGGAGTAGTATGATAAGCAGAAAACAGAACTGGAAGAGCTATATTTGCTGCTTCTTTGAATTGAAGCATGTCTTTTTTCGCCTGCTTGAAGATCAGCGTAGCAATATGAAAATACAACTGCGCATGGTAGTGACTCAAGAATGCTGAAACGAGTTGACGGTCCGAACATCCGCTGATGTTCTGTGAAGCCTTGGAAAGCATCTGATCAAAGTTGAATATTGTGGTTATGTATTCCATAGAGCTCTTTACATTATCGGAATGTTCATCTAGGCTTAAGGCTGCAAGACGATCTAGTACAGAAACGGAGAGAAACCAAAATTCCCACGTAAGCTGAGAACTGAAATTCAGGTCTCGCTGAAATCTGACGAGCACCTCAGCAAACGTTTCATACCAGCTCAAGCTATTGTGAAAAATAGAAAGGTTTTTCTCCTCGATAGCCGAGGCATGCTTGTAAGCTTCCTTTATCAAATTGTTCTGGAGAAAGTGTTTGAGCAACCTGATTCTGAGATTGACATCTGTTGGCCTAATTTCTAGTTCGTTCAAGAGCAGTTGAGAAACTTCTACTGGGTTGTCACTGTCCGTCGTTATGAGACGTTCCTTCAGACTGTAAACCGCAGGATTGTTAGGATCGAATGACTGAGCCAAGTCACAGAAATATCGTGCACCGGACTGGTCCATATTCACGTCATCAGACGATAGTAGTTCACAAACTACAAAAGAAACATTTTAAACTAGAATGTATCAAAGACACGGATTTTTAGCTATGATGATCACACTGTTCTACCACTCACCCAAGCCAAAATTTTCATAGCTCGATACCTGTTTGCTCTATTATCATTTTCAGAAAAGATTACTTGAAACGATTTATGCAAATATTACCTAGTAAGAGAATAAATTCAAAAGCGGTGAATTGTTGGGGTCTAGTTAATCGCTAATTAAAACGTTAGTATGTTTCAAAATGATCAAGTTTTATTTCTCCTTTTCTACATGAAAAATGTTGAAATCGTTATCAGAACCATAATTTTTTTCCTAATATATGGTTAGTGTATGTAAAATTTGTTTTCGTTTTAAAAACCTCAGTGAATGAGGTGGTGAAACGTTTTACCTGTCTGACCAATATAGCAACATTATTGACCAGGTCGTCATTCAGTTGTTGATGTTAGACTCTTGACATTTGAAGATATAGTTCTTCAATGCCCATTATTTCCATGAATGAGAATTTCGATAAATTAAAAAATTCGTCCTCCAATGACATTATCACAAGTGCCATTTATTTCTGAAATGGCGGCGCAGGAAAAAATTGTTTTCATTTTAAAAACCTCAATTGATGTTCGTGAATGAGGTGGTGAAACGTTTTACCTGTCGGACCAATATCATTGACCAGGTCGTCATTCAGTTGTTGATGTTAGACTCTTGACATTTGAAGATATAGTTCTTCAATGCCCATTATTTCCATGAATAAGAATTTCGATAAATTAAAAAATTCGTCCTTCAATGACATTATCACAAGTCAGTGCCATTTGTTTCTGAAATGGCGCCGCAGGAGACATTTGTTCTAAAATCGATATGGCGACACTGTGACGTCAACGTCATCCATCAAATTTTCGTCAAGCAACCTGATAAAATTGCAGATAAACGAATTCAATTCAATGAGTCTTTTATGAAACATGAAAATTTGATTTATCATGAATCAGGATGTTTTATAGTATTTCTTTCAAATTACATTCTTTGTCTGGAACTATTTTCAATATTTTGAATAGAAAGTGGTACCGTTTTGAATTGAAAATAAAATAGACAGGGCTTTTCTTTAATGTCACCCCCCTTTTATTTTGTGAACGGGTCAACTGAAAAAATTGAAACTTGGGATAATGAAAATGGAATATTTTGGAGTAAAATTAACAGATAAAAATTTCAAGATGGCGACTGGGTGCCATCTGGAAAAAAATTAAATGGACACATACTTTAGGAGCTCATATATCTCCCCCTGCTACAAAATGGCGGAACATTTAATTATTGCCCTCGTAATTGCCTGAATACATCGACGTTTAACTACGTAATTTGGGTAAACAAGCTGAGTTCAGTTCAGAAAATGCTCGAAATGGTTGCCTTGAACTTCTTGACATAAAAACAGCCTATCCGATATTTCACGCCGAACACTTTAGAACACAGTTACGTCGATATTTCTTCTGGTTCAGTTTGGTAAACCTTTTGCTTCAAATAGCCCCATAAAAAAGGCTAAAGGTGTCAAATCTGGCGTGCGGGCTGGCCATTCAGTAGAATCTCGACGGGGATCCAATGATCGGGGAAAGTATTATCCAAATACAGTTCTCAACACACTGAATGGACCACTCATAATTCCACTCTATTTCGAAGACCTGTATTTTTTGAAAGAATGGACCGCTCTCCATGCGGTTTTCGATATCAGATGTGATATTACAACGGCTTCAAAGAGAGCTAGAACACTCTGAAAAAGTCCACAGAACAAAACTTACACAGGGTGTAAAGTGGAACCATTACACTATGGTCTACATTTCCAAGGCTGCCAGAACTCGAGAACTTTTTTTCTGATCAAAAGTCAGTCATATTATGATACACTGGGACCTCATCTCGGGACGTTTTCGTGATTTTTCCTTAATTGGCCATTGGAACAAAAATTCGATTTTTTTCCGAAAGTCTTGCATTTCTTGAATTTTTTCTCTAGAACTCCACTTGAGCTAACTATTGGGAAGAACTATTCTCATCTTTTGTGGAGGACAATGAAAGACGAAAATGCACTTTTTTGGAATACACAGGATGATAAGAAAATAGGACAAAATCTCATTTCAGTAAAAAAATCAAAAATGGTGGCTAATACCATGGCCCATTCGATTCAGTATATTCAGAAACGGCCTTCTCGATATCCATTATTTATATTAGACTATTAACTCGAGACGTTTTCGAAAATCCGCATTTAATTGAAATACAGGATGAAAATTTTCAATTCAAACTTGTTTCCTGATATCGATGATTCTTATCAACTGATTTCCAATATGTATTGCCCAAGTATGAGACACAGAGTATTGTTGTTCAATATACTGAGTGTTTCACAACTTATCTGACAAATTTCAACCACAACTACGATATTACATAAGAAGTATATCACATAAAAATTTAATAGAAGTAAAACGAGATGGAAAATAGAATTTATAACACTTTATATCCACTAAAACTATTCGAAAAGGGCTCTATTGGCGAAATATGACATTACTGAATTCTTCAGTATTATGAAGATCCAACTAGAAAGTCCTATATCCTAAATTTCAGTACTTGGTAGGCCTCCCCGATTCGACAAAACCTCATGAAATCGGTTTGGCATAGATTCTATGAGGTTGTTGATGAAGTCTATTGATATTGCCTCCCATTCTTCTGATACAGCTTGGATAAGGTTGTCATTATTTTGGGGTGCCTCTCGCCTTCTCGATAGGTTAAGTTTCATTCGGCTCCACACATGTTCAATCAAATTCAGATCTGGAGATAATGCTGGTCACCACATTATTCTAACATTATTGTTTTCTAGTGTTCGTAATTTGTCAGATAAGTTGTGAAACACTCAGTATATTGGACAACAATACTCTGTGACTCATACTTGGGCAATAAATATTGGAAATCAGTTGATTAGATGATAAGAATAATCGATATCAGGAAACAAATTTGAATTGAAAATTTTCATCCTGTATTTATATTAGAGGCGAATTTTCGAAAACGTTCGAGTTAATAGTCTAATATAAATAATGGATATCGAGAAGGCCATTTCTGAATATACTGAATCGAATGGCCATGGTTTTAGTCACCATTTTTGATTTTTTTTACTGAAATGAGATTTAGTCCTATTTTCTTATCATCCTGTATATTCCACAAAAGTGCTTTTTCGTCTTTCATTGTCCTCCACAAAACATGAGAATAGTTCTTCCCAATAAATAGTCAGCTCAAGTAGAGTTCTAGAGAAAAACTTCAAGAAATGCAAGACTTTCGAAAAATAAATCGAATTTTTGTTCCAATGGCCAATTAAGGAGAAATCACGAAAACGTCCCGAGATGAGGTCCCAGTGTATCATAATATGACTGACTTTTGATCAGAAAAAAAATTCTCGAGTTCTGGCAGCATTGGGAATGTAGACCATAGTGTAGAATTTGTCAGGAGCTTCATCTGTCAATTTTTCTCCAATATACAGGGTGTCCGCTAAAAGGAGGTCCATCCATTAACCATATATTCCTTGAACAAAAATAATATGAGTTTATAAATACCATTTTTCATTTTAGCCCTCCATATTCGATATACAGGGTGTAAAAGTTGAAAATTAAAAACTGTTTTTTTCTAATTACTCGCGTAATTAATAAGATATTAATCTCAAAATAGGTACATTACTTCAGCACAAAGAGTTACATCGTGTGAGGAAAACAAAACAGAAAATAACTGTCAAATATTCAAAATACTGGGGGTCAAGTACACACTCACCCCCATATTTTTTTTGTACGTGCGCTAATGACTTCCTATCTATTTTTCTTAATGTGTTCAATCATTTTTGAGTATTTTTTGATTTTTGTAAAATTCCGATAAAATTATTTGTTTTTAAGATAATTCGAAAAGTACTGGTTATTGTTTGATGCCTTGCGGCTTACGGTTATCTCATAATGTTCACATACTCCTATTTATTTCGTCGAAATTGGAAGGGGGCGTATCTTATTACGTACGGAAAGGTGAATATGGAAATACCGGGTGCTCAGAGCGAATGTATTAAAATATTTTTTACACTTTTAAAATTTTTTTTTTTTTTTGTAAAAATTATTTTAGTACATTTGCTCCGAGCACCCGGTATTTCCATATTTACCTTTTCGTACGTAAAAAGATACGTTATTTTTCAATTTCGACGAAATAAATAGGAGTATGTGAACATTATGAGATTACCTAAGCCGCATAGGCATCAAACAATAACCAGTACTTTTCGAATTATCTTAAAAACAAATGATTCAATCAAAATTTTACAAGAAACAAAAAATACTCAAAAATGATTGAACACTTGAAGGAAAATAGATAGGAAGTCATTAAAGTACGTACAAACAAAATATGGGGGTAAGTGTGAACTTGACCCTCAGTATCTTGAATATTTGACAGTTATTTTCTGTTTTGTTTTCCTCACACGATGTAACTCTTTGTGCTGGAGTAATGTACCAATTTTGAGATTGATATCTTATCAAATACGCGAGTAATTAGAAAAAAACAGTTTTTAATTTCCAACTTTGACACCCTGTATACCGAATATGAAGGGCTAAAATGAAAAATGATATTTAGAAACTCATATTGTTTTTGTTCAAGGAATATGTGGTTAATGGATTGACCTCCTTTTAGCGGACACCCTGTATAGTATTCATGCATCAATATCATTATCCCAAGTATAATTTTTTTTTCTTCAAAAAAAATGTACATACAGGGTGTTTCACAGGTAAAGGGAAATATTCCAATGGTAGATAGGAGTCACCAAGGTGGTTCTGAAAATACAATATTTGATAGGGCTTAGAGTTTTCATAACGGAGATACAGGGCGATTTATCGATTTCGAATAATTATTCATTCGTCTATAGGTATTGAACTACCCAGTATATTTTTCTAAAATTTGGTATGGAGCTCAAACTTTGGACGTTGAATGCATTCATCTATCGGGCGAAGTGAAAATCCAGGTTCGGCTTGAGGAAAAACTTACATTTATTCGAAATATTAAAATAACACACTGTATGTAATAATTGACGAAGTTCATCAAAGGAATCGTGAAGAGGAGGAAAAACTGAACTGGATTTGATGCTTTTTGTTTTCCCGCCACCAATTCTCATCGTAACAATCATAAACAGGAAGCTAAAAGTATGTCAATTTCAAGAGTATTAAAATTATGAAACCACTTTCAATTATGATTATTTGATATATTCTTGTTGAATGATCGTTCGAAAGAACTTACTTAGTCTCACAGTCTTTATAACAGAAATACAGGGTACTCGTCCATAAGTATTAAACTACCCATCGCAGTAATATTTTCTCAAATTTGGTATCAAGCTTACTTGGGACGATGGATTCATTGACTCATCAGGCACAATGGAAATACAGGTTCAGCTTCAGGAAAAGTCTCATAGTCTTTATAACAGAGATACAGGGTGAATTATCGAATTATAATTCCGCCAGATAGGTTAATGAATCCATCGTCCCAAGTAAGCTACATACCATATTTGAGAAAATGTTACTGGGTAGTTTTATACTTATGGACGAGTGAATAATTATTCGAAACCGATAATTCACCCTGTATCTCCGTTATAAAAACTGTGAGACTTAGTAAGTTCTTTCGAGCGACTTTTTGACTAAAATATATCGAATAATCATAATTGACACTGGTTTCATAATTTCAATACTCTTCAAATTGACATACTTTCAGCTTTCTGTTTATGATTGTTACGATGAGAATTGATGGCGGGAGAACAAAAAGCATCAAATCCAGTGCAGTTTTTTCTCCTCTTTACGATTCTTTTGATGAACTCTGTCAATTATTACATACAGTGTGTTATTTCAATATTTCGAATAAATGTGAATTTTTCCTGAAGCCGAACCTGGATTTTCTCTTCGCCCGATAGGTGAATGAATTCAACGTCCCAAGTTTAAGCTCCATACCAAGTTTCAGAAAAATTTACTGGGTAGTTCAATACTTATAGACGAATGAATAATTATTCGAAATCGATAAATCGCCCTGTATCTCCGTTATGAAAACTCTAAGACCTATCAAATATGGTATTTTCAGAACCACCTCGGTGACCTCTATCTACCATTGAAATATTTCCCTTTACCTGTGAAACACCCTGTATAACTATAATGAACAGCACTGTATATCAGTATCTACAGATAAATGGTTGTTAATCTGAATATTAACCGAGTTGATACTTGATAAGGTAACAGAAATTTTCATGAAATCGACCCTTATATCTTATATTAAAAAAATACTATCTATACTAATCAAGTATCTAATCTAGTGATTGGTAAAACAGTGGACAAACAATGTAACATAATTGAAAAAAATCAACGTTAATTTTTCTTCACAAAACTCACCCTTTATGACCAAGTTATTTTGTTTGGAATCAATCTGCAAACTATTTCTATAAGCTTCTAGAGCTGCTTCTTTTTTACCCAGCTTCTCCAAACATTTCCCAAGCAACTGATGGCCTTCAGCGGATTTTGGTTTCACGCTTAGGTAAGAAGAAACATAGCGACAAGCCTGTTCGTAATCACCAACATTGAAGTATAGTTTTGCAAATGAGAAACATCGCAAGTTTCTCTGCAAAGAAAAAAACAGAACATGAAGTGAAATAATGGTTCAAAAACAAGTGAACTTACACAAAACAAGTATTACATTTTAATATTAAAAATGGCCCAACATTTTAGCAATAAATACCAGAAAAACTGAATACATGATTTTTCAACAAAAAAATAAACAGAAAATTCAGCTCAATCTTCAAATAAAGAATTAATTCTTGAAACAAACTGAACAGAAGAAGTATTTCGGTATTTGACAAAGAAAATATCTCCTATTATTGTGCATTGAGAAGACGTCCCAAACACAATATGAAGATTGCAAATATAGTAGTATATTCACATATACTAAAGCGGCGTTCACAACCAAACTTTTTACGTTTTGCTTTTCACGTTTAGTATTCTGATTGGTGAAGCAGAATCTGAAATTAAACGTGAACTAAACCTATGCAAATGTCATTCACAACAACAACAAAATCAACGTGACTTTTTATGGCTCAGATGCCTTGGTTTTGATATTTGTTTTTCATCCTGAAATGGAGTAAATAATCATAACAATAATATTGATCAGATAATTAATAATATTCATAGAACTGGCGGTGACAAAAATTGAACCTCATTCAATACTTGAAGAGAAAAATCAATCTTCAACAAGAAAATCATGAATTGAACAGTATACCTATCTACTATTCTGTAGAGTCACGAAAAAATCATGAAAACATTATCATAACTTCCATATTATTACAGAATGTTCCATATTATTCGAGTATTATTCGTCGATTTTTACTATTTTCACAGACGATGGCTTCTTGCAATGCAAAAAGCTGAATATTTTCAATTAATACATTGTTTCACTTTTTGAGTAAACAATAAGCAGGTTATTGTGAATCACCTCGTATATTCTACACTGAGCAACATTCCAATTTTTTTTGAACCCTCAAAAGTTTCATTGTATAAAACTTTCATCAATATTGGTATATCACCCTGTATATTCTTTCTCCCGTTTTTTTTTCTGCAACTTTAAGGAAAGTTGCTGTCATTCAATCTCGAACACTATACAAGTTGATCAATGTGTTGTGCTCTTCTGTAACAATATCTATCAAATATTGTTGCCAAACACCCTGTATATGAACAATATAAGATTTCATACAATAAAGGTCACAATAACTCATTCAAGAGAAAATCTGTGATATTTGAGCTACAATAAGAATATTTCTAGTCAGTAGTACAAATTATCACATTTTTCGAAAAAAAAAAATCTTTTTCTCGAAAATCTGGAAAGATAAGAGAAAAATTGCGAAACCATTTCGAGGAATACGTTCGAGAATTATGAAAATGAAAATATGCTTGACAAAATTCTCAACAATTTTTCTCATCAAATTGGGAGCATGGAGAATTTTTCAATATTTTGCAGAGGTTTGTTTGTCACCCTGTATAGCCAGAGGTTACCATGTATTTTCATCAGCGGTCTATCTATCATATACCCAATGGATCAATCTTCAGAACAAAGAAAACCGCATCCGCATTAGTGGAATTTTCGCGAAAATATTCTATGTTGAATTGAGAGCAAAAATGTGCTTGATGCGGCTCGGTTGATCAGCAGTTTATTTCATACCTTTATAATGGATGGAGTTCATTCCATATTTGGATCTGATGGATGGGATGGAAATATTTGTACAGGGTGGCCAACTAAGACTCCAGAGTTCGATACCTCTGTTGTCTTGAGATACAAAAAAAGTTTTGCATTCAAATTAAAGTGATAACCGAGCTTCACATTTCAAATTTTCTTTGAAAGACACAGGGTGTTCCGTAAGGTCACAGCACATCAAAGCTATGTTTTTTTTGTTGGAACACCCTATATTTTATTTCATTTTTGAATTCTCCCTGAAGATCTGATTTCAACGACTCATCATACTCAGGGTCTAGCAGTGAAAGCTACTGACATATAGGGTGTGCAAAATCGAGATTTTCTATGTTCAGGAATTTTTTCTGTCGAAACTGTTCATTATTCGTCAAAACGGTTCACATGTCCCTATCTCAACTTTTTACTCACTATCAATTGGTGTTCAATTGACATTCAATTAAAACAAATTATAAATTTAGATTTTTTGACCACATTGTATCAATTTCAACTGAACTATTTTCGATGTAATGATGATGTGATATGTCTATGTCATAAATGTCAAATTTTATCATTATTTTGACTTATTTTGACATCATTTGTTAATATCGTTAAAAATAACACTCTGTTGAATTCAAAAATAGTTCAGTGGCACTAAGTAGATATTAGACAAAGAAAGACTCATCGGACCTCTCTATATTTCAATGCGGCCCCGTTGGTAGTATTGAAGAGAAAGATGGAAGAGGAGATAACTTCCCTCTCTCTCGTCCAAGCTAGAAAAGAGCTCAATTTAATTAACCTCTTTGTTATGAAATATTATTTTTCTACTCACATAACTAAAATGGCATTCAGCGTACGGATGTACCACGCTAAATGATCGATTAATCACGGATTGTCGATCTGTGATTTATTCAAAATATTAAACACATTACCATGGCAACACGATTTCTTAAACACATTATTACCATGGCAACGCAGTTCATTAAACACATCTTCAGTAATTTGAGACATGTCTGGCCTGTCAATTGTATTAACTGTCAATTGTTATTTTGTATCAGAATTATTCAAAAATTCGTTTGTATCAGAATTCTTCTTTAAAAATATATGCGAAAAGTAGATGAAAGTGAAATCGAAGAGAATGTTCTGGTACTTGTATATCTCTCACTAAGAAGTATAAAAATGAAGCATCCATCTTTGAGAACAATTTATTTATTCTGCGCTAAGCATGACAATAAACGTGAAACAAAGGTTAGTAAGCAATGGACTGGACACATCTACAACCAATATCACTGATACGTGTCTCGCTGGTTGCATGCAGTTGCATGTATTATGTTCTCAATTCCCATTCCTTTCGAATTATTTTGTTGGTTAGCAGGAATTGGAGGTATGTTAATGTAATTTTCGGAGTTCGTAGAAAAATCATAGTATGTAACGCGTTTATAAACTCTTCTAGACACTCGTTTATTAAACACTCGCTCCGCTCTGCTCCGCTCGTGCTTAAAATACTCGTTACTAAAAGGACGTGTATAACACTTGTTACATAATATACCATTTTAGAAACAAATAAAGATTGATTGATCGAATTTGCAAGGAATTATTTTCTGACAGCATGATTCTACGCATGAAAACCTATCTCCCTGACCCGAAAGCAGCTGAGGAGTTTTTTGCAAAAGTATCGAAAAAAAATATTTTTGAAAAATCCGTTTTTTTTTGTGTGGAGTCTACCATACGATTTCGCAAGGGATTATTACCTGATAGCATGATTCAACACATAATTACCTATCTCCCTGACCCGATAGCAGCTGAGCAGTTTTTTGCAAAAGTATCCAAAAAGAAATATTTTCAAAATTTCTGTTTTTTTCGTGTGAAGAAACAAATAAAGATTGATTGATCGAATCTGCAAGGAGTTATGTTCTGATAGCATGATTCTACACATGAAAACCTATCTCCCTGACCCGAAAGCAGCTGAGCAGTTTTTTGCAAAAGTATCGAAAAAAAATATTTTTGAAAAATCAGTTTCTTTCCTGTGGAGTCTACCTCGGAGTCTACCAAACGATTTCGCAAGCAATTATTTTCTGATAGCATGATTCTACACATGATTACCTATCTCCCTGACCAGAAAGCAGCTAAGCAGTTTTTAGCAAAAGTATCGAAAAAAAAATATTTTCGAAAAATCTGTTTTTTGTGTGTAAAGTCTACCATACGATTTCGCGAGTTATTTTTCGATAGCATGATTCTACACATGAAAATCTATCTCCCTGACCCGAAAGCAGCTGAGCAGTTTTTTGCAAAAGTATCGGAAAACATATTTTCGAAAAGACTATTGAAAAGGATTTTCTCAAATCAGAATTTATTTCCACATCCTGTATGATAAATGTCAATTTATCATAAAAATCCAAAAAATTCGAAGATTGTTTTTTTCGTGTGGAGTCTACCATACGATTTCACAAGGAATTATTTTCTGATAGCAAGATTCTACACATGATTACCTATCTGCCTGACCCGAAAGCAGCTGAGCAGTTTTTTGCAAAAGTATGGAAAAAAAATATTTCCAAAATTTCTGTTTTTTGCATGTGAAGTCTACCATACGATTTCGCAAGGAGTTATTCTCTGATTTTGTTAATCTGTGCTGATAGCATGATTCTACATGAAAACCTATTACTCGAAAGCAGCCGTACAGTGATTTGCAAAAGAATTGAAAATAAAATATTTTGAAGTGGGGATTTGAGGAATTTCGATATTCGGTACCCAAAAGGGGGAAAACACGCGCCACTGGTCAATCGGGAAAGTTCGGAAATTCTGGCAGCCAGCTCTGGCAGCTTACTTCACATAGGTCATAAAACCTGCTGACTGAGATCACATATATCTAAAATTATCAGAATATGGAGCTAGTATAGAGTTCTACATGAAATTCATAGGATACCCTTATTATTTATTGAATAGGTGATTTGATTCTTTAGAATTTGGAGATTTTGACAATCAACCAAGAATCCCTTGTCTGAAATAGATTCAAAATCTACTTCAGTTTCCACTTGGTTGCTGCAGCTATATATTCACTATCTTTTTTATTAAATGGGTATTTCTGGCAAACCAATAGTTTTTTTAGGATGAATTTGGTCATTTTAATTTACATCAAGAAGTTAAAATCAAATAGAAGGTTCTGGAAACTGGAAAATGCTCACCTCAGTCTCGTTGTTTATCTTTTTCAAACAGTTATCTACGTGTCTATCCACTTCCAATTTTGTTTTGAACATTTTAACCAACAGCCAAATTAACAATCACACGATTTAGCTTCCAAAAATCACTTCAGTAATGTGGAAACAAGCAACTTTATTTGGATATTTGGAACAAATCTACGGTTGGTTGTTGTAGTTAGAGTGCTGTCGCCACCATTTTGCGGTTTCCTGCAGTGATTTTTTCAATGTCAAATGTCAATGTCATATTTAAAATTCGCCGTTAAGAATGTTAACACTGTTGCCACAAATTCCTTTCTAGAATTAATAGTGGGAATTCAATCTGACCTGAAATGAAGCATCTAGAGACAGGAAACAGAGAGCCAGGGCGCAACAGATAATCCGTGTGGAAACAAGTTTACAGAGAATTTCCGGCCAATCCTGAAAAAAAAAAACATTAGCCAATCACCATCGGCTCCAACAGTGAATGCCTTCACAGTATTTTTTCCGATCAATCACATCGAAAAAAAAAAGGAAGCTATCCTCACCACAAGGGTTATTTGTTGAGAGATTTGTAGGCTTCATTTCAGGTCAGATTGAATTCGTGCCATTTTCATTATGGACGTTCTGCTCTTTTTCTGTTGTGATGCCGGCTGTAAATTGGAAATTTGAGGCAAACGAGCGTCCATTTTAGGAGTTAGACATTGCATATTGTGAGGTTGGCTAACAACTTTTTGAACCCTTCATTTCTCTATAATTGACATCGACAAAAGACATTGCATTCTACAAATTATGGCACTCAACTTAACTCGATAGTGACAGTGACTAATATCTGCTGCTACTGCTAACAAATAGCAAAAAATGTAATTGTCAAGTGAAATAACTAGCGTCTAGAGACGGGAGACGACAAATAATTATCGCGGTGGGGGAACGTTACTGTGCGGCTAGAATGAGGTCACCCAACGTTGCAGAAAATAACCAATACACTTTCGAAGGCGCCAAAGTCATTAGATGACATTGCGATGATATTCAAATCTAGGCATAGATTGGAGACATTTTTTCTTGTAGCTTTTAATGTCATCGCAACGTCATCTAACGTACTTGGCGACCCTTGGCGACCGCCACAAACAACGAATGGATGTTCTGACTGATGGGCTTGTCGAGTTCGTCTAACTGGTTTAATGTTTTATAATGGGTTGCGTCCAAGAACTGTCAGATGACCTACCCTGGAGGTGAAACATTGAAACACAACCTCACTTTTCTTATTTGTTTACGAGTGATTGAAACAGTTTTTCACAATCATTTTGGCATTCGAATCGTGTTATACAATGCAAAAAAATGCAGCGGGAGACGAAAGAATCCGGTTGGTACATTGATTCAAAAGTCACTCACATATTTCTTGTTCAAAATTTGGTAATTTCTATGATTTCTCATCGGAATTCCTTTTGCAATAGGAGCTAATAGAAAGACTCATGAAATTTCTGAAATTATGCAAGAAGATTGGATTCATGCAATTCCAAAAATGAAAACTATATGTGCGAGTGACTATAGTAGGTACTTACTTTTAAATCATAATGTACCATCCGGATTCCTTCATCTTCCGCTGCAGTCTTTGTGCATTTTACAACAGCACAATGTGATGGCATGAGCGAATTGATGAATAGCGGAAAAATACGATTCCTATGCCAAAATAATTGTGAAAAACTATTTCGATCACTTGTAAACAAATAAGAAAAGTGACGTTGTGTGTCAATGTTTCGCCTCCAGGGTCGGTCATCTGACAGTTCTTGCACGCGACCTATTGTGGAAAACTATATCAATCCTTTGATTCCTCTGTAAATAAATAGAAGAAGTGAGGTTGTGTTTCATTGTTTCACAGTAGAGTGAGGTTATGTTTCAATATTTTACCTCCAGGGCGGTCATCGCGCACGCGACCTATAGTAGAGATTTCTGAGGAACATTTTCCGTTGAAGTATCCATAATAAAGTGCGAGGTCACCGACTTTTCTACGGTGTTATAATGAGGTGAAAGAACAAGTGAGTGTGGCATCACCCACCAGACGAATGGCTTTTTTCTAAATGATCTATGACTACCAGCGAATGTTTGAGTTCCGAACCCCATATGTGAGAACAGTATTCTGAAACTTGCCGTATTTGTGATTCGTAGATCATCAGAAGCTGTTGAAGTGTTTAGTAGATTTTCGTACGGAACAAGAATTCGAGTTTTTGTGAAGCAGGTTTCGTAATGGATTGGATATGATTTTTCCATAAAAGATTATTGCTGACGGAAATACCAAGCATACATATAGTGGACTTTGTGGCAATGGTGGAACCTGACATTGTCATATTAGGCATACTGTGTTTCGCCATCCTGGAGAGAATGCAGGCTTGAGTTTTGGTGGCGTTGATTTCAACTAAGTTGTTAGTTTACCAGGTTGTAAATTTCAGCAAGATCTTCATTGACAGCGTTAGCCTGCCATCGTCGTTTCCAGTTTCCTGGGAAGAAATAGTAATTCTGGAAGACAACGCATTATGGAGAGTACTATCATCTGCAAAGCTGTGGTTAGAGCAAGTGGTTTCCCCCAACAGATACTTGATATAGGCGGAACAATGTCGCTGCCAAAATTGATCCTTGTGTACCTTCGTAATTGATGGCAAAGGTATCGGAGACAATACTCCGTCCACCACCACATGGAGCGATCTGTCTGAAAGGAAACACGGTCGAATGCCTGCGATCATCCTGCGATATATCCAGCGCTACAGCTAGAGATTCCCAATGCTTTTCTAATGATGCATGCCATATATGGGTGACGTAGGCGAGTAAATCTCCAGTTGATCTTCAGTAGCGAATGCTATATTGTCTATCATCATTGATTCATGAGCTCTACAGATAGTTGATGAGCTCAATGTTGGTGGCTTTCCCCATCACTCTGGAGATAACTGATGAAACGGCAAGAGGCCTATTAATGTTGAGCAGATATTTTCCAGCATAATGGAAAAATACCCGACTTGTACGAGATCATACATAACTTGCAGAAAATCGGTGTTAGTTCTGGTGCACACTTTTTGATGACGATGGGTAAAATTCCATCAGGATCGTTAGCCCCATTCGTTTTGAGACCAAGCAGAATGCATCTGATAGTTCGTTGACGGAAGACGTGTTCGGGAATTCGACTTTCAACAGAGGGAATGTCTGGCGGCACTCTTCCCTGGGAATTTATGATGGAGTTTGCTGCGAACATCTCGGCAAAAATGTTTGCTTCCTCTTGCGATGTTGTTGCTATTGTGTCGTAGACTTTGGAGAGTGATGGGAATGAACTATTAGTGAAATTGATTCCGACTATTCCGAGTCGTTTCAAATTTATGATTTATGATGCAGAAATGATTTGAACATTGTAAGTAGAGCCGTATAGAGCCCAAACCTGGCAACTTCATACTGAGGTAAGTTTGCCCATGTTTTGCCTGTATCGGATTGTTTTGGTTTTATGATTACGTGGTAAGTTTTCGGAAACACCTTTCAGGGACACCCTGTATATTCAATTGAAGCCGAAGCCAACGGCATTATCCATGCTCCTGAGATTAAATGGTCCTGCGTCCTGCCCCGAGACGATTGTTCGTTCTTAGCGTGACCGCAACCATCAACTGATGTAATATGTAACGGCAACGGCGCAATGTGGACCACAGAAATATTTGAGATTTGAGTTTCATGTCATGACATCGTGGTTGTAGTTTTGTGTTTCAAGATTATTGTGGTTTTCTTTGGTTTTTTGAAATATGTTGAATCATATTGTCATTGTCAAAAATGTCAAATAATAATAATAAAAAAAAAAAATAGTGAAGCAAAGTGCGAAAGTGCTTGGTATTTTGATATTTCCCTCCTTGGGGGGGCTTGCTAGTTTGTAGTATTCGCATTGATCATGATTCATGACTGAATGATTCGTATGTTTGTAAACATTTTATTTTACGGCCTTACGGCAGGTTTGAAAAACTTCGAATGGTGCTGGTTTGTGTTTATCCCTTTGTTTGAAATAACGAGAAGACTGCAATTTGAAGACTGAATTTCTTCGGCCGTTCCTTGTTGGAAAACCTAGTAAGTGAGATTTGTTAATACATTTCCAATTTTCCTCGCCATTCATTTCTAGAACATCAATAATAATCGGCACTTCGGCAGTCGATATAGGGCGCTTCATAGGACGCTTTAAAATGGGTCAACTAGATATTTGATTATAGGTCTTCTTAGATTGATTACATGATCTGTTTTCATTATCGAAATGAAATCTTGTTACTTTCGATGATTGTTTGATTTTTTCGAATTGTAAATATAGGTCAAATATCAATTCACTTCAAAGGTCAATGAACCTAATGTTTAATATACGCTGAAGAGTAGAGAGTAGAAGCAGAGATAGCAGAGAGAGCCAGTGCCTAGTGCCTGAGCCTGAGTGCCAGTGCCAGTAATAGGGATAGGGGTTCTATTCTATCCATTAACGAAAATGAATGTAATGCAGCAATAGGTCAATGTTGCCAGAACGATGGGATTGCCGGATATCTGCGACTATTTTCCCTAACAGACACTTTGGTAAATACATAAACACGATATAGTACCAAACTCGGTCTTTTGTCAGTGTCAATTGAAATTATTTCGAGAACGGAAGGATTCAAGAAGTTGTTCTTGCTATAATTTTCAATATTCCTAATCTTATAAATGGCGTCGATTTTATTCACATTTGACATTTGATACCTCTGTAAAACTCTGCTGTAGCTAACCTCGCAATATGAAATGTCTAACCTCTGAAAATACTTCGAACAATTTCAGAATGGTACTGCCTTTCGCAATAGAAAATAAGCCTACTCCACCTATCGCAGTTCTTGAAAGCTTTCAAAGCAGCCTGTTTACATTTTTTTTAATCGCTTGGAGCGCACGAAAGGGAATCCCTATAATGTTCAAAGAACATCGTGGTTCATATTTGTTTTTTGTTTGTGCTTATTGGTCATTACATCAAAACAAACCGCTCAGAAGTGTTCAAGTTGTTGCCATCAGGTGGGGCGACGTGATATTATCTATCATGAATAACTCAATATACAGGGTGTTATTTAAGTACGTGGCCAAACTTGAAGGGGTGATTCTTTGGGTGATTCTAAGACGAGAAGTTCATATAAACATAGGTCCGGTAATGCTTCGTTTTCAAGATACAGGGTGTCAAAATTTTTAAAAGAGATCGTTTTTTTCGTAAATATCTTAATAACCCTTCAACCGATTTTAT